ATACCTTCACACAAAATTTTAAGGAAAAATCACTGGTAGAACTGAATAGGCTGTTTGGTCTTTAAGGGAAGCCTTACATAAACATGCATTTTTTTCAACCAATTTGAAGTTTTTGAAGTTTTTTAACCATACATTATTCTTCCATATATATTAAATGTACTTTAAATGTAAAGAAAAGTTACAAAAAGCATACCACATGAATATAAAATGGTCTTAGGCCATGTAAGACTGAGAATTATTTAGAGTCGATTTAGTCCGTAGCCCATATTTACATATAAAAATGCACACAGAGGCTATAAGAAATGGAAATTTGTTACTTTTTGCTCATTTCTATGCTAAGATGTCATGATACAAGAAGTCTAATTGCAAAAGGACTCTTGAATTCGACTTTTTTTTGCAGACAGTATGGTCTGATGACCAGTTTTTCACTTTTCAATGGAAAACTTGCATGTAGTTTTAGTCTCAATTGGCATATATTTGAACCACTTACTATCCTAAAGAAGAAAATTATGGTAGCATATGAAATGAATAGGGTGTACTGATCATTGTAAAGTGTTTATTTTACAGATTTTAGTGAAATATTTGTGATGGACAACAGATTTTATGTACAAAGCTCTTCACATTTCACATACATCAAACAGGCCGTTTTACCAGGGACATAAATACAAATATTCTGCACATTTTTTCTGTGATAATCTACTTTTCTCTAGATTCAGAGTTCACAAATGGTTAATTAAATTTGATTTAAGCATAGAAACACAAATATCAGGAACATAAAAAGCTGTCAGATAGAAAGTCAGCATGGCTCTTAGGCATAAAATGGAAACTGCTTTAAAATGCTTATTTTAGCCGTATAATGCCAAAATGGGACATTTTAACAGAATTTCTGTCAAACAAAGATGTAAATCCTTTACTTTTATTGAGTTCGACAAATTGAAACCAGCAAACCGTTCAGAAAAGTTGCCAAAGTACAGAATCTACATTTACGGAATCAATCTCTTAGGCCCAAGAACACAGTTATTTCGTAGTGCATTTCTTTTAGACAATAAATTCAAATTAAAAAGATCGCACCTGCTCTATCTCAAAAAGATTTTTACTGTGTAGTGTACTACTATTGATACAAATAATATCAAAATTATAGAAACTTCTACCAGCTCTAACTCAAAATATTGACAATTCTGTGTTAAGGGGGGCTAAAATTCAGTTTGACAGCTTCAGACATTTTAATTTTTGACCTTTTTTAACTGGACCAAATCACTACTTAACATAAAGATTCAGGACCCAAATTTTTTTAACATGTAATTTCATCCCCTTACTTAATATTTCATGCATAAAATATCAAGAAATAAATTGGGAAAGTGTATAAAAAAAAAAATGCAATTTATACACTGTTCACACTAGGGACTATATTTGTAGACAACGAAAACCAAAGGACGATAACTGTGTCCTTGGACCTAATAGGATAGAAAGACTTGACCAATTTTAATAAAACTTTGCATGACCTAAGCTTAGGAAATTATAAGATAGTTGGCCAAGTTTCATGGCCATAGGATGTATATTATAGAAACTAGGGCCATTTTAATATTGAAATTTGGATGTTTATTTTTGACGTTTAAATCAAATATTTTCAACTGTTAAGATTTTGGCCTAAAAAATTTAAATATTGCAAAAATTTGCTTTTTAAATACTCTTGAATATAATATAATAAGTATTAAAAGCAACGGAACACTCATTTGATTTATCAGATTTGTCACAGTTATTCAAAAGTCAAATTTATATGAGCCTGTGTCTGAAAATAGAGATTTTCGAATTAAGGGAAGCCTTACATAAACATGCATTTTTTTCAACCAATTTGAAGTTTTTGAAGTTTTTTAACCATACATTATTCTTCCATATATATTAAATGTACTTTAAATGTAAAGAAAAGTTACAAAAAGCATACCACATGAATATAAAATGGTCTTAGGCCATGTAAGACTGAGAATTATTTAGAGTCGATTTAGTCCGTAGCCCATATTTACATATAAAAATGCACACAGAGGCTATAAGAAATGGAAATTTGTTACTTTTTGCTCATTTCTATGCTAAGATGTCATGATACAAGAAGTCTAATTGCAAAAGGACTCTTGAATTCGACTTTTTTTTGCAGACAGTATGGTCTGATGACCAGTTTTTCACTTTTCAATGGAAAACTTGCATGTAGTTTTAGTCTCAATTGGCATATATTTGAACCACTTACTATCCTAAAGAAGAAAATTATGGTAGCATATGAAATTAATAGGGTGTACTGATCATTGTAAAGTGTTTATTTTACAGATTTTAGTGAAATATTTGTGATGGACAACAGATTTTATGTACAAAGCTCTTCACATTTCACATACATCAAACAGGCCGTTTTACCAGGGACATAAATACAAATATTCTGCACATTTTTTCTGTGATAATCTACTTTTCTCTAGATTCAGAGTTCACAAATAGTAAATTAAATTTGATTTAAGCATAGAAACACAAATATCAGGAACATAAAAAGCTGTCAGATAGAAAGTCAGCATGGCTCTTAGGCATAAAATGGAAACTGCTTTAAAATGCTTATTTTAGCCGTATAATGCCAAAATGGGACATTTTAACAGAATTTCTGTCAAACAAAGATGTAAATCCTTTACTTTTATTGAGTTCGACAAATTGAAACCAGCAAACCGTTCAGAAAAGTTGCCAAAGTACAGAATCTACATTTACGGAATCAATCTCTTAGGCCCGAGAACACAGTTATTTCGTAGTGCATTTCTTTTAGACAATAAATTCAAATTAAAAAAATCGCACCTGCTCTATCTCAAAAAGATTTTTACAGTGTAGTGTACTACTATTGATACAAATAATATCAAAATTATAGAAACTTCTACCAGCTCTAACTCAAAATATTGACAATTCTGTGTTAAGGGGGGCTAAAATTCAGTTTGACAGCTTCAGACATTCTAATTTTTGACCTTTTTTAACTGGACCAAATCACTACTTAACATAAAGATTCAGCACCCAAATTTTTTTAACATGTAATTTCATCCCCTTACTTAATATTTCATGCATAAAATATCAAGAAATAAATTGGGAAAGTGTATCAAAAAAAAAAATGCAATTTATACACTGTTCACACTAGGGACTATATTTGTAGACAACGAAAACCAAAAGACGATAACTGTGTCCTTGGACCTAATAGGATAGAAAGACTTGACCAATTTTAATAAAACTTTGCATGACCTAAGCTTAGGAAATTATAAGATAGTTGGCCAAGTTTCATGGCCATAGGATGTATATTATAAAAACTAGGGCCATTTTAATATTGAAATTTGGATGTTTATTTTTGACGTTTAAATCAAATATTTTCAACTGTTAAGATTTTGGCCTAAAAAAATTAAATATTGCAAAAATTTGCTTTTTAAATACTCTTGAATATAATATAATAAGTATTAAAAGCAACGGAACACTCATTTGATTTATCAGATTTATCACAGTTATTCAAAAGTCAAATTTATATGAGCCTGTGTCTGAAAATAGAGATTTTCGAATTAAGGGAAGCCTTACATAAACATGCATTTTTTTCAACCAATTTGAAGTTTTTGAAGTTTTTTAACCATACATTATTCTTCCATATATATTAAATGTACTTTAAATGTAAAGAAAAGTTACAAAAAGCATACCACATGAATATAAAATGGTCTTAGGCCATGTAAGACTGAGAATTATTTAGAGTCGATTTAGTCCGTAGCCCATATTTACATATAAAAATGCACACAGAGGCTATAAGAAATGGAAATTTGTTACTTTTTGCTCATTTCTATGCTAAGATGTCATGATACAAGAAGTCTAATTGCAAAAGGACTCTTGAATTCGACTTTTTTTTGCAGACAGTATGGTCTGATGACCAGTTTTTCACTTTTCAATGGAAAACTTGCATGTAGTTTTAGTCTCAATTGGCATATATTTGAACCACTTACTATCCTAAAGAAGAAAATTATGGTAGCATATGAAATGAATAGGGTGTACTGATCATTGTAAAGTGTTTATTTTACAGATTTTAGTGAAATATTTGTGATGGACAACAGATTTTATGTACAAAGCTCTTCACATTTCACATACATCAAACAGGCCGTTTTACCAGGGACATAAATACAAATATTCTGCACATTTTTTCTGTGATAATCTACTTTTCTCTAGATTCAGAGTTCACAAATGGTTAATTAAATTTGATTTAAGCATAGAAACACAAATATCAGGAACATAAAAAGCTGTCAGATAGAAAGTCAGCATGGCTCTTAGGCATAAAATGGAAACTGCTTTAAAATGCTTATTTTAGCCGTATAATGCCAAAATGGGACATTTTAACAGAATTTCTGTCAAACAAAGATGTAAATCCTTTACTTTTATTGAGTTCGACAAATTGAAACCAGCAAACCGTTCAGAAAAGTTGCCAAAGTACAGAATCTACATTTACGGAATCAATCTCTTAGGCCCGAGAACACAGTTATTTCGTAGTGCATTTCTTTTAGACAATAAATTCAAATTAAAAAAATCGCACCTGCTCTATCTCAAAAAGATTTTTACAGTGTAGTGTACTACTATTGATACAAATAATATCAAAATTATAGAAACTTCTACCAGCTCTAACTCAAAATATTGACAATTCTGTGTTAAGGGGGGCTAAAATTCAGTTTGACAGCTTCAGACATTCTAATTTTTGACCTTTTTTAACTGGACCAAATCACTACTTAACATAAAGATTCAGGACCCAAATTTTTTTAACATGTAATTTCATCCCCTTACTTAATATTTCATGCATAAAATATCAAGAAATAAATTGGGAAAGTGTATCAAAAAAAAAATGCAATTTATACACTGTTCACACTAGGGACTATATTTGTAGACAACGAAAACCAAAGGACGATAACTGTGTCCTTGGACCTGCTTACCTTATTTCAGGAGACATTTTAAGATGATTTTTGTTTCAGGTGTGATAAATGTATTAGTGACCACACCGTTATGGGTTGTTAATACCAGACTAAAACTTCAAGGTGCCAACTTCCATACAGATGAACATAAAGAGGCCAAAGTTCCCAGGTATAGAGGTCTAATAGGTAAAGTCATATTATTTCAGTGCTGGTTATGTTCAGATTCTTTGTGGTGTGTTTGTTTAATTTGGAAGTTGTATGTGAATCATTATGTTCAATGAATTCTCTTAAGTAGAGGGAAGTCCTTAAAACATTTCTGTCACTTTTGTTCTCAAGAACTTCATGTCATAGTTTCTTGCTGTATGGCATTAAGCTCTATATAGTTGTACCATATCATGTTACATATTTTCAGTTTTTCTGATGTTCTACTTCTTGTTTGTAGAAAACTGATACTTTTAAAATGTCATGCACATGCATCAAACATACCTTAATGACTGCCTATATTGAGGGGCAAACTGCTGAAGTCAACCACTTTTCAATTCCCCATTTATTTTCACTACATATTTTTACTTTATTAAGCAACCACCTGCTTAATGTGACCACCAAACGCATATATTTGTTTGAAACAACAACCAGCACTATTTCAAACCACCATGTATCACTTGGAAGGATGAAGAACTATAGAAATAGTATAATTGTACCTCTATTTGATGATCTCTGTTGACATTCTTCAAACTGAAAGTTTGCTTTCTTGTTCAATAAAGACTACATTTTTTCTTATTATACCCCAGCTGAAGGGGGCATTATGTGTTACCCTTGTCCGTCTGTACGTCCTTCCATCTGTATGTCCGTCTGTCCATCCGTATGTACGTCTGTACGTACATCCCTAAATTGGTTTCCGATCTCTAACTTTAGTTTGCCTCAACCAAATGTTATTGTCAAGCCTGCGACTTTTGTTGCAGAAAGCTCGACATAGGGATAGTGATCCGGCAGCGGTGGCGTTAGCTAACTACTTAAAAGCTTTGTATTTTAGAAGGTGGAAGACCTGGATGCTTCATACTTTGTATATAGATGCCCTATGTTACGAAGTTTCCGTCTGTCACATATCCATTGTCCATGACCTCATTTTCATGGTTCAGTGACTACTTGAAAAAAAAATTAAGATTTTTTGTAATGTTAATTTCTCTCTTATAATGAGTAATAGGATAACTATATTTGGTATGTGCGTACCTTGCAAGGTCCTCATGCCCGTCAGACAGTTTTCACTTGACCTCAACCTCATTTCATGGATCAGTGAACAAAGTTAAGTTTTGGTGGTCAATTCCATATCTCAGATATTAGAAGCAATAGGTCTAGCATATTCGGTGTATGGAAGGACTGTAAGGTGTACATGTCCAACTGGCAGGTGTCATCTGACCTTGACCTCATTTTCATGGTTCATTGGTTATAGTTAAGTTTTTGTGTTTTGGTCTGTTTTTCTTATACTGTATGCAATAGGTCTACTATATTTGTTGTATGGAAGGATTGCAAGCTGTACATGTCTGCCTGGCATGGTTCATCTGACCTTGACCTCATTTTCATCTTAGAAACTATAAACAATAGGCCAACTATATTTAGTGTATTGAATGATTGTAAGGTGTACACGTATTTCTTGTTTGGATTATATGACCTTGACCTCATTTTCTTGGATCATGTTAAGTTTATGTGATAGTTGTAGTAAAGCTTTATATTTAGAACTATTAGCATAATATCAATGATTAGTAAAGAAGGCGAGACATTTCTGCCTGTGCACTCTTGTGACACTTATACACAATGCTTATTACCACAAAACACAGATCAACTTTGAATTTGGGTGGAATCACTTTTACCGTTCTAGAGTTATGCCCCTTTACAAATGGAAAAATTGCTGAATTTTTTTTTTCTTGTCTCTAACTTAAGTTTGCCTCAACCAAATGTTATGAAACTTATACAGTATGCTTATTACCACAAAACTTGGATCAAGTTGGAATGTGGGTGGCATCACTTTTACCATTCTTGAATTTTGTCCCTTTATAACGTTATATGCAAGCTGGGGCATCATATGTGTACCATGGACACATTCTCCATTCATTTTTAAATTGTTTTCATGTTTTATGTATTAAGAAATGTAAAATTTCAAATATATTTATTTTTGGTATAAATTGCTGTTAAAGTATTAAAGTTATTATTTACTGGAAGTTTACTTTTTTTTCCAATAAAGGCTACTATGGATTCATTTATTTTAGAGGGTACCAATTTTCATGGATTGAGGGACAACTCCTTTTTATACGACCGCAAAAAAATTTTGTGGTCGTATATTGGTATGACGTTGGCGTCGTCGTCGTCGTCGTCGTCGTCGTCCGGCGTCGTCGTCCGAATACATATTGGTTTTCGCACTCTAACTTTAGTTTAAGTGAATGGATCTTTTTGAAATTTGACCATTAGGTTAAATACCACAAAAGGAAGGTTGGGATTGATTTTGGGGGTTATGGTACCAACAGTTAAGGAATTAGGGGCCAAAAAGGGGCCAAAAATGAGCATTTTCTAGTTTCCAGACAATAACTGTGGAACGGTGTATGGATCTCTCTGAAATTATACTACAAGTTTCCATACCACAAAGGGATGGTTAGGATTTGCTTTGGGGGGTTATGGCTCAAACCGTTTAGGAATTAGGGGCAAAAAAGGGGGAAAAACAAGGTTGTCCTGGTTAATGGACAAATACTTTAGTACAAAACATAATTTAAAGCAGTGTAAGGGAGATAAATCAAATATATCATTGAAATTATCTCCCTTACACTGCTTTTAAATTATGTATAAAGTAATGGTTAATGAACAATAAAGATAATCTAAAACAGTGTAAGGGAGGTAATCCAAATACAACGTTTTGGTTACTTCCCCTACACTGCTTTTAAATTATGTTTAAAGAAATGCATATTTATAAAGGAAGACCAGTAAAAATATCTGCAAATGTTTTCATCTTTTTTTTTTACAAAAAAATCCATATGAAAGATTTGACACTATATTTTTATTAATTCTATTATAAAATAGAAGTTAGCACTATGGTAAATTTAAATGGGTAATTATGGTTGCCAACTCCATTGGAAATTTGAATTGAGATTATGACCATATCTTGAGGGAAAGAATTTTTTTTTGGGGAAAAAGGGGGGGGGGGGGGATAAAAAGAAATTGTGGGGGGCCAATTTTTTCTCATTTCAGATTTCAGAAATTAAAAAGAATTATTCTTCAAATATTATTTTTTTTTCAAATTTCAAATATTGAAAAATTTCAAGAAGTAATCTTTAATTGCACAGTATGGCGCATTAGATTTGTAAAATCTTTGATCACATTTATTTATTTGTTATGCCGAATCTAACAGTGTATTTAGATTTTTAATTTTGGGTCCAGTTTTCAAATTGGTCTACATTAATGTCCAAAGGGTCCAAAATTAAACTTTGTTTGATTTTAGCAAAAATTGAATATATGAGGTTCTTTGATATGCTGAATCTAAACATGTATTTAGATTTTTGATTTTTGGCCCAGTTTTCAAGTTGGTCCAAATTGGGGTCCAAAATTAAACTTTGTTTGATTTCAACAAAAATTGAATATATGGGGTTCTTTGATATGCTGAATCTAACCATGTATTTAGATTTTTTATTTGTGGACCCCGTTATCTAATTGGTTCATATTGAGGTCAAAAGGGTCCAAAATTAAACTTTGTTTGATTTCATCTAAAATTGAATTATTGGGGTTCTTTGATATTCCAAATCTAACCGTGTATTTAGGTTTTTAATTTTGGGTCCTGTTTTTTAAATTGGTCTACATTGAGGTCCAAAGGGTCCAAAATTAAACTTAGTTTGATTTTGACAAAAATTGAATTCTTGGGGTTCTTTGATTTGCTGAATCTAAACATGTGTTTATATTTTTGATTATGGGCCCAGTTTTCAAGTTGGTCCAAATTGGGGTCCAAAATTAAACTTTGTTTGATTTCAACAAAAATTGAATATATGAGGTTCTTTGATATGCTGAATCTAACCATGTATTTAGATTTTTTATTTGTAGGCCCCGCTATCAAATTGGTTCATATTGAGGTCAAAAGGGTCCAAAATTAAACTTTGTTTGATTTCATCGAAAATTGAATTATTGGGGTTCTTTGATATGCCAAATCTAACCGTGTTTTTAGATTTTTAATTTGGGTCCCGTTTTTTAAATTGGTCTTCATTGAGGTCCAAAGGGTCCAAAATTAAACTTAGTTTGATTTTAACAAAAATTGAATTCTTGGGGTTCTTTGATATGCTGAATCTAAACATGTGTTTAGATTTTTGATTATGGGCCCAGTTTTCAAGTTGGTCCAAGTTGGGGTCCAAAATTAAACTTTTTTTGATTTCAACAAAAATTGAATATATGGGGTTCTTTGATATGCTGAATCTAACCATGAATTTAGATTTTTTATTTGTGGGCCCCGCTATCAAATTTGTTCATATTGAGGTCAAAAGGGTCCAAAATTAAACTTTGTTTGATTTCATCAAAAATTGAATTATTGGGGTTCTTTGATATTCCAAATCTAACAGTGTATTTAGATTTTTAATTTTAAGTCCCGTTTTTTAAATTGGTCTACATTAAGGTCCAAAGGGTCCAAAATTAAACTTAGTTTGATTTTAACAAAAATTGAATTCTTGGGGTTCTTTGATATGCTGAATCTAAACATGTGTTTAGATTTTTGATTATGGGCCCAGTTTTCAAGATTGTCCAAGTTGGGGTCCAAAATTAAACTTTGTTTGATTTTAACAAAAATTGAATATATGGGGTTCTTTGATATGCTGAATCTAACCATGTATTTTGATTTTGGACATTGGACCATAATAGGTAAATTAAAAAAATTCAAGTTCTTAGACCACATTCTTTCTGTGTCAGAAACCTATGCTGTGTCAAATATTTAATAACAATCCAAATTCAGAGCTGTATCAAGCTTGAATGTTGTGTCCATACTTGCCCCAACTGTTCAGGGTTCGACCTCTGCGGTCGTATCAAGCTGCGCCCCAGCGAAGCATTTTATTAATGGATATTTTATTTCATGGTTTGCCAATTTCTTCATACAAGCCTATATAAAATTTGTAATTCGTTGAACATTTAAATTGGTGGTTCACTTGTACCCATGAAAACCATGTAAATTGGTATCCAATGAATAATAATGAATCCAAGTACATGTTTTCTTCTTCAAAATTGTTTTTATGTTAAATGTATTACGAAATTGAAAATAGCAAATATATTTATTGTCCCCCACACAACACTTTGCAGGAAACATAGAAATACTGGCCGTCTGTCTTTCAGGTCTTGTTAGCTGTCTCATGTTTATAATTCTTGCCAGATTTTTATAAAACTTATATCATAGTTTTAAATCAGCAATGTATCGGACAAGTTTGAAATCAGTGTGGATTAGTTATTTTTAAAAGAGTTATGCCCCTATGAAATATAAAGTATATGGAAAATCGCATTGTAAGCACTCTCATGTGTACATCTTTTGCCAGATTTTTATCAAATGTATATTAAGGGTTTATTTAAGCAATGTCTCTGACAAGTTCGAAAGTCAGTGCAGATCAAATATTATTAAAGAGTTATGCCACTTGGAAAAATTGATTTATATTGGAAATTACATTGTATTTGCTCTCGTGCCTTCATTTCTCCAAGATATATATAAAAAGATTTAAAGAACAACAAAAAGAAATTTTTTTTAATGATTGCCCTTGGATATATAAAGTATGTGCAATGCAGGGGACATTGGAACTGTTCTTTTATTTTTTATATGTTCTGCTGTTTAATTAAGGTATAATTTTTTTTTTTTTGGCTGTTATATTTAGATTTTGACCTCATTGATTATTCATACAATGTATTTCAAAAAGTGCAACAATCAGGACATCTATACTTAAGCCAAAGGGAGTTGATTACTAATTATCTTTATTGTTCTATATTTATCTAATCTATTTATAACTCTCTACTTTCACTTTTCATTATTTCTCTCACCCCTATAGCTAATAGCTGTAGTGTGATGGTGGCATTGTGACGCTATCTTATTGATAGCTATGCTGAAGTGTGATGATTGTAACTTTGAAGTGCGATAGACGTCACTACATAAAACTACCATTATATTTTCAATGCTTTTCATGTCAATGTTGAAGTCAATTTGTTTGTTAGAAGCAGTTTTTCTGGTTTTTAAATTAATGAGGGGCTTATAAACTTTTAATACTATATGAGAGGAGAAGGGAAAGTTAACCTTTGGTAGTGGATATTTTTTCAAAACTTCAAAGGTTCTTTAATGTCGAGACTGCGACATTTGTCGCAAAAACGAGACATAGAGTTCCTACATTTCGTCGGCAGCGTCAACAAATATTCACTCTGTGGTTAAAGTTTTTGAAATTTTAATAACTTTCTTAAACAATCCTGGATTTCTACCAAACTTGGACAGAAGCTTGTTTGTGATCATAAAATAGAATCCAGAAGTAAATTTAAAAAAAAAAATCCTGTTTATCCGTATTTTACTTATAAATCGACTTAGTTTTTCTGCCAGTTAACACTACATTCACTCTGTGGTTAAAGTTTTTAAAATTTTAATAACTTTCTTTAACTATCCTGGATTTCTACCAAACTTGGACAGAAGCTTGTTTATGATCATAAGTTAGTATCCAGAAGTAAATTTTGTAAAAAAAAAAATCCTGTTTATCCGTATTTTACTTATAAATGGACTTAGTTTTTCTGCCAGTTTACATTACATTCTACTGTGGTTAAAGTTTTGAAAACTTTAATAACTTTCTTAAACTATCCTGGATTTGTACCAGACTTAGACAGAAGCTTGTTTATGATCAAAAGCTAGTATCTAGAAGGAAATTTTGTAAAAATTTATTTCTTGTTTTTCCATGTATTACTTACAAATGGACTTAGTTTTTCTTTCAGTTATCATTACATACAGTCTGCAGTTAAAGTTTTTAAAACATTTGTTAGATTCATAAACCATCCTGGATTTTTACCAAACTTGGACAGAAGCTTCTTACAATAAAAAAATAGTATCTAGTGGAAAATTTTTAATAATTTTTTCCCCATTTCTGTTGAGCCTGCGACTCACAGCAAAAGTAGGCGAGACACTGGGTTCCGCGGAACCCTTACGAATTTTTACGTGTGATGGAGCTTTTCATTCTCTAAATACATAGGGATCCCAAACAGACTCTCTGTATTATAATATTAAGGTAAATAAGGAACTCATGACAGGAACCAAGTAAAGATGAAATTTTAAGGCAAAATTATGTTCACATGCAGAAAATCAAAAAGGATGATCTCTCATTTAGTATGGAACTGTAACTAAGGACATACATAGACAATTATGAATGCAAATTTATATACTAACTATTAAAAAAATCTTAATTCTCATAATAATTGAACATCTATAGATTTTAAACTAGCCATCACGAGTAATATAGACCATCACACATCAGCGAATGGACCATCGCACTTCAGCATGACCATCACACCTCCGAGTCCTACATCAGAGGAGAAAGATTTGAACAATTACCATGTTATGATACAGCCTTCATCAATAAGCAAAACTTATATGGTATAGCAAACTATAACAAGCCCCTCTATGACAAAATGTGAATCAATTCAAAAGAGAAAAACATATACATAGATTACATTCATGCAGATGTAAAATGTCAGTACAGACACTGACATAGGGAACTAGTTGAGATTAAAAAGGGCCAAAAGAACATCACCTTCCAAAATTGGAAAAGTAAAAATGGGAACATCATCTCTTTATATATTGATTAGATAAATGTCAATAGTATAATTAGAAAATACCTGATTATTTGTGTTCCTATTTTTCCAGAAGTGCACAATATATGTATTCCTGTATTTGCAGATGCCTTGTTAAAAGTAGCAAGACATGAAGGAATTCCATCACTGTGGAATGGAACACTGCCCTCTATTGTATTGGCATCAAATCCTTCAGTACAGTTCATGGTTTATGAGGCAGTTAAACGATACTTCCAATCACTGCTTAAAACAAAGGTAATATGTTAGTTATTTTCATGCTTAAAATCAGATAACAGTATATTAAAAATTTTAGATTCAAAAACTAGTATTTGAAATTCAAATCCAACTTGTGTGGCGCTTTCATTTATAACGTTGTGATAACTTATTTGTAAATGCCAAAAGTTGTTTTAAAAAAAAAAAATTTAAGTACCAGTTCACCTTTAAGAGTCATGCAGAGAGATTCACCTCAAATGAAATCTAAATTGATGCAAAACAACAAACTTTGGAATATTTGATAACTGAATACTGTATTTCATAGTCAAGATAAACGAATTCCAAAGCAATATTAATTTTGTCACTTAAAATAGTAAGATTTTTTGAGAAATTTACTCAAGTATACATCAATCAAAATAATGAATAAATAGAATTTGAATAATCATGGATCAAAGGTTATCTACACTTAAACATGTGCATTTTAAGATTTGGCACAATGACATCAGAAACAATGTCATAATAATTAATGATTCAGGGATAGGAAAAAATAGTACTGGTCCGAGTACAGAGTTATCGTCCTTTGATTTTCGTTGTCCACAAATATAGTCCGTAGTGTGGACAGTGTGTTACTTGCAATTTTTTTTATACCCCTTCCAAATTTATTTCTCCATGTTTTATGCCCAAATAGCAAGAAGGGGGATGAAATTACACTGTAAAAAAATTTGGGTCATGAATTTTAAAGTAAAGTAGTGATTTGGTCCAGCTGAAAAAGGTTAAAAATAAGCACTTCGGAAGCTGTCAAAAGATTTCAAGACCCCCTTAACATAAAATTGTCCATATTTTGAGTAAGAGCCGATGAAGTTTTCTATAATTTTGATATAATTTGTCCCAAAAGTAGTACAACACACTGTAAAAATATTATTGAGAAAGCGCAGGTGGGATTTTTTTAATTTTCATTTATTGTCTAAAAGAAATGCACTTCGAAATAACTGTGTACTCGGACCTACTTGTGCAGCTTTGCATACTGTTAATTTTTTTTATTGGAAACCCTGAAAGAAATGTTTCAAATAAAAGGAAGTTTTATTATTTTTTTCTCAAGCATAAGCAGAAAATAACTAAACTTACACCTTTTCTTTGGAAAATTAAAATTAATATAGGTTTTAGGAGGCATAGGTTTTAAAGGCAGAACAAAAGGACTGAAAAGTTCATTAACAGTGATTTCATTTAAATTTCAGGAGTTGAGTGGTTTTCTTTATTTCATCATTGGTGCAATAGCAAAGACAGTAGCAACAGTAGTAACATATCCTCTACAGGTTGTTCAGTCAAGATTAAGGGTAAGTATTTATCTTTAAAAAGAATTGAGAGTACTCTTTACATATTTGAATTATAATTACAAAAACAAATGTGTGTCCAATCGGCAATGTAATACTGTAAAAGCAGAAATATTTGATGGGGTACTTGTAATTTGGTCACATTTTTCTCAGGAACTACACGTACAAGGCTTTCTAAAATTTAGAATCAACATTCATGTGAGCCTTCTATACCTTGTGATGCATTTTTACATCCATTTCTCATCATCTTCCCGTTTCCAAATGCTTATAGAGGATGTATCATTAGTGAGCAATAGCTTTTTTGCAAAGATTAAAGGATCGACATAGAGAAAGACATTTCAAATTGAAATTTTAAATCTTCAAATTTCCTGACATGTTTATGACTGATTCATGTAAGTAGATAAGGGATTGCAGGATGGGACTTAATACCCCCACAACCACCACATTATGTTTTAGTCATTTTGTGTCAAATGGACATACAGCTGTAAATGACTGAATACCCATATCCAAAATTTAATTTCCATTCCAGCATTGTTCATTTAATTGGAATTGCCCTTACATTCAAAAAATCTGTGTATGTAGTTACTCAGCAAATCAATCAGGGCATTCCAATAACAAAGAACATTGAATTTTTTCAAAGAGGAGCTACATAGATTTTGGAAAAATTTTTGCCAAGTATCAATGAACTTCCCAGGACACAATACAAATTGAATTTGATAAAATTGTTGATGGAAAGCATCAGATTGTAGAATATATTTAGATCTTTTTCAAGGGGAAATGTCATATAGTTGTTTCGTGCACATTTAGTTTATTAATTTATCTTAAAATATTACAGATAAAAAGATTTTTCTATGAAGGATAGACCATGACATTTTCTAGTCCTTTCTTATTACAGGCTGGACGTCATAAGAAATCAGAACAACAGGGAATTATTCAGAATCTTGTTGATATTGTCAAGTAAGTACCATAGCAGCATTTAAATGGTTTTTGTTTTATTTCACTTTAAATGTTCATTTAGGTTAATATAAAAATTAGAACATTTGGTATGATTGCCAATGTGACAACTCGACACTAGAGACCATATGACCTAGAAGTTAACAACTGTAAGTCACCATACCACCTTCACAATGAGCAAAACCCATACAACATAGTGAGCCATAAAAGGCCTTGTAATGACAAATGTAAAGCAATTCAAACAAGAAAACTAATAGTCTTATTTGTGTACAAAATAATAAACAAAAACAAATATGATAAACAGCAACAAACAACAACCACTGAAATTACAGGCTCCTGACTTGGACAGGCACATACAGAATGTGGCAAATGTTTTTGCTGGCACCAAACCCTCCCCCTAACCTGGGACAGTGTTGTAACAGTACAACATAAGAACAAACTATAAAAATAGTTGACAAGGGCTTAACTCATCAGATTGATACAAAGCACCAAAACAACTAACAAAAACACAAAAGACACAAAGTAAATGTCTGAGAGTACTCGAAGTTACTGAAAGCTAGTTTAATGCCAATAACAACTAATTATTTTACATTCAACAATGAAGGTATTGTGATATTGTGGTATACTATTGTCTAACTGTTTGCCTATGCCTTTGTCCTTTGTCATAGAACATCTCAACAGAACTCAAGTTTGCTTTCATGAATCTTTACGATATTTTGGTTCCATGAAGTTGCTCCTTTGCAATTGCTATCACAATGTATCAGATGCAATGGATAATAGTAAAACTGCATCCCTTCTGATAACATTTGCTGAAGGTTTTAATTAGGGTTGAAATTCTTTGCCATCCAAAGTGCAATGTATGGTTAAATTTGTGAATGTTAGTACCTCAAAATTAAAAAGCTATGAATAGTTGCAAAAATATTTTGCATGCAGATTCTTAATTCTGTTAAACAGTGGAAAAAAAAATCAAAAATATAGCATTAGTGTAAGGCTTGGAAATCTTTTGAAAGAATTCCTGTCATTTCTGACATTTGCATTCATACCAGTTTTCAATTCTTTATATCTCTTAACCATGTTCCTTTTCATCCAAACAAGAATATTTAGAAGATACATTTTTTGTTGAGCCTCCAACATTTGGTAGTGGAAGCTAGACATGGTGATGCTACATTCTGTTGTTTGTGTCGTCAACATTTAGGTTCACTCTGTGTTTATTTTTTTTATAGACATTAATTTCTTTGTCAATCCATCATGGAATTTTATGAAACTTGGACAGAAGCTTTTTTATGATCAAAAGACAGTATACAGAGCAAAATTTGATTATTTTATTTCATTTTCTATATTTTACTGATAAAAGGACTTACTTGTTTTTGGCTGTTTTTATATTCTTTGATTTGTATTATCATTTCTTATTTTTAGATATAATGGTGTATCAGCATTATATAAAGGAATGGAAGCCAAGTTAATACAGACAGTTTTGACGGCAGCCTTGATGTTCCTGACCTATGAAAAGATAGCAGCATTTATATTCAGGACAATGGGACATAGCCCAAGTTAATATCTAAGAAATAATATTAACAGAATTTTATGGTGCTAAGCTTTAAGTATGCCAAAATTTATGTAATTTGTTTTCATTTATACGGAGCCCATTTTATATGTTTAACAACCTATTTTTAGATACTAAAAGATAGTTGGCATCTTCTTTCAGATGTTAACATCTTGTTATGTTGATGGTTCACTAAATCTTACCAGATAAATTGACTTAGAGATTATAATATGTTTTTATATATGATATTTCATAAATTAGTGAAAAGTTGTGTACTTTGTTTTATTTTTACTGCATGGTTAGACAGTACAGTAGGATTTTGAAAGCATTTCCAAAGAAATATTTCATTGTCATATTTTAATGACTTTTTAACACAAAAGCACTCTGTTGTTCTTTTTGAAAAAAAACTATTCAGGCAGTGATGCAAATCTTTCTAAAAAAAAGGTACAACATGCAATTAAAAAATACAGAATATTTATGGTACATTATATGTAAGTTACAATGTAAGAAATTGAAAGATCCTATATCAGAATATTTTAGCTTAATTCCAAGGGGACTTGGAAGTTATTTTGTTTGAATGATAAATATTGTCCCTGTTTATTAGATTGAGTTAATTCCAAATTCCAGATTTATTATACTGTAAATTAATGTGAGGATTTTATTAATGTGAATAATAGGACTCCTTGAGTTTCACAATAATAAGAACTCGCATTATGATACCGAATACATATATCTGTATGTAGCTTTTTGTAAATTTATAATTATTAAACTCGCATTTTTGTTCATTCTTCAAAAATTGCAATAAGAAATGCACACAATAATTTCTGAATTTACAGTAGTTGTCATTTTAGAAATGTAAATTTGGATGAAACTATATGGTATCTGCTGTGTAACATGAAACAAGTTGTTGTCTTTTTGAAAAAAATCTGTTTTGTTTATTGTTGATGTAACTTAGGTTGTTAATTAACTTACCTATATAGTAATCTAGAGAGTTTTCATGTGAAATTTGTCTTAAAGGCAAAATTAAAATACCAGTGTAGAAATTGATGTGATATCATTCTAATGTTGTTGTTTTGTATATTTTTGTTAAAGATTTATTTATGATGGAATTTTGAGAACAAATTTATATTTCATGTTGATTGTTGGAATAGTTCTATTGTTTGTATTTGTATTTTCTAAGATTATAGGATTAAAATAACACATCTATATGTAAGAAAAGGTTAAAACCATGTATTTTCCATGAAAATACTTATAACTGTGGATTGATTATTATTTATGGATTTCATTGGTAAAGGTAAACAACAAATGGAAATGTATAGCAATTTAAATATTTTCTATAGAGTTGTATGCAGAATTTGTGTTAACCAACAAATTGAATATCCACGAAAATATAATTTTCCCCAAAACCATGAAAATCAATGAACCCACACAATATATTCTAACGACTATCAACCTCAGGGACCAAGATCACATCAATAATCAATTTGGAATATACCTTACCTGGTATGATATGTTGGCCAATGGAAGTAAAATAACACACAGGCCCATAGGTATACCTATATAGGTTGTTCCAGAAATAAGTTGTGGGAGGTTTGAAGAAACATTCACTGCACTCTACTGTCCAGAAGTTCGCCTGGCTGATATTCAGAAATTACTACAACCACCAAATATTTATCTGAATTGCCTTCTGTCCACCTTGTGCCTGTACCAGTATTTTTTCCTGCTAATTTTAAAATGTTCTGGACAACCTGAGTAACAATCCCTCAATTAAGTAAAAATTTGATTGCCAAAAATGAAATTTCTAAGCTGAATCTTTTTACTTGAAATGAAAGTTTATAGAAAATGGAACAATTTTTCTGAAAGAACTAAATTTTATTTTGGGGTTTAAACAGGTTAGAAGAAGAATTTTTTTTTTCAAATGGGTGTGTCTTCTCTGTAAATCAGTTAAGGGCTATTTATCTATTGGGAAAATTTGTTGCATTTTCATGAATTTGTATCATTACAAGTATAAAATGTGGATTAAAAAAAGAAAAGTAAAGTCTCCCTTATTTGAAAGATAGTTACTCATTTGGGGAACTATTCCCCTTTTTGTGGGTTGCCCCCAACATGTTTAATGTTTTTGTAATTGATTTTTATGTATTGAAAGAAAAATTACAATAGTGTCACATAATAGCATATTTTCCATAAACACTTTTATATTTTTTTGTCCATGCATAGATTTAAAGGGGAGTAACTTTTGACATTTTAAGTTAATTTTATCATCTTTACATAGTGTAGCTTGCATAAGTAATACTTGTTCATATAGTAAACACATGCATTCATGTAAATCTTTTTATGTTTACTTTTAAAATTATATTTTCACTAAGCTGTATATTTATATGGTTGCATGGATAGGTTCATTTGAATAATGCCTCATTAAAAATAATACAAAACCTGCTATTTTCAACAAATTAGTTGTGTTAAGAATCTTCCTTAACTTTAAATGTGATCTTAATTAAATTTGTCATAAACCTCTTAGTTTGCATGAGTTTTATCTAATTGACATTATTGCATCGCTTATATTTTTGTCAAGCCTGATAAATTTTGTCATAAAAGCAAGACATACAATCCAACATTCCATCGTCAGCTTCGTCCACATTTATGTTCAGTCTGTGGGTAAAGTTTTAGCCATCTATAATTCAATCCATCTTGGAATGTTATGAAACTTCGACAGAAGCTTGATATTTGGTATGAAGTTGCATTGGCATTGGCACATCTCATTTTCGTGGAGATTATTTGGCCCCACTCCTCAGTTATGGTCTATTAACTTTGATACTTTTTTTACATGTTTTAGTTTGTGATTAGGTCTGTTCAATTGGGACCACTAGTGGTAGGTCCATGATATTTGGTATGCAGATGTATTAGAATTAGCTTATCTCATTTCCATGGAGATTTTTTGGCACCACCCCTTCATCATGGTTCTTGGACTTTGAAACTTTTGTATAGTTTACAAGTTAAAGCTTGTGTTTATGTTAGTTTAAAGGGAACCACTTATAAGTCAACGGTATTTTGTAAGCAGTTTTATCAGCATTGTCATTTCTCATTTCCATGGAGGTTATTTTGCCCTGCACCTTCAGTCATCTTTCATTGACTTTGAATGTTTTGCATATTTTACATGTTTAGATATTGCTATTTAAATTCAACATTTGCGTTACTATCAAAATTACAAAAAGGCAAGACATATCTCGGTGTCAACAGATTATTCCATATTTTACACATAAAGCTTCAAATTTCAGGGGTTAGAAGATCTGGATGCTTTATACCTTGTATATGGATGTGTTATGTTACAAAGTTGAACTCATTTTCATGGTTCATTAGTCAATTGGAACAATAAGTCAGTTTCTCAAACCCTATAAGCAATAGATCAAGTGTATTTGGTGGATTGAATGATCCCAAGTTGTACATGTGTGTCTGGAAGAGTGTATCTGCTCATTTTCATGCAAAGGTCTGTTTTACCAGGTACTATAAACATTAGCTCTTTATCCAGGGAATCAGTTGCACAATGTTGTGGACACTCAATTAACAGATGTTTATTCTGCTGTGGAATCATTCAATACTTATTTTTTGATTCAGCCATGCTGGATCTATGTGATCATTCCGGATTTTGAGATGGTGCAGAATTCTAAGTTGAAGACATATGAAACTAATTATGTGTTTTTATGACTTGCAGAAACTTTATACATCATTTTAATCATTAACTGCCAACCATTGACATGTTATTTGCCCTTAAATTAAGAAATTAATTATTTTAGATATACACTAGCATATAGTTCCTTTGTAAATCAAAATTTATGACAATTTACAGGACGTATTATGGTATACCGTTGACCGTCTGTCCGTCCGTCCGTCCGTCGTCAACATGTCGGACATTAACTTAAAAACGCTTTAACCAATATGCATGAAACTTTATTGAATTGTTTATATCTTTTGATGTGAGCTCCCTTTCGTTTTTTATAAATTTCAGATTTACCTTTTCCTAGTTACAGGGTTTTATTCATAAAAAAAGGGGGATTTTCCAGTTTTCTGACAATAACTCAAGAATGCTTTCACCAACTTGCAATAAATTTTGGTGAATTGTTTATACCTATTGACATGAGCTCCCTTTCGATTTTTATGAATTTTAGATTTTATGTTTCCGAGTTACAGGGTTTATTCATAAAAAAAGGGGGATTTTCCAGTTTTCTGACAGTAACTAAAAAATGCTTTCAGCAGTTCTCATGAAACTTTGGTGAATTGTTTATATCTGTTGATGTAAGCTCCCTTTAGAATTTTATAAATTTTAGATTTTAAATTTCTGAGTTATAGGATTTTATTCATTAAAAAAGGGGGGATTTTCCAGTTTTTCGACAATAACTCAAAAATGCTTTCATCAGTTCTCATGAAACTTTGGTGAATTATTTATAGCTATTGATGTAATCTCCCTATTGATTTTCATAAATTTCAAATATGACATTGAGAAGAAATTGAACTTTATTTGTTTAAAGTCTGACATCAGATTTACTTAGTATTGCACTACAGCACAGTGTATTGCACAACAGCAAGAAATCTTTAATTGAATATAAATTCAATTATTCGTCATGAAGGTACCCCCATACACCTTATTGCTATTTGGAAATCTGCGCCGGTTGACCCGACAATCTGCCCCCCTTGAACTTTTGATGTCATACAACAATCACTTTTCCATTGTGGCGTCAGATATTTTCTGTTGTGACGTCAAAATTTTACGGGAACCTTTGTGATGTCCAGTAATGGCAGACAAATAGCGATAAGGTGTTTTACAACCCTCGAGTATGGAACCAATAATTCGTTGCCGTCAATCATTCATGAAACATTTCAGAAAATGACCATTTGACGCCTGACGGAAAAGGGCATTCCTACCCTCGTACTTTTGTGTAAAAACATTAAATGAAAAACAAAATATTATTACCAACAGCAAATCAGTGGTTCACGATTTGGGTCAAGCACATACAGAAAATGAACGGGTTTGAAATGTTAACAAGTGCTCAAAACCCAATCCCTGACCTGAGACAAATCTGCATTGGATATATTCAGCATTTTTCAATATATGTTTATATCATATACAGTTATACCAAATATGGTATCAATAAGCTACAATGAACAAAGTGTCAATATAAAGCACCTGAACCTGATCTGGGTAAAAATAAAGATAAATCATAAAGAAAAAAAAATCAAATACATAATAAAATGTGGCTGGAACATGCTCTCTGCTTAAACTACATGCTAACTTAAACCTGGATGAAGTAACAAGGGGGGCAAATCTAGTACAAGGCGTTATCAATAAGGTACAATGAGAGTTGCCTCCCATTGTACGCAATTGACAACCAATAGTGTTTGGCAAAAGGTGCTTTATTATAATAATGCAATCATATACAGTTATACCAAACATGGTATCAATAAGCTACAATGAACAAAGTGTCAATATGAAGCACCTGAACCCATCACACATCGTTGTCAATATAATGGAATTTTATTCGACTGTCATACAAGTGAGAGGTTTAGCTAGCTATAAAACCAGGTTTAATCCACCATTTTTACATAAGAAAATGCCTGTACCAAGTCAGGAATATGACAGTTGTTATCAATTCGTTTGATGTGTTTGAGCTTTTGATTTTGCCATTTGATTATGAAACAAGAGAAGATGCTCTTGGTCCCTTGCTTTTTAATATTATGGTAAGCAATTTAATATGAGAAGTTCAATTTGAAAATTTATTTACAATAAAAGTTGGTAATGTTGAAGATAATATTTGAATGTATGCAGATGACATTATCATATTGTCAGAAAATAGTGAGAGACTTCAAAAATGCTTGGATAAATTATATAATGTTTGCTCTTCCTGAAATTTGCAAGTAAAAGAGGATAAATCAAATGTTGTTGTTTTCAACTCCAATGGAAAAACTTTCGTAAATGTTTTTTTTGTCTTGCCTGTGACAAAAGTCGCAGAATGTGAGACATAGGGATTACAATCTGGCGATGGCGTAAACTATTTTTTAAAGCTTTATATTTCAGAAGGTAGAAGACCTGGATGCTCTATACCTTGTATGCAGATGCCTTGTGTTACAAAGTTTCCATCTGTCATATGTCCATTGTCCTTGACCTCATTTTCATGGTTCAGCAACTGCTTGAAAAAAAAAAGTAGTTTTTTTTGTCATGTTAATTTCTCACTTATTATGGCTAATAGGATAACTATATTTGGAATATGGTTTCTTGCAAGGTCTGGCAAGGTCTGCATGTTTGTCAGACAGGGTTCACTTGACCTCAACCTCATTACTTGGATCAATGATCAAGGTTAAGGTGTTATACCACCAAATCATAGTACGTCACATCCGGTTGCATACGAAAAATTCCTTTGAATTTGACAGTTGTAGGAAATTAATCCTACATTTCATTGCAGTAAGAAAAATTTTATTTGGTGTTTCTATAGAAAATTTTTGGAAACTTGAGGTAACATGGTTACTAAAGCTTGTACACAGGAAAAAAAGGGGTGAAAATTTGATTGGTTAACTTCCAGTGATGGTTATTTTCTTATATGCAATAAAATGTTATGTGAAATTTTGTCTATAGTACTGGACAGGATAAAACTTTACTCATGCCAAGTATTTCTTTATTTGAAACAAAGATAAATTCTGCACAATTTTTTTGAAAAGTGCAAATTTAACAAAGACTTATAGGGGAAATCAATGGTGGTATTACACCTATTATGGGAAGCTGCACATGCACCTTTGACCTTATGTGTACTCTCATTTGTTAAAATTTCATGCTATTTAAGTGAAATATTACAAAAATGATATATTCTGAGTGGATTGAGACTCAAAAACACATTTTATGAGAAAATTGCCTTGAAATAGGACTCTACCATGAATATTAGTAGACAGAGCAAGCCATACTCAGTGTTTTGAGGAGCTTTTTCTGACTTTTTCTCCTAATTTCTTATGTGTTGCTATAATAGAAAACTTTTTCCCAAGTAATACTTTAATAAATATATAGTTATTAGAAAATGAAATTATTTTTGAAGCAGTAACAACAAATTATTCTCTAAAAGGGAAGCTTTTTATGTCCCTCTCTGGAACGCGGCATAAATTTAAGTTTTGCGTAAGGACTTATTGAAACCTCCATGGAGTCAGTAAACTTTTATATGGATAGTTCATTCAGCTTGAATACTTCAGTTACTCATTTATTATCACATTTCTTTCATAAATGAGTGAAAGTTACCCCAAAATTTTTATTTATTGGCCTAAAAAGTAGAAATTTTGAGGAAATAAGAGGTATAAATGGACCAAAAGGGTCCTTATAATGAAGACAAAGAGGTCCATTAGTGGTATTTATCATCCTAGAGTCACCTTTTGTATCATATTCAACTGTTTGTAGGCCGATGAGATAAATATTTCATCATTTATTGGTCCACACTATATTCTATCATGATGCGGCTTGATTTGGATTTTTCGAAGAAATTTTGCTCGAATCGCTGTAGATGTCGTCTTACATTATAATAGATTTTTCTCAAACTATTGAACTAATTATGACAAAACTTGACAGTAATGCTTAAAATAACAAGTATTACAAAGGAAAAAATCACATTCAGTTTATTCAACAAAAAAGTCTTCTTTAGGTGTAATACCACCAACTCATAGTACGTCACATTCGGTTGCATACGAAAAAGGGTCGAAAAAAATATTCCCTTGAATTTGACAGTTGTAGGAAATTAATCCTACATTTCATTGCAGTAAAAAATTTCTGAGTCATAAACATATATCTTGGGTGTTTCAAAGCACCCTTATTTTTTTATTTGGTGTTTCTATAGAATATTTTGGAAACTTGAGGTAATATGGTTACTAAAGCTTGTACACAGAAAAAAAAGGGGTGAAAATTTGATTGGTTAACTTCCAGTGATGGTTATTTTCTTATATGCAAAGAAATGTTATGTGAAATTTTGTCTATAGTACTGGACAGGATAAAACTTTACTCATGCCAAGTATTTCTTTATTTGAAATAAAGATAAATTCTCCACAATTTTTTGAAAAGTGCAAAGTTAACAAAGACTAATAGGGGAAAATCAATGGTGGTATTACATCTTAAGTCTATGTGGTCAAGTCTGTATTTCAGATATTATATGCAATAGGTCAACTATGATTGGCATATGGAATGATTGTAATAACTTCATATCTGACTGGCTGGTTTCATCTGACCTTGGCATCGTTTTCATGGTTCAATGGTGAATGTTAATTTTTCTGATTTTTTCTGTTTGTCAGATACTATAGCTATAAGCAATAGGTCAACTATATTTGGTGTATAGAATGATTGTAACATGTATATGTCTGTCTGGTAGGATTCATCTGACCTTGACCTCATTTTCATGGTTCATTGGTCAATGTTAAGTTTTCATGGTTTTGTCTGTTTTTTAGATACTGTAAAGCAATAGGTCTACTATATTTGGTGTATGGAATGATTGCATGGTGTAAATGTCTGTCGGACATGGTTCATCTGACCTTGACCTTGACCTCATTTGCATGATTCAAGTTATTAACATCAATTCCCTAATAATAAAAAAATAGCTTCCTCGTTAATAAAAAAAAATGCCTTGATGGAAGAACAAACTCAATGTAAAAGTTGTTGGAACTTATAGAAATTCTAAAAGAAAATGCCTTGATGGAAGAACAAACTCAATGTAAAAGTTGTTGGAACTTATAGAAATTCTAAAAGAAAATTGATGTATTTTTTTTTTATATTTTTATGCAAAAAATAAACATCAATTATAAGTTGCTCAAATATTATATTACAATGCAAGATCATGTAATTGATGAACTATTATCTATAAGATTTTATCAAGGAATTTAAATATACAATTCCTTGATTTTATGTACTATGTAATATTGTTATTTGAGGACCATTTCATTAAAAAAAAAATCATTCATTCAGGACCAGGGAGACAAATTGTTACTAATGAGCCACTTTAAATAAAGATTATTTATTTATACCATACTTTATGAGTTTTTGAGAGGGTGCAGCATAAACACAAACCACGCCCCCTTTTCGATAATACCACGTGGTGAAAGCATTGTTGTTGCTAACGATAACATCTTGAAAACGTCCGCGTATACTAATGAAACAATATAGTTCTAAAGATCTGTTTGACAACCCTTTTAATTTTGTGAAGTCAGAAATACGAGTAATAGTCATATAATATTTTTTTTATTCTGATTATAAAGACGAGCGCCTATACATAATGGAAAATACAGCATGACTTTTATTAAGAACGTAAACCGGAAGTTAAAGCGCAGTAATATTTCACACAACATGGTTTCCAGCGGTGTACACAAACTGGTCTAAGACAGAAAAAAAATGGAATAACTTCTAAACATGTAATTTTCTGTATGTGTCAGTGAGAAAATCAAAAAAGAAAATGCCTTCGACAAAGGTTAACCTTTCCCAAATGGTCGATCTGGCCTTGGGATCACCAGAAGTAGGGTCTGTAAATTTCAATGTTCTTCACACATTACTACATGCTATGCTTAAACGTCTAAATATTGTAGACGTACAAGCGGATATAAATGAATTTGATCGGGATTTTTTGTCAGCATCTAAAGCTAGAGAGTTATCAGTGCTAAGTGATGTCGATAGCGGTCGTGGAGAGGATACAGAAGACACTCTTAGTGAGAGGTCGTCCGCAATGCCTACTCCTAGTACAGGGAGAAAGACACCTTATCATCATCTGGAAGTCAAAGTTGCTAAATTACAGGAACAACTTGATAACATTACATCAGTTCCATCAAATCAAGACTTGTTTGAAAAGACAAAAACACAATATGCAGAAAAACCGATTGGTGAAATGTGGATGAATATGCAACTGATGAGCCGCGTGGAAACCAATGAAAAAGGAATAGCAAAGGTACACATGTATATGAACTTTTGAGAGTAAAAATATGGCTTCATTGTACAAAAAGGAAGGGTTTATATATAAATAAGAAGGTCTGGTATGATTGCCAATGAGGCAATTCTTCACCAGAGATCAAATGAAGTCAAAGGTTAGCAACTATGGGGGGGGGCGTACCTTTATCGGGACTCTGGGATCGGGTGTTTTTAAGCTCTGGATTTCGGGATTGATCCTTTCGGGATCCAGGAATTCTTTTTTCGAATTTCGGGATGTCGGGATTTAAATTTCTTTAAATTCGGGACCTCAGGATTTCATGTTTTTAAGCCGGGGATCAGGACCCCTCTGACCCCCCCCCCCCCCCCAAAAAAAAACTATAGCAAGGACACCTTACTGCCTTCAATAATGAACAAAACCCATGCTGCATACATGTAGCAAGCTATAAAATATAAAATGCCCAGAAATTATGTGTGTATCAATTCAAAAGAGAAAGTCTGATTTCTGTACAAAAACAAAAAAAAAACAAATATGATATACATGTACTGCAACATATGACAACCACTGAGTTACAGGCTCCAGACTTTTGTTCTATTTTCCTTGCATATAAATTAACAGTTTTTTGCTTATGCATTTCAAGAGCTGTAATTTACGAATTTCACATTCATGCATTTTCCCTAACATTTCCTATCAGAAAATTCAGACATTAGGGGATGATTGTTTTATGATGTCATTAACATTTACGCTGATTGACATCAGGTCAACTGGGAACTCATTCATAAAAAAAAATAATTTGAAATTGGTCCATTAAATAGGTACATATACACCAGCTTTTCTTGATAGACTATCATGACTATGAGAAAAAAGTAAAAAGGGAAATGAGTTTATGAAATATATGTACTGTTTTGTTTATCAATGTCATATAGACAAAAATTCACTTGACCTGTAGTTGATTTACAAATGTATAAGAAGAAAAACTAATCAAGAATGTCAGCAACTGAATTAAACATTTGATAAAACAATCCTAAAAAGTTGACTAGACTTTTTTAGATTTTGGTCATAAAGATGTTGCTGGGATTTGAAATAAAAATGTAATATTAGAAAATATACTTGTACATGTAACTGACAACCCATATTCACACTGGTATTAAACTGCATATACACGAAATTAGTTTTTAGTCTGTGGTTAGTAGTATATAAATGACTTAAAAGGCAACATTTCCTGCTACTGTTTGCTTTATGATTTATTTTTTTTTACCTATTTATTTGTCTTCTATTTTTGTACTCTGTTGCAACACAGTGCAGACTTCAGAGGACCTAGAAATACAAGGTTGGGAATTGCTTTTAAAATCTTACCTGCCATCTTTACAAATGTCTATATTTGTTTTGTAAAATGTGGGTTAAGATATTCTGATGGTAATTCAAAACTATGTGGTATGTTGTCAACTTCCAACTTGAGAATTAAATTTAAATTTTAGTGAAGGATTAATTTTATCTCTAAGTATTTTTTTTACTACCAGTACTTTAGTTTTATTAAAATCTAGTTTCACTCTTCAAATTTTGGTACTAAAAGATGCTAGTAGCTATTTTGCAATGACATAAAATCAAGAACTTAAAAGTATTTCATGCAAGATATGACCTTGCATTTCCCAAAAAATGTCAGAAATGGAATTTGAAAGAGAATGCAAAGCCTCATGTTATAGGTCGAAGTTAAATCTGAGGTGTAGCTTACAATTTTCTATTAACAAGTTCAAGTTATTATACCAAGAAATGTGTATTTACAACATTAATTTTACATGTGTGGTCTAATTAGATTGTCTAAATGAAGTAATTTGGGCCTTGTCATGCATGTCGTTTATTTCAGATATTTATCAGATTAAGTAATTTTACTTATTAACACATAAATAACACAACAAATTTATTTCTGCATGTTTGTAGATTTGTAATTATATAAAACTAAAATTGTCTTAAGATACCAAAAAAATAGACAGCATGCACCCATGTAAAATGATCCCTTACATGCTTTTGTACATGTAAAATGATCCCTTACATGCTTTTGTACATGTAAAATGATGCCTTACATGCTTTTGTACATGTTAAATGATCCCTTACATGCTTTTGCTTTAATGTAACTCCATTGATTTAAAAAAGTAAAAGGTTGTCCTGTGACAATTAAAGTAAACTGGGAAATTTTTACTTATTTTTTTGAATATACATTTAAAAAGATAAGTATGATTGCCAATGAAACTATTCATGATTTGTAACCTACATGCATGTACATAAAGGAGATGTACATGTATGTTCTCTCTGTAAATTGTAATAGTGAAATGGATTATATAATGTACATCATTCTCAAAACTCCATAGAGGGAAAAAGTTTGGACCTCATTTCCTTTGTGAAAGCGACATTCCTCTGTCTGTTGAATTACACATATATGATTGATCAGGTCTTTTAACTGAATGCCGGGTTAAATATATTGATATATAAAACATTGAATGTGTAGTCAGTGTGAATTTTTCATGTGAAATTGATAAATTGATAAACTTTTCTGATAGATTTTTTATAGTATGATAAAAGACTATTGTTCAGATGTGTCCAGTAGGATTGTTTTTCACAGACTGTTATTGTATATACCATACATTTGATTTTGTTTTTATCACATTTTAAAAGGATATCCAGTTTATGAAGTGATACACCCATAATGACTCAAATATTTACATAGATTTTACTGTACTTTGTTACAAAGCATGTGTGTGACATTTGATAATATTGGTAGATCTTTTTTAGATACTGCTTGAACTTGAAGACAGTTGGTATTACTGTTATTATATAAAAAAGCAACTACATGTACTTTAAATCTATCCTTTCTTTCATTGATATTCAAAATCTGAAAAAGAAGAATGAATGATTGAATGAATGTATGGGTTATCAATGAAAAATAGTCCAAAACACTAGCTTAAAAAAGGTCATTCCCCACATGCTTAGAGATCCCAGGTTTTCTTTTTTTTACCAATGTAAAACCAATGAAATGTATTTTTACATAATTTTTAGAATGACCACAAGGTTGTAATTTGTTATTCTTAATTTTGTCTTGTCAACCAAGCTGGACACTTTGATTTGAATTATTGATAAACTTACGTTACTTCATGTTTAATAGATTTAATTTTGACAAGAGGTTAAATGCTTACAGACTTTTTCTAATCTAATGAAAAAATTATTAGTAAATAATTATCAAATCTTTGTCAATTAATTTTTACTAGATTGTCCAGTTTCAAAAGTTCATGTATAGGATGAGTAGTTAATGAAATTTGAAATTTAACTAAAATGTATTTAAGCTTTAATTTATTTATATTTATAAGAATATTATATAGTTAGCATTACTGAAAATAGAAAATTTTATGAGAGAAAATGACTAAATTATTTATAAATTTTCAAAACTGTTTTATATATTAAATATAAACTGGAAATTTCAAAATATATATCTACATGTATAACATCTCCTAGATTTAACTGATAAATTTGAAATTTCCAATTTACAAAATAGATAAATACAAAATGAATAGTTTCAACTTATATTCTTCTTCAATTGTATTTAATATCATTTCAATGATAAAATATATTTATTTTCTATTGTTCAATCATAAAAGTATTGGAAATTATGAACAGGGTTTTTATATGAAGCTTTTACAAATACCATTGTATTCCAAGTTTCTTTAATTGGACCTTTAAATATTGACTGTAGACATATACCTATATGTCGCTATAGTTTAATCTCTAAAAAAGATTTTCACATAATGTTTATAAACACATGAATCTAAGGGTATTTTGTTTGACCATTGGGTTGTGTATAATACATATACAACAGGGTATAACAATGGACAAAATTACATGTATTACTGTAACAATGAATTGGCAATAATTACCATTTAGGGTTTAATTATGCATAAGTATTCTTAGACTGTCACTCTAGAAGGACATGAAGTGTAGTTCAACAAAGAAGATTTCTTTTTTGTGTCAAAGCCAGGCATGACAACGTTTAGTACTAACTGAATGCTTTTTGTGCAGTTGTCAGCTGGACTGTGGAACTAAAAGGAGAAGGAAACCAAATTATAATGTTTTTATTTACAGAATTTATTCTTATTAAAGTAGTAATAAAACATCTCTCCCTGTTGAAATAATTCCAAAAGGTCATGAATTTGGAATATTTTGATAAATCTTTTTAAATATCCCCTCTGCAAAGGCATCTGTCATTTTTCTTAAACTCGATATCACTACTACCATTCTATTTACATTCAGCATCAGTATAAAAATAACTCTCTTATTCATCACTCAAACAAACAAAAACTTTGTAGAGTTTTGATGGAGAGGGAATCAGATAAATAAAGGTTAAGATTCTAAATGAATTAGAACCAAAATATAAGGCTGAGGAAAGTAAGTTGCTATTCCATAGCAGCGTCAGTATAACTGTCATCACATCAGTTAGCTATTAATTAGAAAGAATGTAGCAATTTTGGAAATTGTCAGTAAATGCTGAAAACCGTTATAACAGAGGAATATGTACATATACAAATTCATCCACCAAATCTGCATGTTTCTCTTGTTGCAATGTACTAAATATTGCCCATGATATTTATGGGCTAAATTGTGTTAATCCAACATCAAAAGTTCAAAGAGAGCTAGCTTAATTTAGTTGTGATGTGTTATTGTAAATAAATAATGAAGATCAATTAATGCTGTTAACACCATTTTCATGTATCATGGAAAGACATAAATAGTCCATTGATCCACTGTGCTCAACAAGTCAACTCATGACAAATAATTGGTTTGACATATTAAAATTGAGAATGGAAATGGGGAATATGTCAAAGAGACACCAACCCTACCAAAAAGCAGGAAACAGCCCAAGGCCACTAATGGGTCTTCAATGCAGCGAGAAAATCCTGCACACGGAGGTGGTCCTCAGCTGGCCCCTAACTAAAATTGTGCGCTAGTTCAGTGAAAATGGACGTCACACTAAACTCCAAAACATATAAATGAACTAAAATTAAAAAACATACTAGACTAACAAAGGCCAGAGGCTCCTGACTTGGGACAGGCGCAAAAATGTGGCAGGGTTAAACATGTTTTGTGAGATCTCAACCCTCCCCCTATACCTCTAGCCAATGTAGAATAAAGAAACACATACTAGTAGCAATACGCACAGTAAAACTCAGTTTAAAAGAAGTCCCAGTCCGATGTCAAAATAGGTAACAAAAGAAATTAAGCAAAATGACAATGATACATAAATGAACAAAGGACTACTAGCAGTTACTGACATGCCAGCTCCAGACCTCAATTAAACTGATTGAAAGATTATGTCTTCATCATATTGTATAGACATCTGTCTGTTTTCGAAGACTATATGTTGTCCTGTACATGTTGATGTCTTTTTGTTATTCATTGTGTATACCCCACATCTCCTTAAATTCATATTCTATGGGCCGACTTTAAACACATGAATACAGTTTTACTCTTGTCCCTCTTACTGAAATATATCAATGGCTTAGACTAATGACAGACTAAGTTTAAGTTGTACCATTCACTTTTGAAAGAACTACTGTTCTTTGAATCTATTTTAATAAATTTAAAGAAAACTGAACTAGTTCATACTTTCAGTGCCATCCTTTTATTTCTAGTGCCATGAATTAGTACAAAAAAATGTATTCAGTTTTATCCAAAAGTATTAAATACAAGCTGTTAAGGTAGATAGGGTGTCTTCCTCCATCTTGGATTTTGAAATACCAAAAAACAATCGGTCTAGATCTTTAAGAAAATGTGCAAATTTTGAGAATAGTAGTTAATTCATGTGTAAGAATTTTCATTTCAATATAGAAAATGACATGTTTTATCATATTTATGGTTGTATTTTACAAAAAACAGAATACTTTTGTTTGATTCAATTTTTTCCAACTTTGCCACATAAGGGGAGGCAACTCAAATGTAAGGGCAGATAATTCAGATAAAGTTACTTTTACAATAGAATGTGTTAGGAATTTACCTATTTTATTATGTAGCAAGAAAAAGGGTCCCGTGACCCCATTTTTTCTTTTTCTTATCTGAAAGCATAAAAATAGAGCTATCTTCTCATATTTTATCTCAAAATTCTATGGTGTAGTTTTCGTTTTATAGCAGAAAATTGGGTTTTCCATGCATAATCTATACAAAATCTGTCAATTTTGTACAACCTGTAGTGTGAAAATAAGCCCCGTGACCCATTCTTTTTATTATTTTTTTTAAAAAAGCTTGATATTAACTACATTTTGGCAAATTATTAAAAAATTCTATGGATTATAATTTACACACCCCATCTACCTTAATAGTAAGCAATGAAATTGTTTTAAAATATTCCGTATTATTGGGCAAATTATATAAAGTTGATAAAGTATAAGTTTAAAGTGCTTTTCTTCCATTTAAGAAGACATTTCAGAATGGCAATATGAAATTTGGAAAGTAAGCAAGTGTATTTACTAGATATAAGAATAGTAATACTGTCTGTATAAACCCTGTACAACAGAAATTTTTGTTGGATTAATCTTATATAACCAAGAAATCTATATATTTTTTTAAAACAAAATTAAAGTATTAATTTTTTATATATTGTAAATTTGTTATTGCCATAAAACAAAAAATACAACACAGTCATTTGTATTTGAAAAATCTATTGACCCCACATTTAGTCCTCCTTTGATTGCTGTCGATACTATTAACATTTATATAAAGTACCTTTCATTTCCCATGGAGTTCTTATGAACTTTTTTTTATAATGTACGAATCAAATGTGATTTTTTTTCTAAATAATAATTACAAGCCATTTGGAACTGTGTGAAGTCCATAAAATATTTGCTGATGTTAAAAAAATAAAATGAAAGTTCTTTAAATAAAATGGTTTATAATAACTTCAAATCATTTGGAAAGAAGCACAAATAAATTTAATTATCCGTTACAAATTTTAACCACCTTAACATCTTTCAAGTTTTAACATTCTTCCCTAATGTGTAGATCAATTGAAAATTCTGGATACATTTATGGTATTATGCAATTATTTTTTTTAATTTTTTATGTATTTAACTATTTATGATTGTAAATTTATATAGAATTGTCATTTTGGTAAAAGCTCAAATGATCCTTTAAAATTTTTAATTTGGTAAAAGTATAAAATATGACAGTGTCGAATGTAAAATAGAAGATAAATACAATAATAACAGTCTGAAGAGCAACATATTTTTTGTTTGAAATAGGGTATTCAATAAAACAGTACTCTTTGTAGTATTGATCACAGTGATAGAAAGTGATTACTTATCTTTTGTCAATTCTATTGATTATAAGCATCAGCTCCAGAACTATTCTTCTAAAATCACCAGCAGAAATGATTCAATTTTATGACCTTGTCATCTTAAGCAAGAGTATACATGTATGAGAAATAGATTTATTAAGTCTGTGGTCTGCATGATCATATTTTAGTTTTTCCTAAGTTTGTCATAAAAAATGTGTCCATTTCATACTGAAAATCATAGTTATAAAAGAGAAAATATACTATGCAAAACAATGGATAGCTCTCTTATATGACAAGTCTAATGCATAGATTTGTGTACATAAATGTTTGACCCCACCAAATTGTGTGTCTGTACCAAGTCAGGCTATAGATCTGTACCTCATTTCTTCTTGTTTGTCTTTGTTGGTACATTTATTTATCAGAAGAATTGAGCGTTGTTGGGTTCTGATGTACTATGTAATATGTTTAGTGATTCCTATTATCATTATAATGTGTTCTAAGCATTCTACCTAAATGAACAATATAAATGTTAATATTCAGTTGAAAGCTACAAAATGTACATGTATGTGTATAATGGGAAGTTTTCACTTATTTTGCATGAGGTTTCCTTATGTGAACACTTCACTGTCCATTTAAAAGCATTGAACAAGGCCATGATACGCAAATAATGAACACAGCGTAAATTAAACTGTCCCATCTAAGGCCAAAACCTGTAAAATAACCTAATATAAGGTATTTAGCCAAATTGCAGCAGGGAATATGTTGAAATTTTTTTTTATTTATTCACAGTGTATGTCAATGATTGAAGATATGATGAAAGAAATGCAGTCATTGAAAGATGCTAACAAAAGTCTTATGGATAAAGTAAAAGGGGTGAGTAAAATTAGAACTAGAAAGATGTTATCTAAATGTACAAAGGGGATGAGTTAGATTTGAATTAGAAAGATACTAACAAAAGTCTTATGGATAAAGTTCAGGGGTGAGGAATATTAGAACCTAATAGATGCTGACAAAAGTCTTATGGATAAAGTACACAGGCTGAGTAAAATTGGAACCATGCTGATGTGACGTAGGTATTCTAAGGTTAAGGAGTAGTAGAACCTGACTGGAATCTGTGTTACTCAGGTATTTCAACTGAAAATAGTACAATTTACAAAAGAAAGTCGAAAGCTCTGAAATCTGTTACTCTGGTATTCACATTGAATATAATACATGTACTAAGAGTGAGTAGGACCATGCTGAAAATGTTACTCAGGAATTTAGAAAAGTTTTAGTGTGCAAGAAATGAGTATCATTAGAAATATACTGGTATCTGGTACACAGAAATTCTGAATGATTACAATACTAGGAGTAATGCTATTCTTTATCAGGGTCCATTAGCAAGAATGTATAAAGTTGGTTTTCCAAAGTTATGGTTTCCTTTCCTTTCTCATATATATGTTTTCTCCATTTCAGTTGAACCTTGATGATTTGATGAAGAGATTAAAAGATTTAGAATCCAAAATGGTAAGAAATTGTACATTAATTTTAAGATATATTTTAAATTAATTGTGGATTGTGTACTTTGTGACACCAGGTATGTAGTGTGGATTGCCATTGATGCAATGATAGCAAACATATTTTTAAAATAAAATTTTCAGCTAGGTTTTCAACTTTAAGATTGATAAACCACAACATCCACACAATTTTATATCCATGAATAGATGTTTTGAATGAAAGAAAAATAATGAAAACCAATTACAGTATTAAAAAAAAGGAAGGTACAGTTTCTGGTTTTTTTTTTATTTACATGTATGTCCTGAATATGAATAAAATATATCAATGTTTGAAAGAGTGCAAACTTGTTGATTGCATATATTTTTCCTTGATCTTGTCAAGGAAGTTTCTAGTTGCCAAAGTTCACAAAAATTTTTAATTGATTTTTTTAGAATGATGTGAATGACAGATTTAACTTGTTGCCTTCGCCTGATGACTTTGCCCAGTTTGTAACATGGGCAGGACTAGAGGATGCTCTTAGTGGTATTAAAAAAGACTGGGAAAACATGCAGCAACCAACAGAACGAGTTGTTATAGAAATGTCTAGTCAAACAGAAGCTGTAAGTATTTCCCCCGATCATATCTATAGTATACTCTGGGCAGAGACTCCACAGGTAGCTTCCTTGTTTGGATTTCCAATTAGTGTTACCCCCATCCTCCCCTCTCCAAAATTTTTTTTTTTATTTGTTAATATGATGAAAAGAGCAAAGATCTTCTGGTCACATGTAATACGATTGAAATTTAATTGTATATCTAATAGGTTTAATGTAAGTCATTTCTCATATTCTGTGCTTTATTTCTCAGTTCATTCCAACTTTGAAACTACTGATTTTAGATGAGGTCTGCAGGTATTGAGTCTAGTAATAAAAACAAATCAGTATATCAACAGAATCAGATGAAGGATTCAGACTATCATGATTTGCACACCAATGATCACAGTATTCAGACTATGGATTCACACCATAGTAATCAGTGTGAAGATTCACACTGTAATCAGTCCAAGGATTCACATTATAGTAATCAGTCACATGGTTCACACAGTGGTAATTGGTTTTCACCTAATAATAATAAGATGAAAGATGAACAATGCAATAATCAACCTGCTTCACAAAACAAGAGTCAGTCAAAAAGTTTAGACACCACTGATCAGTCTAGTCAAATGAAGTCTTCATCAAGTAGTCAAATGAAGGGGTTACACCATAATGACCTTCCCAAGGTCGTCCACTACAGCAATCAAACAAAACCATACAGTGAGGTTGCCAAGGTATACACTCTGGTGTCCTGTTTTGTTTTCACCTATCTTTTCCGGTATGGAAACATGCATGGATAGACACTTCCAATTATGATTTATTGGACTGAAGCAAATTTTGCATGGTGTGTCTTTTTGTTTGTTTGTCACTTATTTTATTGATGAAGTTATTTTGATAAAAAATATTGAAACCCCATTGACTTTTTAAGGTGAAGATATATTTAAAAATTAGTTAAAATGATACAATAAAAAGGTTTAATGAAAAGTTAGTACCTATTACCACAAAGACACCTAAATCAAATAAAAAAGTAAGCACAGAGGAAAAATACAAAAAAAATCACTAACATATAAATGTTGGTTGAAGACAATCATAAAAAAACTACCATTTTTTGTAATTTGGTTGAACTTGAGGACAAACAATCATTACAGCTCACAATTATTTTTTTAATATTATGTGCTGACAGTCAAACACAACGAGCCAGCCGTAAAATCATCAGGAAAACACTATCAATTCAATCGATTAATCTTACATACATATACACTGTTAAAATATATCATTACATCTGATCCATTCATAAGCCAGAAAGGGATTTTTGAATGTTTATTAAAATATTTCTCTTGACGTCTGTAAACAGAGAAATTTGATTGTCTGTTTATTTTTGTTTGTAAGACAATACACAGAACAGCTTTCATCATGAGATATTGGATATAAATCTTGTTTACTTTTTGATAAGGAGGTATTATTATTTGTAAATATAGGAGAGACAATATAAATAGTTTTATGATTTTGACATTTGATCAAGTGTAAATTCATTGCTGTTGTTTTAGTCAGTATATCATAGATCATATAAAGATTAGAAAAATCAAACAATGCACATTATATTGTAGATCTCCATTTCATGATGATTTGTGATTAGTTTTAAGGGTACATATGGAACACAGTTCTGTAAATTTTAACTCTTTGTGTAACCTTGTGTTACTTCAATAGGGAGTGGGGAATCTGTAATGTTTTCGAACGCTGCAATGATGTTATTTTAATCTTTATTTTTAAGCAATTAAGAATGGTTAGTATAACATATAATTGGTTAATGGATGCACATATATGCATAGAGGGGAGAAGCTAGAAGTTAACATATTTTGTGATTTGTTTTTATGTAGCTTTTTGTCAAATAACTGGTTAACCATTGCTTCATAAACGGTAAAAAAGGTTTCTGGTTTTTCGTTTTGTAAAACTTTATAATTATAAAGAAAACAGACAGCCATATGTACTGTAGATTTTTGTTTCATCCCTGTGTTAATGCTAAAGATCATATGGTTTCAAGGATGGAAGCCAAAATGACTTCAATAAATTGGTCCTATTCAAAAGAATATTGAGTAAAACATATTATAAAGTTCAAATTTGCTAGCAGCTGGTCCGAGTACACAGTTATCGTCCTTTGATTTTCGTTGTCCACGAATAAAGTCCCTAGTGTGGACAGTGTGTTGCTTGCCAATTTTTTTAGTACCCCTTCCAAATGTATTCCTTCATGTTTTATGCCTCAAATAGCAAGTAGGGGGATGAAATTACACTGTAAAAAAATTTGGGTCATGAATTGTAAAGTTAAGTAGTGATTTGGTCCAGCTGAAAAAGGTTAAAAATTAGCACTTCGGAAGCTGTCAAAAGATTTCAAGACCCCCTTAACATAGAATTGTCCATATTTTGAGTTAGAGCCGATGAAGTTTTCTATAATTTTGATATGATTTGTCCCAAAAGTAGTACAACACACTGTAAAAATATTATTGAGAAAGCGCAGGTGGGATTTTTTTTATTTTCATTTATTGTCTAAAAGAAATGCACTACGAAATAACTGTACTCGGACCAGCTCACCTACTTGTTAAAATGGCAATTACTGATTTTTTTGTACCAAACTATGAATAAATATAAATGTGAATACTATTGATTGCATGCATACATCACATTTTTTGGCAAGCCTTAGTTTTATTTATTCGATATCTCACAAATTCATCAAGGTTTATAAGTGATATTTTCCGTTTACAAACTTCTTTTAAAGTACATGACCTATATGATATGTTTTCTTATTTAGGCCTCCGTTTTAATTACCCATAGTGCCATTTGAAGGGTTTTGTCACTGCAGTATTATTTAAATAGCGAACATAGTTCATCAACATTTGAATCTTCCTGACCTACATTTTACAGATGAGTGACTCTAGTTATGTTTCATTTGTTGACAAGTGGTTGGTCTTTCAACGATTTTTATTGTTGAGCATCTTGCATGCAGACATATTTTCTACTTAGATCAAGAAATGATAGTAATGTTAGTTAATTTGATATTTAACCTGGCTACAATAATGCAGTTACTTATAAGTCCCGACCGTGCAAGGGCTGTATAGCCAGTCAAGGTCGTTAAAAACTTCCATTTGTACTTATAAGTCAGACAGACCTTGGCAAAAGTCCAGAAAAGTATGGCTCAGTTGTTAGATGACATGAATGACTAATATGGTTAGAATACCTTCACATTTTATTTATTAAAAGAATAGCCCTAAGTGTATTCAAGAACCTTTTGATCCAGATTAAACTGCTGCTTTCTCAGACCGAATTATGTTAAATTATGAGGACCTTTGTAATCTCATCAAAAATAGTATAAAATTTGTAATTTGAAAAGATAATTATTGAAATGAAAAATGAATATGTTGGCCATAACTGTTTGAATAGGAGTGTAATATACAAAGCAAACAAGATAGCAATTGTTAAAACACTTGAACAATATACCACATCAAGGTTATGTTTTTAAACAGATGACATTTTCTATGTTATAAATTTTAATTTTGGTTTTATAGTATCAAAAGAGAGCTTGTTTTAAACCTTTTCTTTGAGATAATTGAACATTGAAAACTTTAAAATTTGTTATATAAGGTGATAGTCTTGCCGTAAGTAAAATTTAAAATCACTTTGATGAGATGAAATATTTGATTTATAGACGTGCCGTTATTAAAAAGAAAATATGTTAAAGTCACAAAGTTCAGAAAATGAAAATAGGCTTTCAGTATTAGATTCAGGTAAAATAAACACTATCAATAAAGTTTATATTATATTGATGTGAACCTGATGGCAATTATATGGATACTCCCCAAACTTAATAGCCTAATATATAAGTCAGGCCTCAAATTGGATTAATGTCTATATAAACACATTATGTTAAATCTGTGTGCTGTCACCTTGGGGATTTAAAGAAGTTTCTTTTTACATGATTTGGTGCAAATAATTATAATTAAGGTGCAACATATAATTTTGTATGCAGGACAAGTTTTACTGAGATGATGCTTTATATTTGTGAATTTAAAATTGCATGTTTAAGTTTAATAGTTGATAAAATTTCCTCTTGTTACCTCACATTTAAGAAGTGGCTAAACTTATCAATTAAATGGACTAAACATGCATTATATTATGTGACTTAGGGAAAATTTTAAAAGCCTTTGTATTGTAATAAAATCCCCCTTGTTCAGACGGCTGTTTAAATTTTTAATTATATTATATATATATAAAAAGTTTTTTTCACAGATTAAACATTTGACAAGGTTAACAATCTATACACTTATGATTTGTGTTGGAAATCTTTCTGTTGCCAACAAAGTTCTTTTGGTACAGATATGATTGTCAGAATATAATTTATATATTGAGATCCTTGTATGGTTATTATTTTTTGAGAATATGACACATTTTTCTCTGTTGAGATATATTCATTGTGTTAAACTTTTAAAATGAAACTTTCAATTGTTACAATAAGAATGTTTTCATCAGTGTCTTGGTTTTGACGGCATTTCCCAAAATGAAAAGAGCTGTTATTCGCTTTGTTAAAGAATAAAGAAGTATTACTAAATCAAATATTATATCTATATGATATACATGTAATTAAATTTATTCACACAAGGTAACTTTGCTGACTTCATTGAGTCCCTTTTGTGTCTACATTTTAAAGAAGACTGGTTTTAATTCATAATCCAATCTCAGTTGTTTTCCGAACTTATCATGTCAGTCATATAGAATTATCCTTGCATTTGGCTGTCAATTTGTTGTCTCGCTTGACGGAGTCAAAAAGCGAGACATAGGTATGCTTTTTCCGGCATCGGCAGCGTCAACAATGTATTAGTTTGTGATAAGGTCTAGTTTGTGGTGAACCACAAGTTGTAGGTCAATCATATTTGGCATACAGTTGTATTAGCATTGGCACATCTCATTTCCATGGAGATTATTTGGCCCTGCCCCCTCAGTCATGGTCTATTGACTTTGAAACTTTTGCTTATTTTACATGTATTAGTTTGTGATTAGGTCAGTTTATGGAGAACTATTAGTGGTAGGTCAATGATATTTGGTATACAGTTGTATTAGCATTGGCACATCTCATTTCCATGAAGATTATTTGGCCCTGCCCCCTCAGTCATGGTCTATTGACTTTGAAACTTTTGCTTATTTTACATGTATTAGTTTGTGATTACATGTAGTTCAGTTTATGAGGAACCATTAGTGGTAGGTCAATGATATTTGGTATGCAGTTGTATAAGCATTGCATATCTCATTTCCATGGAGATTATTTAGCTCAGCCCCCTTAGTCATGGTCTATTGACTTTGAAAATTTTGCTTAGTTAACATGTATTAGTTTGTGATTAGGTCAGATCAAGGGGAACCATTAGTGGTAGGCCAATGTTAATTGGTATTCAATTGTATAAGCATTACCACATCTCATTTCAATGGAGAATATTTGGCCCCATCCCCTCAGTCATGGCCTATTGACTTTGAAGCTTTTGCTTAGTTTACATGTATTAGTTTGTGATAAGATCAGTTTAAGATGAACTGCTAATGTTAAGTCAATGATATTTGGTATGCAAATTTATTTGCATTTGTAAGTATCTTTTCCATGGAGATTATATAGCTCCACCCCCTCTTCATGGTTCATTGACTTTGAAACTTTTACATAGTTTACAAGTTAATGTTTGTGTTAAGTTTTTTAAAGGGAACAACTTAGAATAAGTCAATGATATTTGGTATGCAGTTGTATTAGCATTGGCACATCTCATTTACATGGAGATGGTTTAGCCATGTACCTCAGTCATGGTTCATTGACTTTGAATATTAGCCTAACTTGTTAAGTATTGCCATTTTAATTTCAAAATTTGCATAATCAAAATTATAAAAAAGCGAGACATATCTCTGTGATAACAGTTTATATAACAATTTGCATTTAGGTCTATTTTTAAAAATTAATAGTACTATATCAATTCAATTCAAAATTTTATTGGCATATAAATCAACTAATATGATTTTTGACAAAATAAACAAAACACAGAGGGGCGGAAGGACCTTTTTTCTGGACGTCAGGATAAGGTTTTTATTTTAGCAGGAAATCGAGATTGAGCCTTTATTTTTCCCAGAAATTCAGGATTTACCCTTATCAAGACTTTGGAATTAATAATTAATTTTTTGGGATCCAAGAAAAAATGCTTTATTTTTTTTGGGAATTCAATACCGTTAAGATTATGCTTTGATCAACATTTCAATTTAGATTTACCTGGATATTAAAAAGTTTGACATTTAATGAAACATAAAAAGGATATCAGGCTAAAAATATGTTGTGTTTTTTTTTCCTCAGTAATATATATTAGACAACACTGTACACTAATATTTAAGCTACCTCATAGATTTTATAGTTGGATCATGCATGTCTTACAGACATAGACCAGGTAACCAAGTAAAGTAAGGTTCTATTATTAATTTATATTAGTATTTGACAAACAGTAGGTAATTCTGAAAGTGAAAGAAAATGAAAGTAAAACACCCTTTGAATTGAAAATTAAACATCTGACCCTAAATAAGGTTCTTTTAACTTGTTAAATACTTCAACAAAAATTAAGCTTGAAGTTTGTTTTTACACTCCAAGTCTTGGACAAACAGAAAATATTTCCATTTTTTTACCTTTTACAGGTGAAGTGTACTTTTGCAGTGATGTTTAAATTGAAGAAATAATCAATTCATCCTTCACATATTTGACCAAACCCAAACATGTTTTAATTGTTCATACAAAATGTATATTTCATAGTTTAAACGCTTTCTGTCTGTTAAATATTTTAATATTTGTTTTTGACAGAAAGTTTCACCCACAAAACTGACGTCATTGTCATTCAACTTTTCTTGGACGTCATTTTTATCTTAAAGTATGAAAGTTATAATTACTTAGATAAGAGTACAAGTTAAATACAAAAATTATATTTCATTATGTTAGATCTATGACATTTGTATATTAAAAGTAGACCAAAAGTTTAAATCATTTTCTATTGTAAATATATCAAAATTAAAAAGTTTGTACTAAATAAATGTTTCATATGTTATATTTATGACTATTTGTCAGGGATATTAGAATATTATATTTTAAAATTGGTTGAAATTATTTTAAATGTCTAGTTAGCGATTCTAATTGATGTTATTTCAACATGACTTTTTTCCACAGAAACGACAATTTAAGGTTTGTACAACGCATGGTCAGACACCATATTTGCATGAGTGACTTTGTTTCCATGGCTTTCTGTTGCTATCAAGATGAATATTTGTTTATGATCTATCAGATGAGCTTGTCATTAAAGGATATATGTAATCAATATTTCTGCATCATTAATTGTAACCTATCTTATAGAAGTACAAGCGGAAATATCATATCTTTTTTGGCAAGATAATGTCACAGAAAGTCAATTTTTATTTCAAACTATATTATGCTTAAGTTCAACAGTACCTGGAAGTACAAAATGTATGGTGATGGTAATTATATACAGTGGTATGTGACAAATGTATGGCATGTTCTGAGGGATTCACAAAACATAATGCATTCACACAAGCTAATCCATAAATAACTAGCACAGCATACAGGTATAATGCATAGTTACGTCAGAAAAAATCTAATTTTGAATAGATACACTTGCTTGAATCTATCAACTCTCCAAACTTAAAGATTGGATATGTTACATAAAATATAGAATGTGTTAAGGCTGAATTTTACATGAGGTTTTACAAAGTTTGTTCTGTAGTGAGGACTGATTTTGATGTGAGCTGAAAACATCCCAGTGGTGTGTTTGTCTATGTTTTTAATTTTGTTATAGCTCACTAACCAAACCAGAAAGATTATTTGTTTTGTGAAGAGTTTATGTAGTATTTCATGGCTGTTATGTAAAAAATATGTTTGTATGAAATGTATCTTTTGTGATCTGTCCTATGTACTTAATTTGAAATGATATTTATGTATAAAAACATTGAACATTCCAATATCTTCGATCATCTAAGTTTGTTTGGATAGAAATTTTTACCGAACCAAATGACCATTTTAACAGTTAAGGAACTTGTTACATGTATTAACAAAAAGTGACTTTTCCAAGTGTCTTTCATAAAAGGAGTTTGCTATGATAAATTTCCTGGAATCTTTATATAGTCTTAAAATAACTGAAAGAGCATGGGCTCCCTTTTGATTTTCTCTTTTGCTATTCCAGAAATATGGGCCTTTATACTTTGTATATTTTACCTATTTGTTTTGACTATAAAATGATGCACAATCTTTAGATAGTTTGTTTAATCAATTTTCTCTGATAGGGACTACATTCCAACTTACAAGTATGTCCCATATATACAGGATATGTTCATAGAACTAACAAGTTATTTTCCTAATCGTTAAAAAAATCATAGAATCCCAATTGAATTGATGAAATTTTTTTTCCATATCGAACTTGTTTTGTACAGACTTCAATCACCTTGTTGAGGGATTACATAATGTTTAAAATATGGACCAAAGTCTTGAGATTATCAATTTTGGTTTTTTTTTGTTCTATATTTTTTTTTTTAAACTCCATTTATGAAACAAAATTTAAACTTATTTTTGGATTTTTAAAGAACAGGACCTAAAACTTAACATTGTCCACAACTTATCTGTTTAAAGTTAATCAATAAATTTCTAAATTTTATTTAAGATATGAATAGAAAATAGATAAAATAAAATTGTGACGGAGGTGTGAAAAAACAATTTAAAATTCCAGTTAACTTTTATGATAATTATCAGTTAATTTTTATTTATTCAAATTTTGTTTGTGGCTGTTTTCTCCAATCTTTTCTTTTTTCAAAATTGAAATTTTCATGTAAGCACATACATATTAGACAGAGCTGAAACCAATTCCATCCTACTCAATGGAATGTATAGGAATATCATTTTCTAAGGCAAATTTGACAACATGGTCATGTTACTTTTTATTAGATCAGTATAACAAGCTTTACATTCACACAATGTTTGATGGTTTATCAAATTAATTTTCATTGGGTCTTGCTGCAAAGTTGTTTTTTTTTTGTTTTTTTTTTGGTCTTCAACTCAGTCAACAACCATTTTTTAGATGGTAACAGTTTATTTTTCTAAGCTTTAATTGGTCAGAAGTTTCAGAATTTTTTTCTGTGGGAATGTTGAATTATCAAGTTTCCACACAATATGACATGACAAGATATTATTGATTTTATATGGAAAGAGTCAACATCAAAACATCAAATTTATATTCAACATTTCAAAATTACTCAAAATTACGTAACTTTAGTCAATGTTTTTCCATGTACAAAACTAAATTTGATAAGCTTCACAATATTATATGAATTTAAGGTGTGAAAGTGTAGATATATAGTTTATTATTGGACAATTCAAATAAATATTACAGTTTTATTATTTCCAAATGAAATTGTTACATTACCTTACACATTGTAATCATGAAAAAGAAATTGTTAAAACACAATGTGGTGACAAATTTAAGAACTTTCAATTATCTTCTGTCTGTGTTAGTTTTTAGATAAAAGTACAATAAAACCATGAAATTGGAATTTAATTCCATAATAAACTTTTGTAAAAGAATAAGAATTTCACACTGATGTCAAAAACATGGAAATATTGCACTTAGTGTACACATTTGAATAAGCTTATATAATAAAACCAGCTAATTATATTGTTACTTTAAGTGGACATTTTTTTTGTACTTAATAATGTCAATGGGAAAGTTTGAAATAATGTATGGAATCCTTGTTTGTACTTGTTAAACTTTTCCACATGCTCTTTTAAAAACAATATCTTTTACATTTATTTTCTCTTAGATTTGATAAAAACATTTGGTTAACAGTTAATAAGTTATTATAATTTAAAGCAGTGTATATTTGCTGTTTCTCATATTTGTTTTTCGTTTTTTGTTTTGCATAGTTTGTTCTTGGTTTGTGCCATTACACTACTGTCCCAGGTTAGGGGAGGGTTGGCACCTTCAAACTAGTTTAATCCCGTCACATTCTATATGTGCCTGTCCCAAGTCAGGAGCCTGTAGTTTAGTGGTTGTCGTTGGTTCATGTTTGTCATATTTGTTTTTTCGTAAATTGTTTTGTTATGAATATGCCGTTAGTTTTCTTATTTGAATTGTTTCATATTCTTCATGTCTAGGCCTTTTATGGCCAACTATACAGTATGAGTTTTTCTCATTGTTGAAGGCTGTACTATTGCCTATAATTGGTTACATCCACTTCATTTGAGCTTTGGTGGATAGTTGTCTCATCGGCAATCATACCACATCTCCTTATTTTTGTATTCTTTTTTTTTCCATTTTCAATTCAGACTACTAGGATTCTACTAGAATTTGACCTTTAGCAATATTTTTACAACTCTGGGTATACTTATAGCCCAGTTCAAACCTGTGATAATAAGTGAGGTTAGACAAATTATAATACATTTTTATGCCCTTAATCAAAACCAATGCTTGGGTTTAACCCTAGTTTCAACCTACAGTGCTCAATTGGACCTGGATTGATTGATAGATTGACATTGGAAGTCATGTCAATTTACTCAATCACTTTGTTCTTACCCAAAGCAGACCAGTGTTAGGACACTGTAACCTGCTTAATTTACCCTTAAGGTAATATACTAGTGTTAGGAGTTAAGTTCCAGGTGAAAATGAAACTGATGGTTCAAAGGTGTTCAGTGTATTGTTGAAAATTAATCCTGGTTATCATGAATACAGGAAATTGATAACACAGTTTGATAAGAGAAAATTAGAAAATTTGTCTAAGAGAATCAGGTTGTGGGGAAATGAGTAACTGTTTCTCATACTCATTTATTTAGAGCTCAATTATTTTGTTACTCCTTCTACCAATGTACATTGTTTTATTATTGTATTTAAATGGACGAAAATTGGTAAAAAAAATTCTGACTATTGTAAAAAGTTCAGAAAATGTTTTTGGTTACTATCAATAGATCATCCAAGAAGTTTGTAATTTCAATAAATCTGGTGTAATTAACACAGGAATCAATCCAAGCATAACTATAAAATAGTCATACAATAGTGTTATAATGAATAATAGCGGAATATAAATTCACAGAATCGATTACATCATAACATAAAAAATTTACAGTTCTAATTAAATCTCTGGTTAATGCTAGGCGTCAAATAAATAACACCTTTTTAGGGCAAATGAACTTGATATAACAATATCAACCTGGTACAAACTTTATATACTGCAGGTCTTGCCAAGTTAATTTTAATTCCCCATAAACTTAGTATCCTGTTTCCTTTATCTCAGGGATATGGAATAAGCAATCAGCTTCATTATATTTACTTAGATCTGAATATTTAAACTTCCTAAAGTAATTACCTAAACAGAGATGCATTAAGAAGTTATATACCATAAGTTACGAATAGAAACATCAAAGTATGGGTTTCAAATAATATCTAATCTAAATGTCTTCTATATTTTGCCAAGTTATATAATAAAGCCTTTTCTGTATAAGTCATTGGACTGAAAAGTTGTAAAATTGGTAATATTAGCAAGGCAACATCATCAGTATATTGCACATTCTGATTTAATGTATTTGGGCAGATTTTAACATATCTCAAAGCCTTTCAACATATTATTCAGTAAGGTTTGTTTTCAATATGTAGTAGTATTCCTCCCCCTTAAAAAGACCAGTAATGCATTGCACAATACAACAGATGTCCACTATGATTTAAACAGGGATTTTGGATTATTGCAATAATATAGACACAAAGATTAGGTAGCACTCCACAGTTAGAAAATAAAATTAAAATTGAACCACACAATGTTAAATCATCTTCTATTCCTGGCTCTCTAATACATTAAGCCAACTGTTTGTGTCATACATGTGCATATGTATGTAAGCAGTATCTTCTATAGATTTGATTTTCAAAAGTTAAAATAGTGAAAATAATTCCTATTTGTGTATCCATGGCAACATTCTGCATTTATTTATCATAAAATATTGCAAAAAGGGGCATGAAAATGTCACATATTCCCCCAAAATTTGGTTTAAACTAGAATTTCAATGCCCATGAGAGATACCTTTTCTGAAACTGTTGACATTAATCTACCAAATAATCAAATCAAAATTGGGTGTCTTTCGCCTCATTTTCGCTATATTAATCTTCAGCTATCCAAAAATGAATTTTATTGCACACTAGCTCTCATATTTGAAAAATCCACAGGGGCCAAAATGCGAAACTACACACCTAACTGTGGAGTGCTACCTTATTCATTTTGCCAATCAACGATAACTTTATAAATAGTAGAAACAATTAGCCGGTATTCAACATCATTCCATGCAGATCTGAATTTTGATATTTTAATCTTTAGATATAAGGCAATGTGTAAAAGCTTTTAACTTTTCTTTACCAACGTTCTTAAATTAAAAGATAAACTTTTATATTGTTAAATAATAACATAATTTTTGGAATCCGTGAAGTTTCATTTTATTTTAACAAGTGTGATTTTCTTTACAAGAATAGAAAGCCCATTTACTTGTAAGCTATTCATAATTGGCCCTTAAAATTATAAAACACAATTATATTTTAAGATCACTTAATTGTAAAATCTGCCAACATAGTACACTGTAGGTTTTCAATTGACGTGAATTGATTCTATATGGTGTGAATAATTGAAAGTTAGTCTGTTGTATGATTGTTAGATAAAAGATTAAATTTATGATTGAAACATTATCTCCTGTGTAATTGAATATGTGCATGTGAATATCTCCTTTTATGATTGACGTGAATGTATTACCCACCTGCAAAATTTTTATTGCAGTTGTTATAAACACTTCAAGCTACTTATGAAATCAAAAATATGATAATTTAAAAAAAAAAACACATTCCTGAATATAATTGTTTGCAATAAAGAGTTTTATACAGTTAGTTCAGAGAGAAAAAATTAAAATGTGAAGAGTCCTTTTTATGGCTATGTTAAAACTTTTACCCTGGAATTAAACAATCTCTCAATTCCAGTGAATGAAACAAGATGTTTGCAAAATAAGACTTTTCAGCAATCTTTTAGAGAATAAATAAGTTCAGATTTTGAACACTTTTTGAATTGACACAAGCATATGAATTAAGGAGTCAGTATGGCTGAAATGTCACCCTTCTTGACTAAGCAGGCTTGTTCAGATAAGAAGACGAAATTTCTCCTTGTTGAAATAATGCAAAATATATGTACTTTTCATTTATCATTCAATTCTCATTGATTTAACTGACAGCTTACATACTTAAAAAAATCCAGTTCCTCATAAATATTTTGTTTATTGCTGTCAGGATCCTTCTATAAGCTTCATTAGCTCTCGAAAACTGAATTAATTCTAATCTTTTGATGTATGATTTTTCAGCCATCCAGACCAGCATCTTCTCGTCCAGGTACTCGTATGAGCTCAGGATCCACAGGCCCATCGGAAACACTGCTGGAAATTTTGGAAAAACTAGGCAGACTAAGTGAGAGTCATGATTCATTGACCAAACGAGTGGAGATTTTAGAGGTACAATAAATTGTAATTTATTTGCATGTGTCAACTGACAACTTTAATCTTAAATACATGGGACATTGAATTGGACATAAATATTAAATCGGGACATTGAATTCAAACAGATTGCAAACACAAACAAGCTTCAGGTTTATAAGTCAGTTAGAAATTATTGCTCTGCATCCTATGGTACATTTAATACATTGATAATGAGAGACCTATAACAAATTAACTTGGTTATTATCATGATCAACTTTTCATGGTATTTGGCTGAGTGAGATTTGGAGGTATGTGTCAGTGAGTCATCAACCCAACAACAAGTATTGACTTACAAAACAGATGTTAATAGCCATCACAACAAACTGCACTAGACACCACCAATCATCCTTCAAGACAGAAGAAGAAAAAACAGTTTAAGACAAACAGTATATCCAGTGACATTCAATAAATGAGGTTTTGTACCATCTGTGTAAAGTATTTTTTTGCTAGTATCTTTAGAGTACCTGAACTATTTTGATGATGGTAGATAGTATTGTAAATGTATATTATCAACACAATGTTATAAATTGTTTTATATATGTTAACATTATATTATACTGTATTCAACTTATTAGTTGCTGGACTAATGTCTTGAAAATAGAGACAAATTTGGCTGAAGGATTGATTTTACTTTTTGACTTTTATCCTGATTACAATATTAATCCTGCAGTAAGTTAAAATAAAGATTCCATTAATGTCTTGTTTATGTATGCTTGATATTTGCTTTAATTTTTAGGAGGAAATAAAAAACAAATTAGACAAAGGTGCCTTGGATAACCTCAGTAAGTTTGAACAATTATATAATGTTAATAAGGGAGATTTAATAGCTGATCTCCTACAAATGATCATTTATCTGTCAGGAACCTTATCTTTGGTTGTCTTTTTTATATGTTAAATTTTTTAGTCATTTAGTAACTTTAGTATATGACAGATCTTGGGGAGACTTTTTTTATTTCTTAATTTTTTTTTACAGTCTTGGGAGATTTGGAGCTTGACATATCACATAGACATTTATCTATTGGTGTTTGTATTGTTGCTGTCTCTCATTTGCATATACTTCATATCCCGTTTTGTTCATAGTGTCTCCCAGTCATCTGTGAGTTAATTAGGGACAGAACAGTTCCACTCTATCTCATCTGAGATTTTATCAGGGAGGGTCAACAGTTTAACCCATTATGATCTATGTTGATTGGGGATGGTGAAGCATTCCACCTGATCTCATCTGATTGTTAATAAGGGAAAATGGACAGTTTCACCCAATCTGGTCCCTGTTGATGGGGGTTGTGAACAGTTTCATCTTATCTCATCTGAGTGCTAATCTGGGAAAGTGACCAATTTCACCCAATCTGGTCCCTGTTGATTGAGAATGGTTACCAGTTCCTATTAATTAAGGATAATGAACAGAAATATCAAATCCCATCTGTGTTAATTTGGGGTAGTAACTTCACCAATCAATCCCATTTGTATTAATTAGGGATAGTGACCACTATCCAATTCCAGATGTGTTAATAAGGGATAGTGACATCACCATGCGATCCCATTTGTGTTAATTAGGGATAGTAACTCCACCATCTTATACGTCTGTGTTATTTAGAGATAGTGACCACCATTAAATGACAACTGTGTTAATAAGGGTTGTTCACTCCAACATCCAAAACATGTGTTAATTAGGGATAATGACTCCACCATCCAATACATCTGTGTTAATTAGGGATAGTGACTCCACCATCAATACATCTGTGTTAATTAGGGACAGTGACTTCATCATCCAATCCCATCTTTGTTAATTAGAGATAGTGACTTCACCATGCATCTGCGTTTATTAGGGATAGTTACTTCACCATTCAATCCAACTGTCTTGATTAGGGATAGTGACTCCACCATCCAATGCCATCTGTGTTAATTAGGGATAATGACTTTACCATTCAATCCCATCTGTGTTTATCAGGGATAGTAAACTTTTCCATACAATCCATCTGTGTTAATTTTGGATAGTAAACTTTTCCATCCAATCACAAGGTTGAAGGTTTGGTGTCATCAAACTAAGGGTGTTTAATATTCTGTTAACTTGTGAAAATTGTAAACAGTAAAATTGCTCTTGCAAACATTGAATTATGCAATTAGTGGACACATCACTTCCAATATAGTACTGATATTTCTTAAATTTTCTTCATTTATTAAAATATAAATGATATGAGGTTATTTAACTTGAACGACAATATTCTTTTTTTTTTTATATAATACTGTTAAATGCACAGGATCTCTGAATAATTAGATGTTTTTTTTTCTACAGATGTTTCATCAGACCTTCTGGAACAACTTCAGCAATTAAAACAGGAAGTGGATGCTCTAGCAGCAGCAAGAGAAAAGGTAAAATGAAGATTTGGTTTTGAAAGAGTCACTGTTTGTTTAAGTAAAACATAGAAGTTGTCTAAATAGAAAGTAGTGCTTACTGATATATATAGTATATGCATGAACATTTGCTTATGCATTTTGACTGAAGCAATTGAAATATAATAGAAATATGCTAGTTTATATTTGCTTAAATACTTAAAATAAGCTAACACCTGTTAAAGTTATCCACATTTTACAATCTAGCCAACAGAGAAAGCTTTGTATGAAAATCATAAAGAGGTGATATATTTAATATATGATTCACAGTAGAGTACTGAGTCTTGAGGATAGTATCAAATAAACCAGATTTTAACTCAATTTTGGGTTAAAAATATACCTTTTGAAGAAAATAATAAATAATAAGATATATTTAGATGTTTTGACATTCATAGCCAAAACATAAAACGTTGGATTATTTCAGGATATCAACATAAATGAGGTATAAACATAGATAAGAATAATATCAAAATCTCTACTATTTCGGGGATCTTTTGTTTTTACATACTGATACTACATATTTCTGTCTCTTATGAAATCTTTCATAACCACAAATATATTTCTGACTGGTTCCTGTTGGTTGATTTTGATTGACCAATTAGTTGGTTTTCGTATGCACTCAATTTAAAATTCTTTAAAAAAAACAAAGTAAAAAATTGCAAGACTAAATAAAAAAGTTAACAATCTGAGTATATAGGTTTGTTGGTGGCTGATCTTCCTGTTGTTCCACAGCTTATTATCTTTCTGTTATGAAGCATGTTAAATCAACACATCATTAGAACAACATATTTATAGTGAATTTGTAGTACAGATCACCACATATTAAAAACTATCAAGTATAGCAGGTCAGGGCTAATGGTCATAAAACTTTACTCAGTACTCAGAGTAATAAATTTGTACTGGTAAAACCAATTCTAGTATTTTGATTGGTTGAATTCTGAGTCTGAGTACAATAATCTTACTAAAAAAATTCATGACCCCAATCTTTTTTAGCTCACCTGACCTGAAAGGTCAAGTGAGCTTTTCTCATCACTTTGCGTCCGTCGTCCGTAAACTTTTACAAAAATCTTCTCCTCTGAAACTACTGGGCCAAATGCACCCAAACTTAAACACAATCATCATTCAAGTATCTAGTTTAAAAAATGTGTCCGATGACCCCGCCAACCTACCAAGATGGTCGCCATTGCTAAAAATAGAACATAGGGGTAAAATGCAGTTTTTGGCTTATAACTCAAAAACCAAAGCATTAAGAGCAATCTGACGTGGGGTAAAATTGTTCATCAGGTCAAGATCTATCTGCCCTGAAATTTTCAGATGAATCGAACAACCTGTTATTGGGTTGCTGCCCCTGAATTGGTAATTTTAAGGAAATTTTGCTGTTTTTGGTTATTATCTTGAATATTATTATAGATAGAGATAAACTGTAAACAGCAATAATGTTCAGCAAAGTAAGATTTACAAATAAGTCAATATAACCGAAATGGTCAGTTGACCCCTTTAGGAGTAATTGCCCTTTATAGTCAATTTTTAACCATTTTTCGTAAATCTTAGTAATCTTTTACAAAAATCTTCTCCTCTGAAACAACTGGGCCAAATTAAACCAAACTTGGCCACAATCATCATTGGGGTATTTAGTTTAAAAAATGTGTGGCGTGACCCGGCCAACCAACCAAGATGGCCGCCACAGCTAAAAATAAAACATAGGGGTAAAATGCAGTTTTTGGCTTATAACTCAAAAACCAAAGCATTTCGAGCAAATCTGACATGAAGTAAAATTGTTTATCAGGTCATGATCTATCTGCCCTATAATTTTCAGATGAATCGAACAACCTGTTGTTGGGTTGCTGCCCCTGAATTGGTAATTTTAAGGAAATTTTGCTGTTTTTGGTTATTATCTTGAATATTATTATAGATAGAGATAAACTGTAAACAGCAATAATGTTCAGCAAAGTAAGATTAACAAATAAGTCAACATGACTGAAATGGTCAGTTGACCCCTTTAGGAGTTATTGCCCTTTATAGTCAATTTTTAACAATTTTTCGTAAATCTTAGTAATCTTTTACAAAAATCTTCTCCTCTGAAACTACGTGGCCAAATTAAACCAAACTTGGCCACAATCATCATTTGGTTATCTAGTTTTAAAAATGTGTGGCGTGACCTGGTCAACCTACCAAGATGGCCGCCACGGCTAAAAATAGAACATGGGGGTAAAATTCAGTTTTTGGCTTTTAATTCAAAAACCAAAGCATTTAAAGCAAATCTGACATGTAGTAAAATTGTTCATCATGTCAAGATCTATCTGCCCTGAAATTTTCAGATGAATCGGACAACCCGTTGTTGGGTTGCTGCCCCTGAATTGGTAATTTTAAGGTAATTTTGCTGTTTTTGGTTATTATCTTGAATATTATTATAGATAGAGATAAACTGTAAAAAGCAATAAATGTCGGCAAAATAAGATCTACAAATAAGTCAACATGACCGAAATTGTCAGTTGACCCCTTTAGGAGTTATTGCCCTTTATAGTCAATTTTTAACAATTTTTTCGTAAATCTTAGTAATCTTTTACAAAAATCTTCTCCTCTGAAACTACTGGGCCAAGTTAATTATAGATAGAGATAATTGTAAGCAGGAAAAATGTTCAGTAAATTAAGATGTACAAACACATCACCATCACCAAAACACAATTTTGTCATGAATCCATCTGCGTCCTTTGTTTAATATTCACATAGACCAAGGTGAGCAACACAGGCTCTTTAGAGCCTCTAGTTTTCTTTCTTTTTTTTTTTTCTTTTTTGGCAAAATGTTCCACAACTTCATTTTTATCTATTAATTTATTGTCATCAATTCATTAAAAAGTCCTTGGAATATTCTGTGTAAATCTATATGTATGTATTCATTATCATATTTTGAAAAATGCAATAGTCTCAATAAAACAACAAGGTGCTGGACCATTTACCTATAGTATTTGAGCCCCTGCAAGTCAAACATTGGTCTCTTTAAGTTACTGCATGCATTTAATCAAGGGTAAATTGAAATTAACTATTAGAAGTAGGACATTATATCATGATGTATATATATAAAGAGTAAATCTATGGATACATTTATGTTGTCAGTGATAACTTCAAAGTATTGAATCATAAACGACTTCTTTTCATATTTTCTGGACATTTAATAATGATTTTGTTTTTATTGAAATTTTTGACAATAGAGTCTGACATTAAGTGACTGGGTAACTAGAATATATCAAAATCAATACTGATATAACAATAACTTATGTGAATTGTTTATTTACTGTATTCCCAAAACATGAATGTATTCTATATTTCTCTGAAGAAACAGTAAATAAAAGTTTTAGTAACTCCAATTTGAAGAAATTTGAATGATGCTATTGATTTTAACAGGATTTTAAAAAGGCATTTGTGAAGTCATAAAAATTTGAAAGAAACTTGAATGCAATCATAAAAAGAGTATTGTTGATAAGGATTATTCTACTTCTGAAAGCTGGTTTTCATTTCTGTCTCATATCCTCAGTTAGGGTTTTCTCTTCTTCTCTGTTCTGGTTTTCATTTCTGTCTCATATCCTCAGTTAGGGTTACTCTACTTCTCTGTTCTGGTTTTCATTTCTGTCTCATATCCTCAGTTAGCAGTATATTCTGTTTTCACTGTTATTAGAATGTTAAGTAATCACATACATTATAACCAGAACTCATTGTTATATTAATAGTATGAAGTAAAATGAAGAAACAATAAAGGGATAAGCTTTGTCATGATTTCATTGTTCAACAAGTTAATCATACATTTATCCATTATCATATCTTGTAATAGTTTCCACTGAACAGACATAATCAGTTATCATTCATCAAAAAATGTCCACTCCATTTGTTCAAATCTGTAAAAAGTCATATAAATGCATTCATTTTCCATAATAGAACCAGTATCTGTTGAGCAGATAAGTTTCTATAGGTATCAGATTTTTTTCCACAAAATAGTGTACTGTTGATATGTCTGATGGAAGTATCTTGTATTGCTCAGTTACTAAGTATTCCAATAACCTCTATTCTAATATCTCTGTTAATATTCTATCCTCTATCATTATTCACTGTTTATATACTATCCTCTGTTAATACTGTTGTTACTCGAGTAAAAGTTGGTCCGACTATAAGTCGGATGCCCTTTTCAGCCTTAAAATCTAAGGATTCATTCTTCACCCACATATAATTAGGTCAAAATTTGGCCATTTTTTTTTTGCAGCAGAACTACTGTACTCTATTAATATACTATCCTTTAGTAGTATAATATCTTTTGTTATATACTATCATCTGTTAACATACTATCTTCTGTTAATATACTAACCTCTGTTAATATACTATCCTCTGTTAATATACTATCATCTGTTAATATACTATCCTCTGTTAATATACTATCCTCTATTAACATACTATCCTCTGTTTATATACTATCCTTGGTTAATATACTATCCTCTGTTAAAATACTAACTGCTGTTCCTTTCTTCTCTATTTCTTTTCTAACAATTAGCTCGGTGGAGAATCTGTTGCTAACACAATGTATGCCGTTGTAAAAGCAGCGAAAAAATTTAAAGAAAAAAGACGTGTATCATTTGCAACAGAGAGTAGTGAGGACTCTGGGCTAGAAGCAAAAGGAGCATCGAGTGCTGAACTGCTCTTGATACAACATGAAAAAGAAATGCAGGCAATAGCAATGGAAACACTACAGAGGAGGGTAGAAACATTAGAGGAGAGATTAAAATTGTTCCAGGATATGGTTATACCCGATCCATTAGAAGGTATAATGTCAGAGAGTTCAAGTGAACAACCATCAGTTGAAGCAATAACAAAGATGAGTAAAGAAGAAGAGGAGGATTTTGAACAAGATATGTTGGATATATTTACAAAGGATCCAGGCCATCGTGACAGCTCTGATGGTTCAACTATTATAGTAGGAGATTTAGTTATAAGTAACAACAAGCTGAGGATTTTAGCTTTCATCCTGAATGATCAGCTTCACAATGTTAGAGATAAAATATTCAATCTTGATCAAGAGTTAAAAAAAATGGCAAAGGGAGTAGAGTTTGCTCTTTTAAGAGCTAAAGTAGCAGGAATGGGTGAAATGGTAAGTAAGAAACAGCTGAATCTGAGATTACATTCTTACAGTCATTAGAACGTACATCGACAGCCTCTGGCCCTAATTAAGTTCTCAATTCATATATGTATTCTATATTATTACATTTTTCCTGAACCAAAGTTTTGTTGAATTTGGTTAAAATCTTCACTTTTATTATATGAGTTAGTACATGAGTAGCCTCCAGATTTTTGTAATTTGAATCTCTAGTGTTTTGCAGTTTATGCATTGAAACTCAATAAATGTTATATTTTTGTCATTGTATTATAATTTCTAAACAGTGCTACATCACAAAGGTATGTAATTTGAAAAACTGCACTTATCTGTGTACGAAAAACTTATGGATTTTTATTAATATATATATATATATATATATCGAGCCTAGGTAGTCGAGTGGTCTAGCGCGTAAGGCAATAGTGCAAGGCGATTTGGTGCCACGATATCTCAGTAGCATGAGTTCGAATCCCGGCCAGGGAAGAACAAAAAAATTTGCTTCCGCAAATTTACAGATCTAACATTGTTTGTTTAGACGAATTATTTATATATATATATATATATATTATTGAGAACTTAATTTAAGCCACATTCTATATACATTAACTCTTGTTTTCTCTCAGTAAGATATTGTCTTTTATTAATTTCTTTTCTATTATTACGCATTGCTACAATAAGGATTTGGAGTCAGTATTTTTTCAAAGTCCTCCAGTACTAAGACGATTATCAGAAGTAAACTTTGTTTTGGATCGCCATAGTAACAGGACTTCTAGACCAAACACAGTGCGAGAGGTGGGCGTACATAGATAGCTTTACCTGGCTTTACCTGGCTTCACCTTGATTCACCTTTTATTTCACCTGCATGTCAACCTATTTTTAACTTCCACATATTTACATCTCTAGATTAAATTGCTTCATCATTCGTTGCTTCTGTCCATGTTCAATGGAGAGTATTTAATTTATAATAACATCTTTATTTCATATTAAAACCTATATAATGATTCATAATTAAGACATTCTTTTTAAAGGTGTAACAAACATATACTTGAGTTTACTTAATCAGGTCGAGGAAAGTTTGTTTACTTTGTTACCTATGATATAACAAACATTGAAAGTTATTGATATTGTTGAGATTCACAAACTTGTTATTAAACTAAAGATAAAAAAATCATAACAATCAAAGGAATACAAATAATTTAGTTGTGCTTAATATTTTGAATTAAATTTTATTAATACCAGGCAGATAAAAGAATGTACCATATTTTTGCACTTATGATTTAATGCTAGCTTTTGTGGATGGTTGTACATAATATATTTACTTAGTTATAAGGCTTTTATGGTAGATATGTTATCAACCTAGAACATCATAAATGTTGACCAATGCAGTCATTTTTCCTGTAACTTTTACAGTTGCAACAAATAACATTCCTTGGTTATGCATTTCAGGTACATGTTTTATTGGAGTACTTTAAGGCTCTTTTACATAGTCGACTCACTTCTGTAATTAAAACTGCATTTTCACCAAATGTCATGCTTAATAAAACAGTAAAAAATATGTTGAAAATATACATATAGCAAATTTGCATGAATTTTTAAACGACTGTAAAATTTGTAATGAGGAATGTATAATGCATACTATACTGTATGTCCACATGAAACCTTGAATTTAATTTTAGTTGTTTATATCATTGTCCTTTGGTCTCAGATCAATAGAATTTAGTGTGAATTAATTTAGCTATGATGGGCCAATATAACTTAAATTGGAGAGCCAGCCCAAAAATATGAACTGGCCTTTCTTGTCTATGCAAAATTATGTTTTATTTTGTTAAAGAATACCCAATTCTATTAAAGTGAGTTTATTAGGAAAAAGTAACTTTTTGGTGCATATCTTTATTAATATTTAATATACTAGTAAAGTAAATACAAATGTAGCTCAGATTGTGTATTACTGGTATGATATTTCATGACAAGAAAAGAATGCCATAATAAGCTGCTATCCTATACCTATTCTGGAAAACTAATTTTATCCTATTGTATTTAAAAAAAAATCTAGTATATCCTAAATCCAGGCCGCAGAAGTCAGAAAACTTTCCTATACTATAAATATATAATATATCTTTCTATAGGACAGTGATGCCCTCGGCAGAGCACAGGCAGCAATCCAACAACTCCAGGCTGAAGTAGAGAAACTCCATGGAACAACCAAGGACATCCTTGAGGAAAATGCCAGCAGGGCTAAAGAAATTGAGGTATGTTTATATATCTTCACATTCACATTAGTAGCATACATTGAAGATTTTCCTCCACAAGGTGGGTCTGAAGATCTTCTAAGGTTGTTTGAAATTCCTTCACACAAGTAAAAGATTGCACAAAGCTTGAAGAGATGGATGATTTCTCAATTGATTTTTCTGTTTGTCCACATGAATCATACAAACTAACAAATATTTCAACAAATTTAGATAAAAATAATTCTCTTTGTGTGTGCCAGAAATTTATCTTTTCATTATAAAATATTAGAACACATCCAATTATAAAATTATAATCAAAGCATCAATATGATTTCTCTAATAAGTAAACATTATCTTTAAACACTATCATCAAAAATTGATCAGATGATTTCAGGTAATTTCAAAATCAACAAAAAGATGATAAAGTGCTAAGACTTCATTATATAAATGGGAAATTCAAGTTCAAGTACAAAAATTGTGTCCATAATTGACATTTTAAGTGTTAGTTCTAACAAGAATTCTCGCTTAATTTCACATCTTTATCATAATGAAAACACAAGTTTTATATTCTTCTACATTAGACAACACTTTGGACTTTACATTCATTTTTTTTTTATATTAATTAAAACATAACATAAATATAAATTGCTATACAGTTATGAACACTTATGGTCTTTATGGTCTCACATCCTGTTAATACTTATATTTTGGCATTGCACAAGGGCATGCTTTTCTCAGACTGTTTATGACATCTTTACACTAAATCTATTGGATGTGTACTGAATGATAATTTAGGATTTTTGGTTAACATTGTCTTTTCATGGAAATTGTGCGAAGAATTGCATTAATGACAGGTAGATGGCAAAATGGCACAACAGAATGCCCATTAACAACATAAACTTCTTGTCAAAGTAAAAAATATGGCACCCAACAAATAATATGTTGACAGCAGAATATCGTAAACATGGTAAACATGGAAAACATTTGCTCTGAGGTTACGTTGTTTATTTCTTGATCAAATTCAGTGTCCGAAAATATTGCCCATGCAAATAGTTTTTACAAATCAAGAATTTTAATGTGAAGGGTTATTTTTTTTTCCACTTTCCAATTATACCCATTGCAAAAAGTCTACATTGTAAATCAGGAAAAGAACAATCTGTGAAAATATCCATGGTTACCATATGTTATAGACAATTCATGATGCTTCATATTTTTTCTGTAGCAGGTTAGTTTTTATATGTGAACAACGTGGCCTGTTGTAATTCAATTGATCATATTTTCATATTACTAAATATTTTACAGAAACTGTTTGCCTATTGTGACAGACTTGAAGAGAACAAGGCTGACAAGGAATTTGTCCAATCAGAAATGGATGTTGTAAGTCATAATAGAATTTATTTGTTAATAGTACTCATGGACTGCACAATAAGCTTTTAATCATGCTAGCTAATATGATATTTATGTCCCATCGACCTTAGAAAGTGGGCAATATGATAATTAGTCTTAATCCAGCCATTTGTTCATCTCATGTTTATGAATATGTCAAAATTAATATGTATTCCTACTATTTTCAGAATTTTTTAAATGCAATATTAATTGAAGAATAGTTTTTAAGATTGTAAAGTGGAGTATATGCCGTGACTATAAGTTTGTTAAAGTTTTAACTAAATGGATAGGATACTTAAAATTTAATGACTGATGTTATTCATATTTTTTTTAACAGAAAGCAGACAAGAGGTCACTGGACAACAAGGTCAACCATTCTTTGTTTGATACAACAACTAATGACATCAACAAGATGATTAAAGAAATATTGGATAAACTTGCAGGAAATGTAAGGAGTATATCAAACTGTTCATTTATTACCAATCTTCATGCATCAAATGTTCATTTATGTTCAGGTTATGTAATTATAACTCCACATTGTTCAAATGTCAAATTTAAAGTACTACTAATATCAAAGACCAAAGTGTTCAAATTATAAATTTTTTTAATGGACTTAGTCCAATGTTAAGGCTAAATTATTTGTTATCTAAGTGGTTCAAATATTCAAATTATAGTACGAAGATGTATTACATGTAAAAATTCTTATGGTTAAAATGTTTGAAAACAACCAAAGGAACTTCATCTATCATCTGATTAGATAAGTTTCATAACTGATCATAGGTAGAAAAGAAATAAAGTCATTTAACAGATAACTGCCTTAAAACTGTGTTTTAATTTTTCCAAATCAAGTCTAGAATCAGATATATTTTATGTTGTAATATCTAAAGAGAAAAGGTGTGTTTGAATTAGATCTATTTGTTTATATTCCATAGGAGGAAGCTTGGAACCATCAATGTAAAGTGTTTACTGATGATATTGAAGGGAAACTAGATCGCTTAGAACTAGATCCACTTAAAGAATGGTTAGAAAGTCGTCTGAAGGCATTGAATGAAAAACTGAAGAAACAAAATCAAGCACCTGTAGAATGGTCTGAAGATGATGCTGCTGGAATTAGAAGGTTCGATTAAGTTAACAAATCTTAGCTGGAATTTTTCACACAAAGTATTGTATTTCCCTATATCTGAGTCGTTTGGCTAAGGACTATTCCTGAAAAAAATGTATGGGAAGTTTGGACGCCACATGACATCTTTTCTGTATATAATGGGGTGGAAGCAAATAGGGAGTGGTATCAATTAAAATAAAATTATGGGTGGTTGGGTATAAGAAAAAAAGTTGGGCTTATTCTGAAGGCTTTTGTCATTTTTACCTTGTTTTCACAAATGAGGATCAAATAAGGCACAGACAATTGTAGAACAAACTAAAATATTGCTTAAAGAAAGAGTGTATTTACCTTATTTCAATAGATCTGAGAATAAAGTTTTCTTCATGAGCAAGATATATATGCATCAGAATATAACGGATAAATTGATAAAAAAAAGATTACTATCCACAATCAAGTAACTTACATGTCCATCAGAATATAATTTTCCATTTGTTTGTTTCAGACAACTTATACAGAAATTCCATTGCATATCATGTGATCGGCCAGTAGATATTGTGCCAACAGGGTAAGGAACTCTTATAATGACAATTATGTTGCACTAGTATTGTATATTGTACATTTATCAATGAAATATAGTATGAGAAACATCTGTTTTTACTAGGATTTCAATGAAAATCTATAAGTAGTAATAATTGTCTATTTCAAAATGATGTCCTGTGTCAGAAAGCATTGGTTAACCGCCAAAATACATAACGCTTGGACACTCCATGAACTTAAATTGCATAGTTTACATTAGTATTTCTAATTAATTTCTGTGCCTAATACGAAAATGTGCAAGCAGGACCCTTGCTGATATGTCAGTTTTCTAGTAAGTTCTTTTAATATTTGAATTTGGACATTTAACATATGTTTTTTTGGCAGAGGCATTGACTTTTACCCTTGTCCGTCCGTACGTCCAGAAATTGGTTTCCGTTCTCCACCTTTAGTTTGCCTTAACCAAATTTTATGAAACTGATAAACAATGCTTATTACCACAAAATGCAGATCAAATTTGAATTTGGGTGGTGTCACTTTTACCTTTTATGAGTTTATACCCCTTTACAAATGGAAAAATTGCTCAATTTTTCGTTTCCGTTCTCTAACTTAAGGATGTATTCTTCTGACGTTTCAGTCTCGTTGAAATCTCATTCTGGAATTATTTCCAAAACATGTGATACAAGTGGAAAATAGCAATGAATTTGATAAATATCATAATCAAACTTAACTCTGTGAAAAAATTGTGTATTTACAATTAGTAGTTTTTGAGTAATAAATTTTTCAAATTTTATTACCAATCAAGTCAGTCTTTTTAGCCAAAATTTTGAGAAAAAGGGTGAGGGGTACAGGAAATGATTTTACCAGAAACATGTACATCCCATATCACTTTTTTCTATTTAAATTTCTTAGATATGTATTTTTTCAATCATTTAAACCAAAGAAGTTGAAATAATATGCATTTTGTTCTTAAAACAGAGAAAAATCTCAAATTTACAAAATTGACAGCATGGTGAATTTGACACGAAAAAGCATCAAAATATGATAAAACTTTCTTATATTAACACCTACCTATAGTTTTTTTAAATTGAATTTATTCAAATTGGTCCAATTCATCTTTATTGAAAGTATGAAAAAAAAATTAAGTGTGGAACTGTGATTTTTTTCACGATAATAGCCCAAAAATGGGTTTTATTCTTTGACTCATATGACTTAAGGGACATAGGAGATATAACTGTATTTGACAACTTATGCCATTACTATGAGATGACGATAGGACAGATGCAGCAAGTGATGGCTTTAACCCATTGTAAAGTCTCATTCTATCTTTCTGGTTTACCAATAATTATTCATATACTTTATTTTAGTTGATTCTTGTTTTAAGGTGTTCCTCGTGATTATTTGACTCATGATCATGTTGTTAGAGCTTTTATATCTAGGTGTTGTTTGAAATTCTTTTAGACCTTGTATTTGTAGCTCTCTTGTTTAGGTGTTCCATGTGATCTTTTAAAACCCTGTATTTGTAGCTCTCTTGTTTAGGTGTTCCATGTGATCTTTTAAAACCCTGTATTTGAAGTTCTCTTATTTAGATGTATGTGATGATTTATTTCCATATACCAAATCTGTACTTGAATCATTATTCTTATCATAGTTCTACGGTGTTGCCCAACTACTTGAATGAAATGACTAGACCTTTAGACATACAGTACATACTTTTATGTCACTTTATGGAACCAATACACCAATCCAAGCAACAAAAGGGGGAACTAGACAACCTTGACAATATATATATGACCATCAGATGATTTTTTTCACGATAATAGCCCAAAAAATGGGTAAAAATTGATGAAAAATGGGAAAATCATCAAAATTGGGTACTTTCAAAGGGCCGTAGCAAATAAAGAAGTGCACCACCATATGATTTTTTCTTCACCAATTATTTTTTTACAGTCTTATAAACCCAAAAATCAGGTTAAGAAAAAAAGTTTAATTCTAGAAATTTTTGGCTCCTCAGAGGTGTACATCCTTAAGTTTGCCTCAACCAAATGTTATGACTCTTATACACAATACTTAGTACCACAAAACTCAGATCAATTACGAATTTGGGTAGTATCACTTTTACCGTTCTTGAGTTATGTTCCTTTATAAAGTTATGTGCAAGCAGGGTCATCATTTGTGTCCCATGGACACATTCCCCATTTATTTTTAAAAATACTAATTTTGAAAACTCATCATGAAAATTTAGTTTTATCATCCTGTTCAATTTGATTTCTATTTTCAGGCCAGTACCATCATTACCAACTCATAATGGACTACACCCTACAAGATCACCTAGGCCTTACACTACTTTCGAATTAGACCAGATAAGACAACATGCAAAGAGGTATAAGGCTTTGCTAATATAATTATAATTTTTTGGTGTGAATTCTTTAGTTGCTAAGCTAGAAATTGCTGTGTATACAAATTCTCTAACTTTAATCAGTAAAAGTAGGGAATATAGTAAATTTTATCCTTCAAAATTTTTGAGAGATGTTTTCTTATTAAAAATCAATACAATACCTTTGCAGAGGCAATTGAACTTTGACTTTTTCTTTAAAATTTAAAGTCAAGAAAGATAATGGAATTTTTCTAATTTGCTGCTTATTCCCTACATTTCTGACAAAATACTGTTATAAGTATAATGTAAAACAATTTTCATGAATTGTTTTCTTTTATTTACAGATTATGATTAACACTGTAGTTTAGACCTATTTTATTTCAGTTTACTCCTTGAATATTTAATTAGAATAAAACAAGTAGGACTCACTCAGACACCCTTTTCTTATTTATTCTGTTTATATGATCAGAAACAATGTATGTGCACATCAATTAGATTAATATTATTTTCATTAAATGCATATCTATGGGTACTAAACCGAAAAAAGTACCAAAATGCAGAATGAAAATACCTTGGTTCTGTTCTTCCAGTTTACTATAATTTATGCAATGACAATGCAAAATTTTCTTCAGCATAAAAAAGGAGAGTTTCATATTTTTTCAATTTTGATATTTTGTATATATGTTTTGTCACTGGCAGAAATATTGATTTCAGATCCAAGATGAGTCCCACGTTAAAACGGTACTTAAGTCCTGCCCTGTTTCACCAATTAAATCCTTGCACCTTTTGTCTTGTAGTTCAAGCACATTTTCTTGTCATTAGGTGATTACATGTAACAAGTTAAAACAGAATTAAAAAAACTACAAACTTATTACCAAATAAATGCTGCTTAAGGTTTAATGGTATCTGGCCTCAACCATTTCCTCAAAAGTGCCAAAAGCTTTAAGTACATACATTTTTCCTCAAAATTTGTTTTTTTTATAAAAATCCCTATGTGAAATATGCCATTTAATTTAATGTAGTCTTTAATAGTTCCCATTACACAATAAATCCTTTTGAGGTAAATTCCAAATAGTTCAGATAGCTTTTGGTTGTATGTCAAAAAAATTTTCCTAAACACTTCAGTTTCCAAGCTTAAAGTGGCCCAACTTGAGTTATTTTGAAAAAATGATTTTTCATTGTTTTTTTTTTAATTCCTTATGAAAATCTCTGCTGTGGTTAGTCACTAAGTTTATAGCTCTTATACATTCAAACTTTAAAGGGAAAAAAAAGATGGAAAATATCAATTTCACCTGATACAAATATTTGTACTTTGATCTTTTTTTCGCATACTTCTGAAAGCTCAAATCGAGTTCCTCTCCATTTGAGCTTTCAGAAATAAGCGAAAAAAATACAGGGGATTTGAAAATTTCCGTAGTTGTTTTAAACTATAAAACACAAGTAATAATGTTGTTGAAACTATTCAAATGTTGCTGATGACAAGAAAATGGGCTGTTTTACTCATTACATTGATGAAGGCTAATTAATAAAATTCTTCAAAGAGTAAATCAGATATTAAGTTTTTAGAATAGCCGAAAACTTTCACAACCATGGCACCATATAGTTGGGAATGTTATCCTACACTAAAAATTCCTCTTTATTTGAAAGTAGAAAAAAAAACATTTTAAACACTTCATATTTACTTTAATCAATGTAATAAAAAAGTTAACTATTTTTTTAATTCTTATATTGGAATTTGAACATCTCATCAACCAACACAAACAGTCATTCATATGTAATCTATCTGCATGAATGAATGTTTGTTAGTCATATGTTGTTTAAATTTCCATGTTTGAATTGAAAGAGTGGTTTTTTCAATTATACCTGCATGGTGAATTCCTTTTAGAATCAGTAATATCAGTTATATTTATCAGTTGCCTGAAATCACAAAGACACTTTGAAAAACAGGAATATAGAATAGTAATATGATTTTATTAGCATGCAAACAAGGACTACATTTTTGGTTCTTAAACTGAAAATACAATGTATTCCCCATAAAAAATGTAGTTCTGTGAATGGCTAAATGCATTAATTAGATATTTGACCTGGGAAGCAATCTGTTTGGACCTTTTAAAGTTTATTGTACTGTACAATGTTAAGTCCATTAAGTATGATATTTTTTCCCAATTTTTTGTCTCACCTCAACCAAGTCACAGAAGTGTTAAAATTCAAAATTTGAATTATACTATCGAAATAACACACAGGCAAGACATTTCTCTGTGTCAACAGTTTATTCTAAGTTAAGGCATGTTTTGATAAAGATAAAGGTGTTTGGTATGCTTGTGTAGAATGGGTATGGTATTTATACATGCATGTCTCTTGTTCAGAATTTGATTCAATAGAAACTTGTTAAAAGCAGGTAACATAGTTGTTTAAAGCTCGAGCCAGAGCACATTTTCAATTAAATACCCAAGTTTTAATTTTTTTATATTTTCTTTGGTTTTTTTTTCTCATAATATTTTTGCTTGCAAATTTCTCACATTGATAAATTTACTTTTTAACACATTAATTCTTATTCTAATTTTTCTTGTGGTATTTTTTTTCTCACAATATCATAATTTGGTAGTTTAATATGTTAATTGCTTAATTAGATTAAAATTTGTATTCTTTTTTGTTTTTCTCCTTTAACAGAATGTATGCTGGTATTGACAGACCAGGGTCTCGGTAAATCTATATAAATTCCTTCACTTTTACTAATACTCTCTGCTTGTAGCACCAGCAAATATTAACTGAGTTATCTCCCTTTATAGTACACATCACATTTATCCGTGTTTATTGCAGGTGGTTTGGAGAAGAAACACATTCAGCATGATTTCCTTTAGCACTTTTCAAGTTTGAAATCTCACTCAATTGTGATTGTATTTCTTTCTTTGTAATTATTATTCATCTAAACTACAATACATTGCATGTTTAAGTTTGTTATTTGTGTAGGTTAAATAGGTATTTTATCATGTGACTCATACATCCTAGATGAATGAAAAGTATTTGAAGTTCATTTTCTTGAATTAAGCAATATAAAGTACATTAGTGTTTAAGGACTTTTGTTCGAATGGTTTGAAAAAATATGATGGTTATGTAAATTTCCCCCTAACAGATTTATTGTGTAACAGTAGAGTACATGTGTAACTTCATTTGTATAAAAGCACATTGTTATACAAAATACTCTAAATGAAATCTTTTGTGACAAATGAAACAATTTTATCATTTTTTAGGTTTGTGATCATTATTATTCCAGCCAATTTTTTATTTTCATATAATTTTGATATTTTTATTTTAAGATGTTTTAAGGTAAGCTATTTTATAGGTTTGTATAAAGAGGGAAAAAAGAAGGAAACAGGGTTTTATGTCTGTAAATTTAAAATGATTAACAAAATATTATAGTAATATAATGAAAAAATAGGTTTTACATACTAATTTGGAATGGAAAATTAAGTTATAATTCTGCCAGATAAATAAATGTATTAATCTTCTATTGAAAGGTAAAGAGTACTTTGATATAGACGCAGACATTCAGTAATCCTTAAAGCTAAAATTTAACCATGCATTATTCATGAAGTAAGAAATATGAATATCCTGATGTCTAGAGAACAATTTCATATAAAAAGTACAACTATCTATATTATACATTCATCTAGGAGTGGGGGCTATATTGCATTCACTTTGTCTGTCTGTTTGTCCTTCGGTCCGTTCTTTCAAAAAATTATTCCCTTCACACTTTTATCAGGTACTACTAACCATAATGAATTCATATATGGCCAGTAGCTTGACAGTGACAACTGTAATGTATGAGCACTTTTCAGATCTGTTACCCAGTTTTCTCTAAGACTTAGTTTGTATTGACTAAAATTTCTATTCTTTGTTTTACTCATCTATTTCACTTCTTCAGTTCACATATTTCTGCTCTCATTATCATCATTATTTTTCACTTTTTATTTGATTGTCCCCAAATTATCTTGAATTGCTCGGTGCACCAAAGCTCCACTACTTGTTGGCTCTATTCAAGTTTTTATGTTAATGCTAGTGTGTATTTATCACTACTTTTAAGACATTTATTAGAGCAAAAGTCAGTCCTTTGAAACACTTTTGTCTTCAATATTAAGTGATGATAAGCTTTCCAAGAAAAGTTCTGTTACCTGTAGTCAAATTGATAAAATGCTGTGCATTCTATACAAAAACTTAGCCAACTTCTTTGTAACACAATGATTTTTGGTGTGGTATACATTACACTTACCTGTTCCCTGTGCCTAATTTTCCTTAAGTTATTTGCTGAGTGAGAGAATGTACAAGATTTTAATTAAATTTACTGACTGTGTATTAACAATTTGGTTGTAATAGCAAATCTTTGGTAGACATGTTAGGTTTAGACTCAGGCTATATTACTTGACATAAAGTATGGGCATTTTCCATAGTATTGCTAGGTTGCTGTCTCATTTGAAATAAACCCCACATGTCATTTCATTCATATGATAATGACATTCATTCCCAATAATTCCAGGTCTAATTTCACTTTGTTATAAGCAATGCACAATCACTTTAATATACATAACTTATTGACCCAGTTTATGTAAATATTAATTATATTTTAGCAGTTGAATAATTGATTTAAGATAATAGTGGGGGTCATGCAAGGTTGACCATGTATACTTGTTTGATTTAATATGGTCATATTGATTTATCTTTTGTTTAAAGTCGGCAGATCTAAAGAAAGTATCTTTTTGAAATTATTTCAATGTTTGTTGAATTTTAGTACAAATATTTATGAACATTATTTATGATCTCAGTTTTTTAGTTTGTATATAAGTACATATTGACTGAGCATATTAGAAAAACACTTTAACAATCTAATAAATATTTTGATAAAAACCATAACAAAGGAATTGTCAAAACAGAAATTATAAGCACATTTCCATCAGGAATCTATATGCTTATATACTTCTTTACCTTGTTAAGGGTCCAAAATAGATACTATACAAAACTAAGAAAAAGTCTGCTCCTCCATCTATTTATTTACTTGGATATTTTTCTCTCCTTGGTGAGAAAATAAAGTTTTTGTTGAATGAATGTAGACATTGTATCTTTAAACTTTTGAATTTCTCTGTTCTATCAGTTAATGTTGTTTCAAAATAGATTTCTTTATTATACATCAACCTAAAATTTTGACTTTTTTTTAAAGTTAATTCATCAATTGCTGCTGATTTGTGGTTATGTGCTTCTTTTGACCAATCATCTTGAATTCTTTCCTGTGTTTCATTTGGTCTGGTGTAAATATTTCTTTTCAGTCGAGTGGTATTGCTGATATCTTCCCAAAAAGATTTAGAGTTGGACAAGATTTCTCTTTCATTATTTACATATATACTATTTCATACCTATCTTTTCTTTCTTTTCTCTGTCCTTCTGATCTGTAGACCTCCTGTAGGTAGAAACAACATTAATTTTGAACGTGCATTGGCTGAGAAACAGTTAGCCAGAATGCGTAAATCTGATCTGAAAGCATTTCTAGTTCATTTTGGCCAAGATCTTGAAGCCCTTCAACAACAGAAAGATGCCTTGCTGTGAGTATTTATAGAGAGAAAACCCACTCAGAATGGAAGTAACCAAGAACAAACTCACAGTGAAGAAATACTGTATTTTGAACAAATATACTGAAATTCATGTCATTTATTGAAGGCCTCACAGTGACCTATAGTTGCTAACTTCTACGTCATTTGGTCTCTGGTGGAGAGTTACCTCATTATTTTATACTATACAACCACCTACTGTTATCAGGAATTTTACATTTGTGTCAAATTCTTGAATTATTGATAAATGAAAGGCATTTATTAAAAGAGTAAGATTTTTTTTACCAGTATTCAAAGGTATAGTCAGTTGCCATTGGTTACATGAATACATGATATAACTTACACATTTTATTACTTTGATTACGATCAAAGTCTATCAAAATAAACTGGCATGTTTCATTGGTTATGGTTGCATGTTTCATTACTAACAAACAATGGTTTCATGTGTAGTCCATGCATGTTCATATAGTACATTTGTCCCTTGTAGCATGAAATATTAAAAAGTTGTTCAAAAATAAACATTCTCTTGTTCAAGCCCTGTCAGTTTGCTGTAGAATCTGTATATCAATTATGAAAGTTTCCCTTTTGCCACAAATGACTTAAGTAAAGTTAAGTATGAAGGGTTAAGGGAATTATATATTGTTAGAGGATGTTTATTTTGGAAGGCCTTTTGTTGACCTTAATTAGTAGTCTGATTGCTATCAGTGTTGGTCCTCAAATTATTATTTAAATGATTTTCAGTGCCTATTCTCTCAATGATTATTTTCGCATTTTTCAATCACTTCATTATGAATTCAACTTTTCATACAAGTATATAAAACATCTATGAAATGATGTCTTCATTTTAATTTTTTTCAATGAAATAATTCGTAATTCTTGTCATAAAAAAATTGTATTCATGTCTTTACAGTTATGCAAATTCTGAGATAGCTGACTACTATGCAACAACAAGATCATGTGGTGGTCAACACACAACTACATTCCCACAAAAACGCATTACAAAGTTGTCACACCTGAGGTAGGTAGCTTTGAACAAAGGTCATATGGAAGTCAAAACACAACTACATTCCCACAAAAATACATAACAAAGTTGTCTCATCTAAGGTATGTAACTCCCAAACAAAGTTCATGTGGAGGTCAACACACAACTACATTCCTACAAAAACGCATAACAAAGTTGTCACATCTAAGGTAGGTAATTCCTGAACAAAGGTCATGTGGAGGTCAACATACTACTACATTCCCACAAAAACCCATAACAAAGATCACATCTGAGGTAGGTTACTCTTGAACAAAGGTCATTTAGAGGTCAACACACAACTACATTCCCACAAAAAAATGCATAACAAAGTTGTCACATCTTGGGTAGGTAACTCCTGAACAAAAGTCATGTGAACGTCAACTCACTACAGTTGAAAACAGAATCAAATACCACAAATATTTACTGCTACATAAATGTATGCGGAAAGAAGCACCACAGTACCTACTTCAAAAGTTTCAACTTATATCTGTTAATAATCCTTATGCTTTAAGGGGTGTCACTCAAGGTAATTTGATAGTTCCTAAGCCAAAAACTGAACTGTTTAAAAAATCTTTTGCTTATTCTGGATCAGTATTATGGAACGGACTACCATATGAAATGCGTAAAGTGCAAAACACTTTTTCTTTTAAACAAATTATAAAACAATACTTGAGACAGTCCCAATATTCAGTCTTGAAATGATTGCAACTATTACTCTTTTTTTTTAGAATGTATGATTTTGATTTGTATATAATATCTATTCACTACATGCAATCTGTAACTGTTTTATATGTTCTAATTATGGTACATGTACATTGAACTATCATGTCTATAAGATTGTGTTAATATGTTTTTTCTTTTATTTTTATTTTTTACATGTATTGTATATGAGGGCCTCAGGGAAGATTAGTAATTGTAACTAACTGTGTTTACCCTCTTTAAATAAAGAATTTATTATTATTATTATTATTATTACTACATTCCCAGATTAACAAAGTTGTTATATCTGAAGTGGATGACTCTCAAACAATGGTCATTTGAAGTCAGACAACTACATTTGATTAAGTTGTCATATCGAAGGTAGGCAGTGTCCTTACAAACCAAAATAGAGGGGCAAAGCATGTGAAGGTCAACACACAACTACACTCCCACATTAAAAAGCATAACAAACTTGTTACATATGAGGTAGCTAGAGGTAATGTAAAGGTCACTAATATACATAACAAAAGTGTCACCTATGAGGTAGGTAACTCCAAAACAATGGTCATGTGGAGGTCAACACACAACTATATTCCCACATAAGAATATGACAAAAGAACACATTTGTGGAAGATAACTCCTAAAATTAAGTAAAAGTTACCTTACCAGGATATCACAGATTAAAATTATTATCTTTTCTGTTTAATACCAAACAAAGTCAATTAAAATTGATAGTGAGACATATGAACCAGGAGAATATTGATCAAAATTGGATTTACTTGTACAAGAATGATTTACAGGTTTATTACATTCAAATGAGAATCAGCTAATACAGACTTTATACCAACAGAAAAGCCTCTAACAGGAAGCTGTTCCTACAAAGACCGACTTACAGTGTAAAAATAAGAATAATCAAACTATCAGAGAAATTTTGTTTGTTGTATTTTAACTGTTTACCCTTTTTATTTTCAGCCATTTATTCAGAGAAGAAGAGCAATCTACCAATATTTATCCACTCTACAAGTAAGTTACACATGTATATTATAGTCTCTTAACAAATTGGTTGTTAAATTCACAGTAATATTGATAATGATACAGTGCTTAAAAGTATTCATCGAAGTTATATAGGGAAGTCCTTTACAGAACTATTTTGCCCCCTCACCTCGAGTGAAAGAGTTTGTGGGATCAATCTCCAATCAGATCTTACCAAAGACTGCTTCTCCGCTCAGCATGCAGCATTTAGGAGTAAGAGTACAGACTGGTTGGGCCATAAGCAAAATAGTATGTCCATAAAAGTGTGAAACGTCTTCCTTCAGACTATTACTGTGCATGTTGGTCTAGTACAAAGCAGAGTTCATATTTATATTACATTAACATAATCACATCCTGAATATGCCTTAAATTTGCCACTGGACATTAAAAACAGCCATCCATCATTATCATCATTAAGATGGCAAGTATAGTGCTGGTCATGTAGCCCCCTCCATCCACGTTACTGTTGTTTTCATTATAACTTTACTTGGATTTTTTTCTAGGGAAGAAGTAGATGTACAAGGTGCTGATGGAAACATATATAAAGGAAGGATGGGTCGTATTGAAGCTAAACTACCTGTAATGACAAAGGTTGGTACTATTAGACTAGTTCTATAACATTTATAAGGGAAGGATTAACCTTATTGAAGCTAAACTAAAAGTGAAAAATTTGTTTAAATACAAGACTACATTTTTATGCAACATTCGTAATAGAGAACAATATTTGTGAATTTAAAAGTCACTGTTTGTATATCTCTATTACAGTAAAGATTTCCATACTAACCATTAATTCATATTTAATATAATCATTGCCATATACTATCTAGTTGGGAGTGCTAATATTAATCACCATCTGTCCATCAGCATTTTATATTATAAAAACTGCAGTAAAAACTTCAGATTGTGTTAAAAAATCACAAACTTTCAGAAAGAAAATATTTTGCTAGGATTTCAATGAAAATTTATGTATATGGGTATAATATGCTATTCCAAATCGATTCCCAGGGTCAAAAATCATCCTTAGGCCATCTTTTTTTAAATTGTTGCTGTTCTAATTGTTTCAAATTTTTATGACAATAATATAAGTTATATGGTTCGCTACTGACCCCCTATGGATTCATAGAGGGTTAGTAAAATCCATAGGGGGTGAGGCCAAAGGCCGAATTTCCGGATTTTATTCACCCTCTATGGTCCGTAGGGAGTCAGTAGTGAACCGTATAAAGAATTATCGCACGCAGGACTTTTTCTGCTGCATTTTGTCGAAAAATAAACAATGAAACACAACAACATTAATAGATGACGTCACCATTAACAGTAGATGTGACGTCATGAACCCCCTATGAAATTTACTAACCCCCTACGGATCCATAGGGGGTCACCACGTGACGGCGTTAAACCAATCACAACGTAATAATTTACCCGCGGTGCGATAATAGTTTATAGATATTGAATCCTTAAATTTTGCTATGCAAAATACCTTTGCCTAGTGTTGTCTCACAAAATAAATGACTTAATAGCATCAGTAAATAATAAATATATTATTTAAAAAGCAATACAATAAATTACAGGCACAATAATAATATTTGATGGTGTTAGTAAGATGTTTTTGTATGTGAAAAATAATTACCTATAATATTAGCTAATGAGTTCAAATTCATTTTGCCAGTATCCTCTTTATCACGTCCAAGCACACATAAAATTGCGTGTAAGAAAATAAGTTGCTAATGTTCAAGGTTAATCGTGTATCACTGTCAACACGTACAAAAATATGGCATAACTTTGGAAGTAAGCAGGATTTCATCTGTCTTGACACCGATTAAGTAATATAAAGCAGGTAAATAGCAGTTACTAATGAAATGTAGGATTACCAATAAGTGTTAAAACAAAAGATGTCCTTTGAATGCCACAAGTTGGTGGAACTTCGTAACACAAAATCTTTAACTGTCATTTGCTGGGAACAACATTTTCAACCAAACAAAGCTATCAAAATATAATTAAACATTCATAACAGTCACCATTATGCATATAAACACTTTAAGTGCTCAGATTTCAACAAAACTTTATATCAAGGTAGAACACATTTTAACTTTTTTTTTTTTTTTTTTCTAAATTGATACCTGTTTACATCAGTATTAAATATTTGTTTCTGTACTTTATTCAAAAATGTTTAGGCACACCCCTTGTTGACTTCTAGTTCTGGAAAGAATTTGGTATGATTATGCATGTACCTCATAGTATAATACTATATTTTTTCAGGAGAGAAGCATAGTGCAGAGAATAGACAAAAGTCCACAACCAATGAGACAACAAATAACACGAGTAGTAAGACCAGTTTCTGCAAAACACTCTCCAAGGCCACCATCCAGCAAGGGTGGCTCACGCCCACAATCAGCACATCCATCAGCTTCACAGCATGAAGTACCAGCGAATGAGTCATCACACACCACTCCTGCCCCGTCCCAATCTCCTGTACCCCCAGAGGACATACCACAACAGCAGTCTATAGAAATTCCAGCTGAGAGCTGAAGTGACAAAAGATATTATAGAAGTGTAGTTAACTAATTAGTTATAACTGCTAATTATCATATCAGTTTTATAAGAACTTTTAGAATTTTAACTGAAATGTATGTTCTAATGTGAGTGATGTAGGTCTATGCAAAGTAATAAATTCTTCACCTTTTAGTAATAAACATTCTAGATATAAAAATTTTACAGCTTTTGAGTAAATTTATTATTGTTAAGCACCTTGTTCATTTAATTACTATTTATTTAGAAAATCATTTTAATGATAAGTAATTGACATAGTTTATGTTATGTATATTTTTCTACTATTTGTCTAGGTCTCTCTTGCTGTATTTTATCCTAACACTAAAAGAAGGGCATTCATGGTTATGTGATTACTTTGTTATCAGAGCAGAATCCACCATTGGTATTCAAAGAGTCGGCTAAATTTTGCTGGGTTTAGAGACAATGTCAGGTTTTATTATGGAAATTGATAGTTATTTGATATCATTTTTGAATATTTTCGTAAATTATTAAAATAACATTTTGTGATGAATGATTAAGTGAAGATTTAAGCGTGTGATATGTCGTAGGATTGTGACACAGTTAGGATAAAATACCAAGTCAGCACTCTCACCTATTTATGTGCAATGTGTATACACTGTTTAGCAATATGTATAATACTTTATAATGTCATATGTAGTTGTTATTGTACTATGTTATACTATGGGACATTTAATCGGGTTATGTAATTTTCTGTTGAGATATTGAGACTATATGAGATTTCTATATATATATATATATATATATATTGAAAATGGGAAATCAGTATATTGTAAACAAATGAACAGATAGGAAATCTGAAATTACATATTTCTCACAGAGCCAAACGAGATAGGTTACAGTATAATTTAAGCAGTATTATTAAGTAAATTTGATTTAATTGTTGTTGTAAATTTTTGTTAATTACTTATTAACCACGGTGCACTATTTTTTATTTTTATGTTGATGATCTTTTTCTTTTCAACAAAAAAAACAGATTTATTGTTTGTTTTAGCAAGTTTTCATGTAAAAATATTCTTGATGAAGTACTGTTTTGTGTCCTAAGTCCATAAAAGAAAGTATATTGTGTCTAAAAGTCTTGTTCAATACATTGTTGCCTGTTTTTTAGAAAGTCTATTTTACAAATTGCCTTGGATTTTGTACTATTTCATTTTCACTTAAAAGTATATTTTATAGTCTTTGATCAATTAAATGTAGCATGATATAATTATTTTCATTAAATTTATAAATTAATTTTATACAAACACCTATTTTAATAGAAATGTAAATTAGAAATATTCTCCATGCTGTTTTTTTTCTTGGTGTTTTTGTTTAAAGCTGGAATTTGATATGAAAGAGAAACTTTATTCTTTCAATTTTTAAATGTGATATTTTGTTTTGACCATTCCGTCCTGTTTTTGTTGATTTTGACAGTATATAAGATTTTACGAGATATTTATTGTTTTAATTGAACTGTGATAGTGTTTCAATATATGTAGTTACTGTTATCCTTTTGTTGAAGTTTCTCTGGGCTTTCCTTCTAAGGGAGATAATTACAAATGTACACAATTTTATTCTTTAAATATTTTTTCTTACATTATTAAAGTTAAAATGCTAAATCTGAAGACTAACAATTGTTTTAAAATTAGTTTTTTTTATATTTCAGTATTGAAATTATATAAAATTCATATGTTGTAGCCCTTTTACAGATTTCAATTGTATGAGTTATCTCCCTTCAAATACTCCCCTTTGCTCAAATTTCATGGTGCTGTAAGGATTTATTTTACATCAATGGTTTGTTTACCATTTCCAAGTAGTTCCGGCTACTCCTGCTAAGCGTTACAATTTAAAACTATTCACTACGAAAATTATACTATGTGTGCAGTATTTATACTTGAAACAAACGAACATTTACATCATTTTGTTTTTGGAGGATTGGTGCCACATTGGCAGTCTAAACACATCTCGTATTAATGTTTTTATTGAAGCAATCTTGGTAATGAATATTTATACCAGTAATATAATTTAATTACAATTTTTTCATACCGAAAAAAAACACACAAAAAAACAGAAATTATGATCAGTGTAAAAGAATTAGGGAAAATTTTGATACTGCACTACTTGCTTTTTTGTAGAATTTACACTTTATATACTTTTCATGTATCTTGAATGTTGTTGGTTAAAAGTTTAGTGAAAAGTAATTCTGTCTGTTTCCAGTTGAAAAATCAAAAAATTTAACTCTTTTCATTTTGTAATAAAAATATGCAAATTACAACAAGTGTATTTTACTGATCAGATGTGAAATGATAAATAATAGATCATTGTAGCATAGTGTGACCAAAATGCTATAGATAAAGATGTTTGCCTTACACAATATTATCTTGCACTACTGTTAGAATAGATCATCCTATGATTTGTTAAAATTTCCTGCAAATTAAAATTGATAAAAGCACTTTGATGTTCTGTTTTACTGGTGGCATCTTTTTGAAGTGCTTTCTGAATACCGGGCAATGGTAAAAATATTTTTTGGTAAAAAAATCATAATAGTGCTTGACCATTGCTGAGATCCATATAATCACATAGGTGTCTACTTTGGTTATCTCGTCCCACATCACTTAACTTAGGGTGTTAGACCATTGCTGAAAGCCATATAATCAAGTAGATGTCTACTTTGGTTATCTCGTCCCACATCACTTGACTTAGGGTGTTAGACCATTGCTGAAAGCCATATAATCAAGTAGATGTCTACTTTGGTTATCTCGTCCCACATCACTTGACCTAGGGTGTTAGACCATTGCTGAAAGCCATATAATCAAGTAGATGTCTACTTTGGTTATCTCGTCCCACATCACTTGACTTAGGGTGTTAGACCATTGCTGAAAGCCATATAATCAAGTAGATGTCTACTTTGGTTATCTCGTCCCACATCACTTGACTTAGGGTGTTAGACCATTGCTGAAAGCCATATAATCATGTAGATGTCTACTTTGGTTATCTCGTCCCACATCACTTGACTTAGGGTGTTAAGACCATTGCTGAAAGCCATATAATCAAGTAGATGTCTACTTTGGTTATCTCGTCCCACATCACTTGACCTAGGGTGTTAGACCATTGTTGAAAGCCATATAATCAAGTAGATGTCTACTTTGGTTATCTCGTCCCACATCACTTGACTTAGGGTGTTAGACCATTGCTGAAAGCCATATAATCAAGTAGATGTCTACTTTGGTTATCTTGTCTCATTTCGCTTAACTTAGGGTGTTAGACCATTGTTGAAAGCCATATAATCAAGTAGATGTCTACTTTGGTTATCTTGTCTCATATCACTTAACTTAGGGTGTTAGACCATTGCTGAAAGCCATATAATCAAGTAGATGTCTACTTTGGTTATCTTGTCTCATATCACTTAACTTAGGGTGTTAGACCATTGCTGAAAGCCATATAATCAAGTAGATGTCTACTTTGGTTATCTTGTCTCATATCACTTAACTTAGGGTGTAAGACCATTGCTGAAAGCCATATAATCAAGTAGATGTCTACTATAGTTATCTTGTCTCATTTAGGGTGTAAGACCATTGCTGAAAGCCATATAATCACATAGATATCTACTTTGGTTATCTTGTCTCATATCACTTTACGACTTAGGGTGTTAGACCATTGTTGAAAACTGTAGAATCACATCCAGGGATATTTAGGTTATCTTGTGCTATATCACTTGATATACTGCTGCTTGACCATTGGTGAAAGCCATATTATCATGTAGATGTCTACTTTGGTCTTTCGTCTAATATCACTTTACTTAAGAGTTTTGGACCATTGTCAAAAGCCATATTATCACATAGATGTCTAATTTGGTTATCTTGTGTTAATACCTGTGTCGCTTAAGGCGAGAGCAGATCTAGTAACTGTTCTAATCCACCCATCCATCCATCCTTGGATAGAAAACTTTTATTTTCTTGGCTTCTAATTGAAAGGAATGATTTTATTATTATACCCCCTCTTTAAAAAAGTGGGGATATACTGTTTTACCTCTGTCTATCCGTCCGTCCGTCCGTCAGTCCCATGAATATTTTACGTGGCATCTTTCTCAGTAACTACATCATAAGGATTTCGGAAATTTGGTTTCAGAGGTTATATAAGTCAGCTGTACCCTGTGATGCGTTTTCAGATTCATCACTCAACAACTTCCTGTTTACCGAACACTTACATCATTTTACACATGACATCCAAGTAGTTGAAAATTTTCGTCACATTTATCTCAGGAACTACATTACAAGGATTTCTGAAAATTGGTTTCAGGGTTTATATGAGTCAGCTATACTGTGTGATACATTTTCAGATTCATCACTCAACAACTTCCTGTTTACTGAAAACACTTACATTTGGGCGGGGGTATCATCAGTGAGCAGTAGCTCGCAGTTTCACTTGTTTTTGGTCTGCAACTTGATTATGATGAGTTGTACCTTGTTAGCACCTGTTTACATCTGCCATGCAGACACTTCCTGTTTGCAGATAGTTTGAAATTTTACAACACTCATTGTACAGGAAAACTTCTTCAACAGTTTTCTTGCCTTCAATGAAATGATCAGTTATGCATCAGTGTACATGCAACCTCAATCAACTACAATCAGCAATGCAGGTCCAGACCCAGTATTGGTCTTCTATCACTTAACTTGGACCATTATTGAAAAGCGTATAATCAAGTAGATGTCTACTTTGGTTATCTTGTCTCATTTCACTTTACTTAGGGTGTTAAGACCATTGTTGAAAACCGTATAATCAAGTAGATGTCTACTTTGGTTATCTTGTCTCATTTCACTTAACTTAGGGTGTTAAGACCATTGTTGAAAACCGTATAATGACATCCAGGGATACTAAGGTTATCTTGTCTCGTATCACTTGACTTGGGGTGTTAGACCATTGCTGAAAGCCATATAATCATGTAGATGTCTACTTTGGTTATCTTGTCTCATATCCCTTAACTTAGGGTGTTAGACCATTGCTGAAAGCCATATAATCAAGTAGATGTCTACTTTGGTTATCTCGTCCCACATCACTTGACTTAGGGTGTTAGACCATTGCTGAAAGCCATATAATCAAGTAGATGTCTACTTTGGTTATCTCGTCCCACATCACTTGACCTAGGGTGTTAGACCATTGATGAAAGCCATATAATCAAGTAGATGTCTACTTTGGTTATCTCGTCCCACATCACTTAACTTAGGGTGTTAGACCATTGCTGAAAGCCATATAATCAAGTAGATGTCTACTTTGGTTATCTCGTCCCACATCACTTGACTTAGGGTGTTAGACCATTGCTGAAAGCCATATAATCAAGTAGATGTCTACTTTGGTTATCTCGTCCCACATCACTTGACCTAGGGTGTTAGACCATTGCTGAAAGCCATATAATCAAGTAGATGTCTACTTTGGTTATCTCGTCCCACATCACTTGACTTAGGGTGTTAGACCATTGCTGAAAGCCATATAATCAAGTAGATGTCTACTTTGGTTATCTCGTCCCACATCACTTGACTTAGGGTGTTAGACCATTGCTGAAAGCCATATAATCATGTAGATGTCTACTTTGGTTATCTCGTCCCACATCACTTGACTTAGGGTGTTAAGACCATTGCTGAAAGCCATATAATCAAGTAGATGTCTACTTTGGTTATCTCGTCCCACATCACTTGACCTAGGGTGTTAGACCATTGTTGAAAGCCATATAATCAAGTAGATGTCTACTTTGGTTATCTCGTCCCACATCACTTGACTTAGGGTGTTAGACCATTGCTGAAAGCCATATAATCAAGTAGATGTCTACTTTGGTTATCTTGTCTCATTTCGCTTAACTTAGGGTGTTAGACCATTGTTGAAAGCCATATAATCAAGTAGATGTCTACTTTGGTTATCTTGTCTCATATCACTTAACTTAGGGTGTTAGACCATTGCTGAAAGCCATATAATCAAGTAGATGTCTACTTTGGTTATCTTGTCTCATATCACTTAACTTAGGGTGTTAGACCATTGCTGAAAGCCATATAATCAAGTAGATGTCTACTTTGGTTATCTTGTCTCATATCACTTAACTTAGGGTGTAAGACCATTGCTGAAAGCCATATAATCAAGTAGATGTCTACTATAGTTATCTTGTCTCATTTAGGGTGTAAGACCATTGCTGAAAGCCATATAATCACATAGATATCTACTTTGGTTATCTTGTCTCATATCACTTGACGACTTAGGGTGTTAGACCATTGTTGAAAACTGTAGAATCACATCCAGGGATATTTAGGTTATCTTGTGCTATATCACTTGATATACTGCTGCTTGACCATTGGTGAAAGCCATATTATCATGTAGATGTCTACTTTGGTCTTTCGTCTAATATCACTTTACTTAAGAGTTTTGGACCATTGTCAAAAGCCATATTATCACATAGATGTCTAATTGGTTATCTTGTGTTAATACCTGTGTCGCTTAAGGCGAGAGCAGATCTAGTAACTGTTCTAATCCACCCATCCATCCATCCTTGGATAGAAAACTTTTATTTTCTTGGCTTCTAATTGAAAGGAATGATTTTATTATTATACCCCCTCTTTAAAAAAGTGGGGATATACTGTTTTACCTCTGTCTATCCGTCCGTCCGTCCGTCAGTCCCATGAATATTTTACGTGGCATCTTTCTCAGTAACTACATCATAAGGATTTCGGAAATTTGGTTTCAGAGGTTATATAAGTCAGCTGTACCCTGTGATGCGTTTTCAGATTCATCACTCAACAACTTCCTGTTTACCGAACACTTACATCATTTTACACATGACATCCAAGTAGTTGAAAATTTTTCGTCACATTTATCTCAGGAACTACATTACAAGGATTTCTGAAAATTGGTTTCAGGGTTTATACGAGTCAGCTATACTGTGTGATACATTTTCAGATTCATCACTCAACAACTTCCTGTTTACTGAAAACACTTACATTTGGGCGGGGGTATCATCAGTGAGCAGTAGCTCGCAGTTTCACTTGTTTTTGGTCTGCAACTTGATTATGATGAGTTGTACCTTGTTAGCACCTGTTTACATCTGCCATGCAGACACTTCCTGTTTGCAGATAGTTTGAAATTTTACAACACTCATTGTACAGGAAAACTTCTTCAACAGTTTTCTTGCCTTCAATGAAATGATCAGTTATGCATCAGTGTACATGCAACCTCAATCAATTACAATCAGCAATGCAGGTCCAGACCCAGTATTGGTCTTCTATCACTTAACTTGGACCATTATTGAAAAGCGTATAATCAAGTAGATGTCTACTTTGGTTATCTTGTCTCATTTCACTTTACTTAGGGTGTTAAGACCATTGTTGAAAACCGTATAATCAAGTAGATGTCTACTTTGGTTATCTTGTCTCATTTCACTTAACTTAGGGTGTTAAGACCATTGTTGAAAACCGTATAATGACATCCAGGGATACTAAGGTTATCTTGTCTCGTATCACTTGACTTGGGGTGTTAGACCATTGCTGAAAGCCATATAATCATGTAGATGTCTACTTTGGTTATCTTGTCTCATATCCCTTAACTTAGGGTGTTAGACCATTGCTGAAAGCCATATAATCAAGTAGATGTCTACTTTGGTTTACTTGTCTCATATCACTTAACTTAGGGTGTTAGACCATTGCTGAAAGCCATATAATCAAGTAGATGTCTACTTTGGTTATCTTGTCTCTTATCACTTGACTTGGGGTGTTAGACCATTGTTGAAAACCGTGTAATCAAGTAGATGTCTACTTTGGTTATTTTGTCTCATATCACTTGACTTAGGGTGTTAGACCGTTGTTGAAAACTGTATAATCAAATCCAGGGATACTTAGGTTATTTTGTTTCATATTACTTGTTGTAAGGGTGCTTGACCATTATTGAAAACCATATAATCACATAGAAGTCTGGTTTTCTTATTTTATCTTACTTTTCCTCCTAGGGACTGCTTGTTATACTAAACTGACTGAAACCAGAAGAGCCTGAATTGTCAGAAAGGCTTTGTAAGGATATAAACAATGATTTATGCCGACTGATGACCTCGAAGGCTTCCTTCTTTTCATGAATGATCATGAAAAATTTACTGAGAAGTATCTTGGGTTGCCATTATATAGTACAATTTCACATTTCTACCTCCAAAGTCTAAATTGTCGGCTTACATGAATTGTTAATATAAATGTGTGTTTATCTGTTCACTTTCCTGAACATGTAAATTCTAAACAAATCTGTTTGGTATTCTTGTTAGATTGCTTTACCACTGACAATTAACTTGTTTACTTATATTCATAATAACCAGAAACCATACAAGTTCAACTCATTTGTATCTGTACACATCCAGTCTGCCTTTAAAGAGCATTAAGTTACTCTGTAGGAACACCATCTCTCCCTCATATCTTACTCAAGAGATCCTTTATTATCATTGCATCAATTTGTACCAGTACATGGCATAGACTGACTATCATTGCTTTACAAATTGTACCAGTACATGGCATAGATTGTCTATCATTCCTATACAAATTGTACCAGTACATGGCATAGATTGTCTATCATTGCTTTACAAATTGTACCAGTACATGGAGTAGATTGTCTATCACTGCTTTAAAAATTGTACCAGTACATGGTGTAGATTGTCTATCATTGATTTACGAGTTGTACCAGTACATGGATGGATGGATAGCTGTTTAGCATCCAGTGGCAAATTAAATACATATTCAGGACTAGAACATGATAATATCATATGACTATAGACCCTGCTTTGTACTAGATTGACAGATTGAGGAATTTGAGCTGGATTTTTAACGTGCTAGTTCGTCTTTGTACTAGATTGACATATTGAGGAATTTGAGCTGGATTTTTAACGTGCTAGTTCGTCTTTGTACTAGATTGACATATTGAGGAATTTGAGCTGGATTTTTAACGTGTTAGTTCACAAAGTAAAAGTTTGCAAGAAGACATGTCACCCCACCTGGACAAATTATTCCAACTCCATGCCAACCGTCTTTGCTCTTACTACTAAATGCAGTGTGCTAAGAAGAGAAGCAGAAAATATCTTCCCAAAAAAGAGATAATTGTAAAAGAAAAAATGTTCCATTATACAAGATCTACAAAGCAGTCAAATTTCAGAAATGGTTGGTGGACTCTTTATAAGTGTAGTTGGCCTTAAATGACAATTTTTACCAACATATTGTATTTTTTTGTCTTTTCTCTTAAAAACTGAAATAGATAGATCAAACTAAAAATAGCAAAAATGATCAGCAAGACAAGATATACATATAAGTCAAAGATAGCCCAAATTGTTGGTCGACTCCTTACAGGAGTTATTGCCCTTTAATGACAATTTTACCCATTTTTTTGGGGGGGTATTTTGGGCAACAATTAAAACACATGTAGATAGAAACTGTAAACAGTAAAAATGATCAGCGAGACATGAACAACAAAAAAGACTTTTTATGAATTATATTCTAGTCTACAATGTTGGAGAGTGACCATAGTTGATGATGCATATAGATCCAGGTGAGCAACACTGGCTCATTAGAGTTTTATCTGGTTTTTCCTTTTCCTGTTTTCTAAAGGATGCATTTAAATCGAAAGTCCGATATTGAAGTACTTAAATAGTTCTACGAATTTTCTTTATAACATCCATAACATAAACTCATTGAACAGCACTTACCTGCCGTCCTTCAATTAACCTTAGTTTTAATGGCAAATTATCTTAAATGAATGTGATCTTACATAGTCATTTTAAAAAAAGCATAAATGAAATTTTTTATGTGGTACAAATGAAAATTTTGATTTTTTTTTTCTTTCAAATTGGCGCAAATGCCATACGCCCTTGTTTATCAAATGTTAAGTTGTTATTTTGATTAGGTCATTCATTTCCCTTTCAAAATATACTAGAAAGATGATGCAAAACAAAGAAAACTTGTCGAATATGAAAATTAATTTTATTTTCTGAATTGCTTTTATGTTTGTCATGTTTGAAGCAAATTTAAAATCATGTATTCACTAGATTTCGAGCCAAATGTGGGCCTTATTCCCACTATTCTTAATGGACATTGAGAAAAGATTGATAAATCCTTTAGCAACGAATGCTTTTTATCTGAAAACTTAACAGTGAAAAGTTTTTATTCCACTGTTTAAACATATTGATAGTTTATTCAATATTTGATTGGTTGAGACTATCCCACGTGTCATTGAACAAATCTTCATATTCCATTCTGAGGATCATATTCCCCTCTGAAATGTCGGGATTACTTCGTGCGACGTTACGCGCGGTTAATGTACATAACGTTTCGAATTTCTTATTCTTCTTAAAATACTGGCGATAGCAAAAATCATTATCATGTTCAAAATTATTTCAGACGATAAAACAAAAAGACTTATAATTAAATTTTGATCCTTACTGTTTATCAATGGGTATGTCGTGTTTAGTTTGACTTACAAAAACAAGCGGATAAGAAAAAAATGTATGCAAAATAATATTTAATGTATTGATAGTAAACAAAGCATAGGCAGTGGAATAAAACATTCATTTCCCTTTGCCTCAGGAGATATGAAGATTTGTTCACCCTCGAAAAATCATATTTCCCTCGGGCAGAGCCCTTGTGAAATATGAATATTCTTGGGTGAACAAATCTTCATATCTCCCTCCGGCACGGGAAATAAATGTATAATATACAACTGGAATTACATATTTATTTTTTAAACATAAGGAATGATTAATAAGGCAGATGTTAGTTCCAAATTTTTATTATCAAGAATATTTTTTATATGTATAACCATAAATCACAACCAAGTAAAATAAAACCGAATTCATCCCAATATGGCACAAATAACATGGACGGATGATACTGTATATAAAAATATCTCAGAACAATATTAAAGTAATAGTGAATTGTCTATCACAGGACAGATTTCATAAACTGGCATATAACACATATTGTAATGCTTGTTTTACATCTATTGAATAATTACTGTTTTAAAGGACGGATATTGATTTACTATTTAATACTGGATTTTTATTTGCTTAATTTCACTTGAAATTTTACAATCTGATAAAAAAAAACATTTCATTTTTTTTTTACCAAAACAAAAAATCATAATGATCAGAAATATATCAGAAAAATCTTATAAAATAATTCACAACATAAATACACGGTAGCTACTATAAAAAATTCAAATAATTTTATTGGAATTTGTACATTGGTGGATAATAAGGCTACATTAATTTATAAATGCATGTAGCGCATGAAAGAATTATGTGTGGTGGACAAGTTAGTCTGTTCTTACACATAGATCCATGTTCTTTTATTTTGCATAAGATGGCAATTGCTACAGATCAATGTTCTTTTATTTTGCATAAGATGGCAATTGCTACAGATCCATGTTCTTTTATTTTGCATAAGATGGCAATTGCTACATATCCATGTTCTTTTATTTTGCATAAGATGGCAATTGCTACAAATATGTATTGGAACAAACTGAAGACCTGTTACAAAATAATCAAATTTATATCACCAAGAAAGCACAGTATAGTATACTACTCACAATGAAATGAATACAAAATATATGTCACAGATATACTGGTTAACATAAGTTTTCTCCCTTTATACAATGAGATTTTTCAAGATCATATCATACATAGTTTTCATACACAGTTTGACATCTCTAAGAATAAACCTATATATAAATAAATTTTGAGCAATACTAACAATAGTTTAGGAAAAAAGACCTTTTATATCAGTAGAAATAATTTCCTCAACTCTGACCTTTGACCATTTGCCAAATAAAATTACATCTGTTCAGTGTTTATTAACAGGTCATAATTTTGAGCTACAACCCTAATGTTTTTATAAGGACTACTTTATTTATAAACTTTTCATCTATCAAACAATTCAACACCACATTTGTTGTTACTGCTAACTTATTTTCTTGCTTTTGACCCCCATTCTCCCAAAAATAAATAAAAGTTACTTATAATAGTTTTCTTGGAAGAAAACCTAAACACACATAATTTGTTTAGCCTTATTATGAAACACAAGAACATTGAAAGACACAGGTGTAAATGAAAATATTCTCATAAAATTGTGTTATTTTTCTTAAAGGGTGGTGTAACTCTCACTACAGATCTTCTACCATGTGAAGTTTGTGATTTTTCCGGTAAATTTGTTTTAGTTAATTTCTTTTTCTCAGTGTCAACTGTGGGAGTGTCCATACTTCCTAATGAGAAGTCAAACTGTAAAAGTAGATCATCAGTCATGGCTGTGATTCCTCTTTCTAACATCTGCTGACTTAATGGAAGATTGGTAGGGAGGCAAGACTCATTTATGTCCTGAAAATAAATAAATATTATTATTATTCAGCAAATAATTAGTCTAACTGATCAAACCTATTAGGTGTAAAGTTTTTAATAATGTAAAAATTTTAACTTAAGAATGTGACATCACACCTTTGGAGTTTCCATCCAAGGAGATAATGGCCAAGGGTCTTCAGGAATTCAGCAATTTTTCCATTTGTAAAGCAGCATTACTCTAAAACAGTAAAAGTGACGCAACCCAAATTCAAACTTGATCTGTGCTTTGTGGTAATAAGCATTGTATATACGTTTCATAACATTTGGTTGAGGCAAACTAAATTTAGAGAACGAAAAACAAATTTTGGGACTTGAGACTGACAAGGGTAACACTTAATGCCCAGTCTGCTGGGGCTGGGGGATAAAAACACAGACCAGACGTGGCAGGGTATTTATACATTCCTAACAAAAAAACCACAAAGTACAGATCTGAGAGTACTCATAATAATTGACAGCTAGTTCAAAGCCAATAACAACTAATAAAAAAATCATGTATCTAAGACTAAAACTAAAACTAGACTGTTATAAATTCAGACACAATTGCAATTTGTTTTATCAAATCAAACTGTACAACTGGTTAGAAAATTGTGCAAACTCCTCATTTAGAGGGCCAGTAAAGTCATCAGTGTTGTAGTGCAAGAGCACTTTCAATCCTATCAGGACAGCATCTTTACTGTAATTTAGTGTAAGTTGGGGATGTTTAACGTCCTACACTGATACTTAATGCTCTGAGTCAATTGTAAAGCTCAATTTCTATATATATCAATCGTAGTCATATGAAAAAAAAGTAAGGTAGTAACAGTTGAATCACTATAAAACTGACAAATGTAGTCCTTTGAATTATACCATATGAAATATCATTTTTGTTTACAAGTTATAGAGTTCTCTTTAGAGTAAAATTTAAAATACTAAGTCAAATACATTTTTATCTAAAGTGTGTTATCATGAAGATGCAAAGGGAGATAACCCAGTCTAATATCTATTTCATATACAAAAAAGGGGGGTGTATAATTTCAAATTATCTCCCATGGAAACTTATATTTTATTGAATATTTCTGGTTTTAATTGAAATTAGGCCAATTTTTAATAAAGAAAGATGATATTTTACAAGTAAATAGTATTAAAGCTTAAATTTGACAGTTATAAAGCAATTAAAAAATTACTAAATTTTGAATTAATTACACCATTGCAATTGGGTCAGAATTCTAAAGGAACTGCAATTGTTGAATAGAAACACTTACAGTGAAGTCACAGTTATAATGATTAACACAATTTGCTATTACTTCAACAACATGGCACATAGTTATATTGAAAACTGAAGTAGATATAAGTAATACTTAAGCCAATAACTATTTCCCTAAATTAAATCACATACTATATAAAATCAATTTACTGCTTTTCCCAAGTATCCAGCAAGTTGTGAACCAAAAACACAGTATGGATGGAATGTAGTTAAAGACATAATACCTAGACTATTGGACATGTAATGCTTGTGTGGAAGGGAGCTCCAGTTGACTTTTGGATCACATGACTGGCAAGTTATAGAAAAATTGTATTGCAGATTATTTCTACTATGCAATCAATTAACAAACCTTCGTTTGAACTGCCTGGAAAGGAGAACAAATTTTGCCATATCTCATGGTAGATTTGAAATCAATTTCTTCTCCAAACTTTTTACGTCGTTCTTTCCTAGCTTCCTTGACATTTTGTAAGTGTTGTGTTACTCTTGCACCTAATATTGTCTGAAAAATATTTTTTTTTCCCTCATCAATATATTGTTGAATATAATTTGCAGTGGACTCTAGAGAAAACAGAGGTAATTGTGCTTAAAATACTGTTATACATAGGGCTATAAAAATAACTCAATGACTTTTCATTATCATATTGCATTTTCTTTTTCCATTTTAACCACTGGATTGTAATATGTATACTGGCAGGAAACTAATAAACAATGAAAATTTTACATACAAGGAACACTTGCCATTGAAATAAAGGGGCAACATTGCTATTCAAAAAAAAATTAAACAGCATATAAAAAATAATTTTATCATCGCCGTACAGTGTTGAATCATAAAATATTATTTGTCCTTTCAGAGTACAATGTATTGTTTTTGTCTAATGTGCAATGTGCATTTTGAAGATATATACAAATGATCTTTACAATATTGTGAAATATATGAGTCTCACTAAAATGTGGCAAAAACAAATATGTGACATATTCAAAATACCTTTGACCTTTCACCCAGTGCAAATGTCTGTGCCCTGATTTTAAGGTTAGGTGCTAAAATACTGCTATCTGTTGGGTCTTCAGTGATGTCACCATTAACAATGGACTGTGTGCATGTACAAAAAAGAAAACTGATGATCAAAAAGCTTATGACTATGACAAGAGGCCAACTACAGTATCTAATTAGTTTAAAGAAAATGTAAATTCAATCTACTGGTTTTCTAAAAATTCTGTTCTACATGGAAAGTGAAAATTCTGATAGTTAAATATCTGTAAAAAAATATTGTGACATCAAACTTGTGAAAGTCTTACTTGTTTACGGGATTCCTTCAAGATAAAATCAATAATCTAAATGACAAGTATTCTGAGAGTAATGCAGCTGCAAAAATGTATCCTGCTACAGTAGCTGCAGCAATATCATTTTTTTTCATTGTTGGGAGGGGGTAGGAAGGAGGAGTAATGGTGGAAACAGAACTTATACAGGCATAATTAATCAAAAACATCTGAAACTTCTCATAACATGCCATAGATAAAAAAAAAACTAACATCTCTATCATGTACAAAATTGTATGGAAAACTAAAGTGTAACAGACAGATCGCATGTAAAGAATTTTAAGTCCCATGTCATTGCTGGTAGGTGATAAAAACAATTTTATTTCTACTACTATAAAAATTATGTACTTATTGATAGTCTTAACATAAAGATAAGGAGATGTGGTATGATCACCAACGAGACAACTATCCACCAGTGACCAAATAATGAAGATACAAGAATTATAAGTTACCTTACAGCCTTCCACAATGAGGAAAACCCATACTGTATAGTTATTTATATAAGCCCCCTCCCCACTTAAAAACGATTCAAACAAGAAAACTAACGGCCTAATCTATAACAATACAATTTACGAAAAACAAATATGGCAGAAATGTATAAAAGTGTTGTTCGTTTGCTTTTTGTGTGTTTTATGCTGTGCATGTACTGATTTTGTGTCATGGATGGATACCCTTTATTCTTTGTTTTTCTATTATGAAACAAATTCAACCACTAAATTACAGGATCCTGACTTAGGACAGGCCCATAAAGAATGTGGCGGAGTTATGTTTTTTAGTTAATTGTTGCAATACATGATGCAGTTTTTCTTAAATTCCAAATTTTTAGTAAATATTTCAAATAGCTAACAGTGACTCCATTATTGAGATGCTCAATGTAATTCCTTTTTTTCCATTTCATTGTGGTGAATGATCCAATTTAGAACTTGGGTCACACTGACCTAAATTTTGTTCATTAATTGCCTGGGTCATGATTTGAAAAAATACAAATGAAGTCACCTTTGATTAATAACATCAACAGCTGAGAAAGTGGCAGTTTTCCAAAGTATTAAAAATAAATGGAGAATGTGTCCATGGGACACAGATGATGCTTGCGCTTGCATATAACATTATAAAGGGCATAACTCCAGAACGGTAAAAGTGACGCCCTCAAAATTGAACTTGATTTGAGTTTTGTGGTAATATTAAGCATTTGTGTATAAGTTTCATAATATTTGGTTGAGGCAAACTAAAGTTAGAGAATGGAAACCAATTTCGGGACGTACGTACAGGGGGGGCATAAAAAACTATGTAAACTATATGCATGTCTTACCTCTCTATCTTTCATGATAACATCTACATTCACATCTGCTTCAGCGTCTTTACTCAGTGTTTTACTCTTCTTCAGGTCAGTGTTAATAAAAGATTCATTGTCATTTATACTTTTCTTACTTTCTGTTTCACTTTTATCTGATATGTTGTCACTTTTATCTGGAATACATATGAATGAGAAGGTAAGTTTCATCTTTGGTTATTGAACAGGACAGGGGGTCTGGAATACAGATGAATGAGAAGTTAAGTTTCATCTTTGGTTACTGAACAGGACAAGGGGTCTGGAATACAGATGAATGAGAAGGTAAGTTTCATCTTTGGTTACTGAACAGGACAAGGGGTCTAGAATACAGATGAATGAGAAGTTAAGTTTCATCTTTGAATACTGAACAGGACAGGGGGTCTGGAATACAGATGAATGAGAAGTTAAGTTTCATCTTTGAATACTGAACAGGACAGGGGGTCTGGAATACAGATGAATGAGAAGGCAAGTTTCATCTTTGGTTACTGAACAGGACAGGGGGTCTGGAATACAGATGAATGAGAAGGCAAGTTTCATCTTTGGTTACTGAACAAGACAGGGGGTCTGGAATACAGATGAATGAGAAGGCAAGTTCCATCTTTGGTTACTGAACAGGACAGGGGGTCTGGAATACAGATGAATGAGAAGTTAAGTTTCATCTTTGAATACTGAACAGGACAGGGGTTCTGGAATACAGATGAATGAGAAGGCAAGTTTCATCTTTGGTTACTGAACAGGACAGGGGGTCTGGAATACAAATGAATGAGAAGGTAAGTTTCATCTTTGGTTATTGAACAGGACAGGGGGTCTGGAATACAGATGAATGAGAAGTTAAGTTTCATCTTTGATTACTGAACAGGACAGGGGGTCTGGAATACAGATGAATGAGAAGGTAAGTTTCATCTTTGGTTACTGAACAGGACAAGGGGTCTGGAATACAGATGAATGAGAAGTTAAGTTTCATCTTTGGTTACTGAACAGGACAAGGGGTCTGGAATACAGATGAATGAGAAGGTAAGTTTCATCTTTGGTTACTGAACAGGACAAGGGGTCTGGAATACAGATGAATGAGAAGGTAGGTTTCATCTTTGGTTACTGAACTGGACAGGGAGTCTGGAATACAGATGAATGAGAAGGCAAGTTTCATCTTTGGTAATTGAACAGGACAGGGGGTCTGGAATACAGATGAATGAGAAGGTAGGTTTCATCTTTGGTTACTGAACTGGACAGGGGGTCTGGAATATAGATGAATGAGAAGGCAATTTTCATCTTTGAATACTGAACACGACAGCGGGACTGGAATACAGATGAATGAGAAGGCAATTTTCATCTTTGAATACTGAACAGGACAGGGTGTCTGGAATACAGATGAAGAGTAGGCAAGTTTCATCTTTGGTTACTGAACAGGACAAGGGGTCTGGAATACAGATGAAGAGTAGGCAATTTTCATCTTTGAATACTGAACAGGACAGGGGGTCTGGAATACATATGAATGAGAAGGTAAGTTTCATCTTTGGTTATTGAACAGGACAGGGGGTCTGGAATACAGATGAATGAGAAGTTAAGTTTCATCTTTGGTTACTGAACAGGACAAGGGGTCTGGAATACAGATGAATGAGAAGGTAAGTTTCATCTTTGGTTACTGAACAGGACAAGGGGTCTGGAATACAGATGAATGAGAAGTTAAGTTTCATCTTTGAATACTGAACAGGACAGGGGGTCTGGAATACAGATGAATGAGAAGTTAAGTTTCATCTTTGAATACTGAACAGGACAGGGGGTCTGGAATACAGATGAAAGAGAAGGCAAGTTTCATCTTTGGTTACTGAACAGGACAGGGGGTCTGGAATACAGATGAATGAGAAGGCAAGTTTCATCTTTGGTTACTGAACAGGACAAGGGGTCTGGAATACAGATGAATGAGAAGTTAAGTTTCATCTTTGAATACTGAACAGGACAGGGGGTCTGGAATACAGATGAATGAGAAGTTAAGTTTCATCTTTGAATACTGAACAGGACAGGGGGTCTGGAATACAGATGAATGAGAAGGCAAGTTTCATCTTTGGTTACTGAACAAGACAGGGGGTCTGGAATACAGATGAATGAGAAGGCAAGTTTCATCTTTGGTTACTGAACAGGACAGGGGGTCTGGAATACAGATGAATGAGAAGTTAAGTTTCATCTTTGAATACTGAACAGGACAGGGGGTCTGGAATACAGATGAATGAGAAGTTAAGTTTCATCTTTGAATACTGAACAGGACAGGGGGTCTGGAATACAGATGAATGAGAAGGCAAGTTTCATCTTTGGTTACTGAACAGGACAGGGGGTCTGGAATACAGATGAATGAGAAGTTAAGTTTCATCTTTGAATACTGAACAGGACAGGGGGTCTGGAATACAGATGAATGAGAAGGCAAGTTTCATCTTTGGTTACTGAACAGGACAGGGGGTCTGGAATACAGATGAATGAGAAGGTAAGTTTCATCTTTGGTTACTGAACAGGACAAGGGGTCTGGAATACAGATGAATGAGAAGTTAAGTTTCATCTTTGTTTACTGAACAGGACAAGGGGTCTGGAATACAGATGAATGAGAAGGTAAGTTTCATCTTTGGTTACTGAACAGGACAAGGGGTCTGGAATACAGATGAATGAGAAGGTAGGTTTCATCTTTGGTTACTGAACTGGACAGGGAGTCTGGAATACAGATGAATGAGAAGGCAAGTTTCATCTTTGGTTACTGAACAGGACAAGGGGTCTGGAATACAGATGAATGAGAAGTTAAGTTTCATCTTTGTTTACTGAACAGGACAAGGGGTCTGGAATACAGATGAATGAGAAGGTAAGTTTCATCTTTGGTTACTGAACAGGACAAGGGGTCTGGAATACAGATGAATGAGAAGTTAAGTTTCATCTTTGTTTACTGAACAGGACAAGGGGTCTGGAATACAGATGAATGAGAAGGTAAGTTTCATCTTTGGTTACTGAACAGGACAAGGGGTCTGGAATACAGATGAATGAGAAGGTAGGTTTCATCTTTGGTTACTGAACTGGACAGGGAGTCTGGAATACAGATGAATGAGAAGGCAAGTTTCATCTTTGGTAATTGAACAGGACAGGGGGTCTGGAATACAGATGAATGAGAAGGTAGGTTTCATCTTTGGTTACTGAACTGGACAGGGGGTCTGGAATACAGATGAATGAGAAGGCAATTTTCATCTTTGAATACTGAACACGACAGCGGGACTGGAATACAGATGAATGAGAAGGCAATTTTCATCTTTGAATACTGAACAGGACAGGGTGTCTGGAATACAGATGAAGAGTAGGCAAGTTTCATCTTTGGTTACTGAACAGGACAAGGGGTCTGGAATACAGATGAAGAGTAGGCAATTTTCATCTTTGAATACTGAACAGGACAGGGGGTCTGGAATACAGATGAATGAGAAGGCAAGTTTCATCTTTGGTTACTGAACAGGACAGGGGGTCTGGAATACAGATGAATGAGAAGGCAAGTTTCATCTTTGGTTACTGAGCAGGACAGAGGAGAGGTAAGTTTCAATTCAGATGATGATATGTAAATAAGATGTATCACATGTGATTGGTCTTGCTATTTCTGACAGAAAATTTTAAATACATTTTGGTTTACTCATCACAGAAAAGGTACCATGAGATTATGTACAATAATATGAAGCTATATAATTTTTACCAATCTTTCCTTAAGTTCTATTAAAATTATGGTTTACTCCAATGCTATAGATTTCGAAAAACATGATTCTACTAGAATAAAATCTTGTTGTAAGCATGTTATGTGAAATTTCTGAGAAGACCACAGAGTGACATAAAAAAAGACTAAAAATTGTAAATTTGTTGTCTAAATTGGTTGTATTTAATGAGTTCAGAATCCTGGTTTTACTGAAGATGCAATAATTGATGAAAATACTTACAAAATTACACTTATTTCAAAAATATTTCTTACAAAGTGAGCGTTACTTTGCAAGCATTTAAAATCCTTTACTTCTGTAATTTATCATTGTTAGTGATATACTCCATCATAAACTTTTAAATAAACTCTTAGATCACTACTTTGAATTTTTGGTCATTTTGTTAGTTGTTTTTTGCTTATTTTTGATCTGTTGAGTCTAGCCCTTTTCAACTTATTTTCACAACTTTTTCTACATTTGTTTTATTCTGTTACACCACTGTTCCAGGTTAGATGAGGGTTAATTGCTCACCAACATGTCAAACCCTGTCACAAACTTTATGTCTCTTTCCAAAGCCTGTTGTTCAGCAGCTGCACTTGGTTACCGTCTACCATTTTTGCTTTGTTTTATGTTAATTTTAATCAGGGCATTAGTCCTTAAGGTGACCTGCAGTTGTTTACAACCTTGTCCTTCGGTTTTTGGTGGATATTTGTCTCATTGTCATTCATACTGCATTTCCTTATTTTAATATTAGCAATAAAGTCTGTCCAGGATACTGATTATATTTCCTAAAGAATGGCGTTACCTGAATTACTTGACGAGTTCGTAGTCCAAGGTGTCCTTGGGTGCATCCAAGTCATAGGGTTCTTTAAATTCCAGGATTTTTTCTAGAAAAAATAAATCAAACCATTATGAGAGAGATTGCAAGCTGATATATTTTTAGTAAGTCATTGCTGTTAAAATTGAAGCTGATAAATAAGTATAACAAAAATACAGAACTCCAAGGTAAATAAATAAAAAGGTGGAAGTTTATAAAAACTGACAAAATCAAATTTTAGACTTTATCAACCAACAGAACGAACGAAAAACAACTGTCATATCCCCGACTTGGTACAGACATTTTCCAAAGAAAATTGTGGGTTAAACCTCTGGTCATATTTTTATTCTATAAAAATTTAGTGTGAAATACAATTTTTCATAAAATATTTAAGAAAAGAAAAATTAATAATTGGCGAGGACAGGTAATCAAATTTGTCATAAAGATCCATGTGAGAAATTCTAATACCAATTTTTTTGGTATATTTTGAAAATTTAGATTTTTAGAGCAAATGACATATTCTGTCATATCAAGTGGTGTTTTGTTAAGTCTTAATGGAGATTAGGCGAATTTTTTACTGTCCCAGGCTGTAGAACTTGTGGTTAATCATGATATCGGTAAAGGAATAAATCTACAACATCAGGGTCATAGTTTTTTTTTATCAGAAATTAAATACATGTTTATGAATCGACATTTAACACTTAATTTATCTCCTAAACTAACACATTTTCAATTCAAAATATCAATCATTCCTAAATGTTTGCCTTTGAAAACAAACATATCTTAAGAAACTTTCAGTACATTGAATTACTAATTTAATTAGTTAAATGTATAAAGTTACCTGGCCAAAAGTACCAACATAATGTCCCTCAATTGTCCAAAGTCTGGCAGTTTTATCTGTTGATGCTGTGACTAAATATTCTCCAGTCTCATGGAGTATGTACTCTATACTGACAATTGGTGAATCATGTGCTTTCCACTGCTCTAGTAAGGGAGGTGGAGATTTAATTCTCTGTAATTCAAATACAAGCAAATTATAGTATTCATTGGGCTCATATAGCTAATCCTCAATTCATTGAAATTTTTCAAAATTATTTTCTACAAAGTGAAGTATTGAACCTCCAACCTATTTTTATCGCCCTTCGTCAATTTAGCAGGGAAAAAAAGACTGTTGTCAATTGGAGCACATTTTGGGGGGGATTTTAGAATTTTGTAATAGCAATAAACACCTTAAGTTATTATCCATTGATTTATGATTAATCACTACCAAGTTTTTGACCAAATATAAATAAATTCTGTTCAGAAGTACTTGAGAAATGTGTGACAAATATATTTTTAGACAAACAGATGCGATAACAGATGGACAGAAGGATAAACAAGTGCAATATAATTAAATTATTTACAGTACCCTTTCTTCTGCCTTTGTACAGTAATTCTTTATATCCCAAATTTTGATATTTCCTTGCGTATCACTGGTAAAAAGTCTGTCATTATCTTGATCTGTACACATGGATAAAACTGATTCATCTTTGTCATCAGGGGCATAAAAATAACCTGAAATAATAATAATAGGTCATATGACTTCTACATTTGTACACATGGATAAAACCGATTCATTCTTGTCATCAGGGGCATAAAAGTGACCTTAAATAATAAAAGTGCATGTGACCTCTGGATGACTCAATCTTCTTATCTGAAGAAAAGAATTAACTTTAAAATATAAACCTTGTTATCTAAACCATTGAGATAACCCCTGTCGATCAGTACATATGAACAAAACAGATACAGTTTTGTCCTTTGGAATATAGAAATAACCTGGATAATAATAACTAGAACTATGCATGAACTCACAAAAGCACATCCCAGTCCCCTAAATCCAATTATCTCCCCTTTTACATTTGGGACCAGGATTATATTCCTTTTAGCATAAGTTCAGAAAGTGTTCTACAACTGTGTGAAGTTTCATCAATATCCATCCAGCTGTCGAGAAACTATAACCATCTCCTCCTTAACACGAAGGACAATGATTATATTCCTCTATGGGTCATCAATGATATCTATGAGAATCAGAATATATATTGTTTATCAATGATATCCGAAAATAAAAGAAATATATATTGGTCATAAATGATATCTGATATTTTGAGACGTTGTAAAATTTATGACTAATCCATTTGTCATTTTGATCAATAAAATTTTAACTTATAATAAATAAGTAAATCAGAAATATATATTGGTCATCAAAGATATCTGAGAAAACCAGTCATTTTCAAGCTAATCTTGATTTTTGTGACCAAGCTTTGAGTATAAATGATATCTCAGAGAACTAGTCATTTTGAAGCAAAGTACTCCACATTTCAAAGACCTTTAAAGTCAGGAAACTGCCTTCCAGTAGTCTTCCTTCAGCAGAGAAAATGTGGTCTTAAGTTATGTAAATTAAGACGAAATACTGATACTGACCTATTTGTTGTTTTGTACCATATAATGACCACCAAAATATATTGCCTGCCTCACTAGATATCAGCTGTGCACCATCCGACTGTCTCAATGGTACTCTTGTCTTAAGGAACAATACCTTATCTACAGGAGCTGACTGTCTAAAATCATACAAATACAATAAGAATTGTACAAAGACATACATGCTAAAATTTTATGAAGCCAACTTAAATGAATAACACTAGAACCAAATGCATTCAAGTTAAGTGTTTAACCATTCAATCATAAAAAAGGTGTTTGTATTGACCAAATGAAAATGCTTCACTCAATGACAGATACCTGAACACTACAATCATTGAATTGATTTTATTTTTACCAATGATCACACAAATAAAATTAGCATTAATTACTCACTGTTACCATGAAATAATTTATGACTTGAATCAAATGAAATATCTACAAATATTTCAAAAATGTTCTACTCACCCTTGAGGAAGTCTGTGACCCCTTCGATGTCTTGAGTTTGGACGTGAATTTGGTCGTGATCGTGGAAGATGTCCATTTTGTGTTGATTGGTTACTACTTAAATTACTAGTTTGACTAGTTAAAAATTCTATTGCTTTAGAGCTGAAATATTAAATGTTAATCTATACTTTTACTTAGTTTACTTGAACAAATTCAGAGGGGAAGCAAAATTAAAAGATTATCTAAAGTTCCAAAAGAAGGTTTATTAATATCATTTTATTAGAATTGAGAATAGAAATTAGTCTATCTACAAATCACAATCTGTGCTTCATATTTTAAACATTAATTCTTATAATAATTTTGTATTTTTTTATAATTATCATAAGAATTTCAAATTTATACATTTAATCAAGATCAAAGATCAATCATAAAGAGAGCTTAAGAAATTAATTTCTGACACTATTCACACATACATGTCAGATGGCTGTCCTTGTCTTAAACGTAAATATATTTTCTCGGTTTCTAAATTCCACACACATAATTCCCCATCATATCCTGCCGATGCCATGAAATGTGGATGACAATGATCCAAGGTCAAAATGTCATCTTTGTGAATCTGTCCACCTTTCCAGTGGGAGTTAGGAGCAATGTAAGTGTTCTGAAAAATGACAGTGATTAAATTAGATAGTAAGTGTAGAATGGCATTATTTCTTATTAGTAGTTAAAACTACTTTGAGCTTGCCTTCAGTAACTTTAATCATTCTTTAATACTAAATATAATTGTTATTTATTTGTGTTATTGTTCTATATTATACTGTTATTTATTTGTGTTTGTGTACTATATTATACTGTTATTTATTTGTGTTTGTGTTCTATATTATACTGTTATTTATTTGTGTTGTTATTTATTTGTGTTTCTATACTATATTATACTGTTATTCATTTGTGTTTGTGTTCTATATTATACTGTTATTTATTTGTGTTGTTATTTATTTGTGTTTCTATACTATATTATACTGTTATTCATTTGTGTTTGTGTTCTATATTATACTGTTATTCATTTGTGTTTGTGTTCTATAATATACTGTTATTTATTTGTGTTGTTATTTATTTGTGTTTCTATACTATATTATACTGTTATTCATTTGTGTTTGTGTTCTATATTATACAGTTATTTATTTGTGTTTGTGTTCTATATTATACTGTTATTTATTTGTGTTTGTGTTCTATAATATACTGTTATTCATTTGTGTTTGTGTTCTATATTATACTGTTATTCATTTGTGTTTGTGTTCTATAATATACTGTTATTTATTTGTGTTTGTGTTCTATAATATACTGTTATTTATTTGTGTTTGTGTTCTATATTATACTGTTATTTATTTGTGTTTGTGTTCTATATTATACAGTTATTTATTTGTGTTTGTGTTCTATATTATACTGTTATTTATTTGTGTTTGTGTTCTATATTATACAGTTATTTATTTGTGTTTGTGTTCTATATTATACTGTTATTTATTTGTGTTTGTGTTCTATAATATACTGTTATTTATTTGTGTTTGTGTTCTATATTATACTGTTATTTATTTGTGTTTGTGTTCTATATTGTACTGTTATTTATTTGTGTTTGTGTTCTATATTATACTGTTATTTATTTGTGTTTGTGTTCTATATTATACTGTTATTTATTTGTGTTTGTGTTCTATAATATACTGTTATTTATTTGTGTTTGTGTTCTATATTATACTGTTATTTATTTGGGTTTGTGTTCTATATTATACTGTTATTTATTTGTGTTTGAGTACTATATCTGTTATTTATTTGTGTTTGAGTACTACATTATACTGTTATTTATTTGTGTTTGAGTACTACATTATACTGTTATTTATTTGTGTTTGAGTACTACATTATACTGTTATTTATTTGTGTTTGAGTACTACATTATACTGTTATTTATTTGGGTTTGTGTACTATATTACACTGTTATTTAAAAGATAAGTCCTTTATCTGTATTGCTTTATTGTATATTTGTAATGTAAGTTTTGTTAATCTACTAATATAAAAATAAGGAGATGTGGTATAATTGCCAATGAGACAACTATCCACCAAAGTTCAAATGGAAGTGGATGTAAGAAAGTATAGGCAACTGTACAGCCTTCAACAATGAGAAAGTCCATTGTTAATTTCAGAGTATACAAATGCTTAAACAAACTTACATCAGGATCTGAATCATCATATACTGTGATTTTCCTACTCCAACCAACAGCTATAATCATTTTCATGTCCACAAGGGGCAGAATCCCTGTCACCTCAGCCTCCTCCTCTGGTTCTAATTTATGTAAATTATGACCATTCTGAAAGTTCCAAACCTTATAAAAAGAAAAATTTTGGTAAGTACATGACATTCAGAATCTTTCAACAAATTAAAGTACAAATTCAACAGTTTTCGGTATTAAATGACCAATATTAAGACAGTAACTGAACAGTTCTTCAGTAATTTCCTTATAAATTACCTGAATTAACTTTTTCCTTTTTGCAGCAATATCCGTAAAGCATAAAACGTGAAATATTTCTCATCATATTCTTTATATTTACACTTTCATAATAAAATACATGTATGCTAAAGAAAATGCTATGGATAGCAAAGTGTTACATATCCAAACACAAATTAAAAAAAAAAAACTGGAGAAATGCTGTAGATCCCCATCCAAAGCACATGATAGGTCTGTTTGCAGAGTATCATGAAAAAGTATATTCCTATTTCCAGTCATTAGTTACCCTTATGACAATACAAACCTTAATGGTTCCATTCCTAGCTCCTGTTATCAGTCTTCTCCAGGATTCATCAAAAACCATACACGTAATCTCTTCATTGCCATGAGCATTGGAAAATACAATAGATTTATTACCACTCTCTAATTCCCATACAGCAACATGGGAGGAATCACATCCAGTTACAACCTGAGTAACAAACAGATAAATACAGAATTATTTCACAAATAAAGTTTATCATTTCTTTTGTTACTTATGGCTCTTTATATCCATGGACTATTCCATTTTCTCTTAGTTTTTTTCACAATATAATTCAAATTTTATTTCTGCTGTAATTCTTCAGAATGCTCTCATTCGTTTCTTAGTCAAATTGTGTAAAAAAAAATTACTGAACTCAAAACTCTTGCGTTTGATTACCTGTTTTTCTTCTGATGAAAGTATGTACATGTATTAAAGTATTAAATAATGACTTTTAGCCTTAATGTGCATAAACTATTGCTAGACAATTTACCTATATACACTAAAAATATGTTTTTTCCCATTGTAATTACAATAATTACACCTGAATAGTATGTGTATTGTGAGTGGTTAATTTGTACAATACCTGTTTAAAGAAAGGATTATAAATTGCTCCACAGAGCTGTGTATCATGAGTGACTGTGTGTGTTGTTGTCGGTTGACTTGAACGTCCAAGTTTCAACATGCCAATGTAATCATTACATGTGACGAGCAGAGCATCTTGGGGAGAACATTGAAGATGAATAGGAAACTCTCCATGTTCTGGCATTCTACCATGTATACTATTGGGAAACTTGAGGCCCACTGTCTGTAGACAGGACTGTTCCTTAATATCCCACACTTTTACTACCTACAATACATGAAATACACAGGTATTTAAAATGTCAAGTTAGAACTGAAATTATTTAAATTTTTTTGTAAAAAATTACAGAGGTATAGTTTTTACTTAAAAGACAATTAATCTTTCTCATTTTTGTTTTCAATTCACGTCAGTGGATGATTGTTTAAGATATACTGCAAATTTTTAAGTTATTGTGTTTTTCACTAATTTTTGTCAAACAATATGACAGGGTATTCATTGCATTTATAAACACTCCAATTTAAATCTATGTCAGTAATGATCTATTTTTGGCCAACATGCATTTAATGGTTAAAAAAAACAGTAAATTCCGGCAAACACCAGATAAGTTACTTACAGCATCTTTAGAATAACTGAAGACTTGCTCTAATGCTTCATGTATCTTGACCCCTATAACTCCGACAGCATGACCTTCCAATATTGACATGGGTTTGGTTGGTACATACTGGTTCCAAAGTCGAACAAGATGGTCTAAACTTCCAGTAACTAACAAGTTCAGGTTCTTATTAAAGTCAAAACACTCTACTCCCTACAATATAAACAAGTTCAGATTCAAGTAAAAACACTCTACTCCCTACAATATAAGCAAGTTCATGTTCTTGTTAAAGTTAAAACACTCTTCCCCAATTGTAGTCAAGAAAAAAAATCGAAAACACCAAATGCTGAAATATGAAGCAGGGTTATATTTTTCAACAAAATCCTTTTTTTTTTCTTTGAGAGATAATTATAATGATAAGTAATTAGAGGAGGATTTCAGTTGTTTTGTTTCATGATGCAGGGCAACATCTTTAAATACACAAAATAGTGCAGGAAAATCCAAAGATTTAAAAATTAAACTTTATATGGTCTAAAAGTTTTTGTTATCTTACAATGTGATTATTAACCAGTTACCATCAGAAATATTGCAACTGTCTGTATGAAGATTTTTACCAAAAAATATAACAAAAAAGAACTATAGGCTCTGTGTGGTTCATCTGGATCTATGTGCATCTTCAACATTGGCCACACTGCAACAATGTAGACTAGAATATAATTTATTTGTTGATCATGTCTTTGTTGACAATTTTTGCTTTCTTTTACAGTTACTCCCTATCTTCTATAATTTTTGCCCAAAAAGAAAAGAGTAAAAACAAATCTTCATTTAATAGCAAATTTCCTTTAAACAGTCCACTGAATTTCGGGTCAAGTAGGATAAATGGTACTGTAGTTCCATCGGAAGAACAGAGGATTAATTCGGTTTAAATTAAGAAGTAAATCGTTTTATATGTACATAAGTTGACAGACTAACAGGTCTACAGGTTGACACTAGAAAGGTTGACAAGTGTGAAAGTTGACAGGTTGACAAGTGTTAAGGTGGACAGGTTGACAGGTTGACATGTTGAAAGGTCGACAAGTGAAAAGGTCTACAGGTTGACAAGTGTTATGGTTAACAGGTTGACATGTTGACAGGTTGAATTTTACAATTCAGTTTCTTAACCTTTTTATTAAGTCTTGACTTATAACTGTCTACCTGTTGACCTGTCAGCCTGTCGACTGTCAACCTGTTAACCATTATTACAGTTTTCATTTCTCACCGTCAAATTGTCAACCTGTCGACTTGTCGACCTGTCTACCAGTCACCAATAATACTATTTTACACTATATAAATTCTTTCAAATAGTCAACCTGTCGACTTGTCAACAATAATTTCAATTTTAACTGTATTAAATTTTCAACTTGTCAACCTGTCAACCTGTCAACCTGTCAAATTTATTATAAAAGCCGGAACTATTGTACCGTATATCCTACTTGAGCCAAAATTTCAGCTATATTGACCTATTTGTAGATCTTGTCTTGATCATCATTTTTGCTGTGTACAGTTTTTTTTTATCCACCAAAGTTTTTCCCAACAATTTCAGCCATGATTACACATTTTTAGATCTTGTCCTGCTGGTCATTTTTGCTGTTTTAAGTTCCATTCATCTATTATTGTTTTCAAGATACTAGACAAATAAGCAAAAAAATTGCTTAAAATCTTCCTTTACGGGTAATAACTTCTACAAGCAGTCAACAGACAATTTTGGCCATGTTGATTTATTTGTAGATTTTGACTTGCTGATCATTTTTGCTATATAAATTCCTTTTTATCTATTCTAGCTTTCAAGAAAATAGGCAAACACCCCAAAAAATGTCATTTAAGATGACTTATCTACAGATCTTGGCTTGTGGATCATTTTTGCTATCTAAAATTTCATTTATAACAGTTTTCAAAACAATAGGTAATAGCACAAATTAAAATCATAAATTAAGGGCAATAACTTCTACAATGAGTCAACCGACAATTTCTGAAATGTGAACCTATTTATAGATCTTGCTAATCATTTTTGCTATTCAAAGTTTCTCTGTATCAATCATTATTTTCCGAAAAGGAAAAAATGAAAAAAATTGCAAAATTCATAATTAAAGGGAAAAAACTCCTATAAGAAGTTGTCTGACAGTTACTTACCTTGTCTATGTTAAACACATATTCCTTGAACACTTTATCTGTAAATTCTTTTGATTCGTTCTGATAACTAGTAACATTAGCAATGACGAGGGATCTATTAGAACTACTAGTTGATGAAATGATACTATTTTTATCTGGGATGTATCTGACTTGTCTGACAGCATTAGGAGGGACTCGTGGTTTCTCATGGTACATTTTATCATACAGTACATATTTCTTCATATCATCTTTATCTTTGTCCTCTCTGTCTTGATTGATGGCTACTTTCTGTCAATCAAATATCAGACAAAATTTTAGTTTTAAATCATTAATACATATAATGATTTGCTGAATAATATACTGTAAATTCAGAAATTATTGCCTGCATTTATTATTGCGATTTTTGAAAAATTAACAACAAAAATGAGAGTTTAACTATTGCGAATTTTGGAAAAGCAACATACAGATATATGTATTTGATATCAGAATGCGAGTTTTTATTATTGCGATACTCAAGTAGTTGCGTTATTCGCATTTATAAAAACCTCGCAATAATTTCTGAATTTACAGTAAATATTTTTCCTACTTTTGATAATGTTTTATGACTATATTTTATATTGTAAAGTCAGAAACTTATGCATGCATTTATTGTAGCAATTGTTGAACAATGGACAAAAATGTCAGATTAATAATTGCCATTTCAGAAAATGGTGTATACAAGCAATGCAAAAAATGAGAGTTTTGATTTTTTCTTAACTTATCCTGTCTCAATTTTCCCATAATAAAAACAAGATTTGAAAGTCAAGTATCATACATAATGTGATTTTGGTATAAACCAATCAAAACATGTTTCACATTTTTTTTCATAATGTGGTGATTTATAGCGGTTTACTCCTGGTTTGCCCACATTTAATTATACCAATTATCCATTAGTAAAGATAACAAAAAATACAAAAGGTTTAATGAGCATACAATTGTATAGTCTGTTTCAACTTAATAAGTTTATAGTTTATTTGTGTTTTCTATATGTTCAGGTATTTTTTCATTTTGTAGTTTTTATATCTATAAAAAAATAAATCAAACATTTTTTTTTCTCAATAATTTAATATCAATTCAATAGATTCATTTGACATACAACTAATAACAAAACAATGGCATTCATTTATAAAAGTGTCTTGATAATTCATCAGTTTCTAAATAATTATGATGTAAATACACCAACATATGATAAAATTTTCTTTTATTGCAAACATAATTTATATTATTTATGAATCAAATTTAAACATGCATGCATAAATAAGGCACTATGGTAAACATAAGTAATATGGGGCACTATATGTGACCAGCCATGATATTTTGAGTCCAGATGAGGTCCATGGTGCAAAATGAGATTTTTTTTATGCAATAAGTACTATGTGTAAGAGAAACATTGCTGCAAGTTTCAGAGTGATATGGGCTGTAGTTTTATAAGAAATGGCCTTTTGTTATGCCTCCTCCGCTACTATGCCCCGCCTTGGCGGAGGGGGCATTAAGTTTTACCCTTGTCCGTCTGTACGTCCGTCTGTACGTCCCAAAGTTGGTTTACATTCTCTAACTTTAGTTTGCCTCAACCAAATGTTATGAAACTTATACACAATGCTTATTACCACAAAACACAGATCGAGTTTGAATTCTGAATGGTGGCGTCACTATAACCGTTCTAGAGTTATGTCCCTTTACAAATGGAAAATTGCTCAATTTTTCGTTTCTGTTTTCTAACTTTAGTTTGCCTCAACCAAATGTTATGAAACGTATACACAATGCTTATTACCACATAATACAGATCAAGTTCGAAATTGGTTGGCGTCACTTTTACCGTTCTTGAGTTATGCCCCTTTATAAACATTAAACTACTGAATTTTTCGTTTCCGTTCTCTAATTTTAGTTCGCCTCAACCAAATGTTATGAAACTTATACACAATGCTAATTGCCACAAAATACAGATCAAGTTTGAATTTTAGTGTCACTTTTACCGTTCTAGAGTTATTAGATAAAAGAAGATGTGGTATGAGTGCCAATGAGACAACTCTCCATCCAAGTCAAAATCTATAAAAGTAAACCATTATAGGTCAAAGTACGGTCTTCAACACAGATCCTTGGCTCACACCGAACAACAAGCTATAAAGGGTCCCTAAAATTACTAGTGTTAAACCATTCTGTCCAATTTAAATGAAACACTGGCCTGTATTCCAAGTCAGTTTATGTATGTTAATAATCTTTATATCTAGGTTTAACAATTAACACAAAGAAATGATACCCTGTCAACATATCTCTTTGATAAATAATGAAGTAAAGGATTTGAAATTTATATTTAATAATTCTCATAATTTATTGTTAAGGCAATGCTGGGCATGTAATTTTCCCATTTTTTTATTTCCAATGTCAAATTAATTTACAGTGTCCACATTTCCTTTTTTTTGGCATTTTCTATTGCTGATTTAGCAAGTTCAGTTATGGGACTCTAGGCAATGGGCAAGCTTCTTTATAAATGCAGTATTGTGCTACTGAACTGTGTGTGAAATTACTAACAGCTTAGGTGTAAATTTCAGAACAAAATATTTCTTAAAATAAAAAAAATAAGTAAAAAGAATTTTAAATAACATTTATTTATTCTCAAGTTTCGATATTTAATTTTTACATAATTTTGTACGAGCAATTTTAAAAAAATGTCAATAATTTGTCAAACTAATAAAAAAAAATTTTTTTTTAATATTTGTCAATTTCAATACAATTCTCTAGTAAATTTATAAAATATCTTTGCACATTTTCCTTGATTTAATAGCAAACTTAAGTATCTTTTATAAAATTTTACAGGTAAAATAAAGGTAAAAATATGACTATAATTCAGAAATAAACTATAATTGTTAAAACAACAAAACACCCTATGTTTTTATAAACCTGCAATTAAATGTGGGCAAACCAGGATGACACCATTTATAGCTAACACCCGGTCTCCATCCCTTAGGAGTTCATGCAATAACATCAGTTTTTTTTTTGTTACCTTGATTTTTTTTCTTAATCGATTTATGAGATTTGAACATTGGTAATCTACGGTCACCTTAATTTACTGTACAGGTATGGTTTTCTGATCATTGTTGAAGGCCTTATGTTGACCCGTATTTGTCCACATCTTTGAGCATTGATCTTTATGTATAGCTGTCTCATTGGCAATCATACCACATTTCTATTTTATAATAAAAAAAAATATATACATTTGGAATCAATTTTAATGTAGTGTAAATGATGACTTCTATATAAAGACCACACAAGACTGGTTAGACTGTATCCAGGAAATACATTTGATTTTTGTAATTGACAGTATACTTACATTCCATGGAACCCTGACTACTCCACTTTCACTCTTATTTTGAGAGGCAAACAGTCTGGTGACAGGTCTTTGGAAGTATAGCAGATGTATTGCACCAGAGTCTACTCCAACCAGTAACAACGAGGGACTGTTAGGGAACTAAAATATAGTCATTAAAGTCATCATATTTATTTATTGAAAAGTGATTTTCTAATAGACAAAAATCTTTTGTAGCTCATTTCAGATAAATATTTAAATATTCCTTATCTGATAAATTTAATTTCTCTTATTCTTAGCCAATTTCTCCTTTCCAGGGATGTTTGAAATTGCCGAAGTAACTAACATCAAAAGATTAAAATTGTTTTCCAGAAAATAATAATTTTGAGAGACATACCTTATGATCATACCAATAATCTAAACAACTAGCTACATCTGTCATAGCTGAAAATATAACAAACCAATAGTAACTTTCAATGCAAATCAGTTGCTGAAAATGTTTTTTTTTCAATTGTTTAAACTATCTATTAGGGATGTCAACGAGTACTCGAGTACTCGAGTATCGCTCGGTAGTATCGAGTATCGATTACCAAAATGATACTCGACTAATCGGTTTCCTGTTAGAATGCTGTTGCTTTCTTAAGTTTAAACAAAATAAATTTTATTGAGAGCACTTCATGGGACTTTATATATTATTCAAAATTAATTAGAATATGATTCGAATGTTTGTGTTTAACTGTCACTTAAAATTCCTGAAAACATAGGTATATATGTAGGATATATGAACAAGAGCATTTTTCCAAGGCTGACACTTTTAGCTAATCTTAGTCACTCCCCCACCTCTGTACCGACAGAGCATATATTTTCATCAGCAGGACTGTTAGTTACCTAACAAATTTGTAAAATCGCTACGTCCCAGAAAAGTGACAAGACAATATTTTTTAATTAGAACAAATTCGTTGCACCCTGTATCAACCCTCAGAAAAGGATTAATGGCATCAGTAAGTTATAATTATCACCCCTTTGTTGTTCATTAAATGTGTTTTTTTACGGTTTCCAAATAATGTTGTTTGGGAAATAATTTTTCTAAAGATATCAATTAATTACTTGATTTTATAACCAGTTTACATAATTAGTATATGTAGTAAATGAGCTATTGATTATGGTATTAAATTCCTTGGACTCTTATCTAGTCCTAGGTAATAATGTTGAAGGTTTTACGATCATAAGACAACAAACAACCTACAATACATAAAATGGTAAAATTTTGTGTTTCTATTTTGTAAATGTTTTACTGAGCGAGTACTCGAGTATCGCTTGGTAAATCCAACGAGTAATCGATTAGTAAATCTTCACCGATTTGACATCCCTACTATCTATACATGTACATATATAGCTAAAAAATGGGGTTCCAGTCTCCCATGCCCCAGACTAGTAAAATTTCATTCGGACTAGTAAGTTTTTGCAAAACTTTGTTTAGACAAATAAGGAAAATGTTGGAACATTAGTCTTCAAACTAGTAGTTGGAAAGATTTTGGTGCAGACTGTGGGTTCCCTTAAACACTTTGTCTCAACTGCTCTAGTTGTTGTCAGTAAATTTAAGGATGTAATTTTTGCTTAAGGTGTAAAAGTTAAAAATAATACTGTATAAATTCATGACAATATGCCATACTGTAAATCACCAAGATCTAGAAAAGCTGTGAGTAAATATATCAATCTATCAAAGATTTAACACCAACACAGTCTCTTAAAGGATAACAACATTAAGACATATTTAAAGAGAACCACTGATGAGGTTTACGACTTGGGACAGTCACATGAACATGCATTATACTTTTAATATGTTACTGGTATTATTAACAAAGGCTGTCAATGATTCAGATCAGTTGTTCATCCCAAACAAGATGTAAATTATTTTATATTTTTCTATAACCAATATATACAAGATGACATTGTATGTTAAAGAAAGAAAAAAAATGCTGACACAAAAGTATCATAGAGTAGCCAAGTTCCACTCGAATCCAACTATTTTAAAATGACTGGTTGCATTCTATTAATATTTCATTCAATGACTGGGTGCACTCTAATACTTCATACAATACAAGTAGAACAATCAGATTACTAGTCAATCATGAATACCTACAAGTAATCTTGTCATTCCTTACCATGTAAATGAAATTCTAAATAATACTGATTTGTAGAACAATCATAGAATCTGATGTCTCGACTAGTTGTTGCTATAGCAATCTTGTTACAGTTTGGCATGTATACAGCATCTGTTATCCAAGTTTTGTAACGACGTTTTTGATTGGACTGTTCTGTACTTTCATCCATCATGACAACATGTTTTTCGGGATAACTCATATGTGGATGCCATATGTTGATCACTCCTTCCTGTAAACAAAACAAACAATCTATTTATAGAATCAAAATATTGTGAGGTTATTTATGGAAATACAACCTCTGAAGTGGCAGATCTCCCTCCCAGTTTTATCTATAAGTCAGAGAATCACCATACACTCTCTTGGGAGTTGTTGGTCATAATACATGTATTTCATTTTACATTTCAATTGAATATTAAAATGTTTCATGAATTATTACAAACAACACTCAAATATATCAAATCATTAACTATGTGTAACTGTTTTAATGGACTAAAACGTATGTCTTCTCTTCATCTATAGCATGTATATAAGTAACATCCTGGAAGGATAGAAATAACATTTTAGTACTGGAAAAGTATTTCTATGGCAAATAATAATAACACATATGGTAAATGAGTAAGGATCTTAACTGTTTTAGAAATATCTAACAATTTATGATATGAGGTGAGGGGTCATGATATGTGACACATTGTCTTAATATAATATCATAATTCAATGTCAAAGGATCAAAATTTTAGGCACAGATAAGGTTGTATGAGAAAAAGAACTAGAAGAACCAGAAAAGAAGAAGATATACTATGAAAAAATAATGGATGAAGGGAGATACAATGAGTTAATTAGCTTCATGTCAGGTACACTGGCCATGCATTAAAGTAAATAATGTTAAGATATAAACTTGTTAACTTTTGCAAAGCAACTATTATTTGCAGATTTTTTCATCGCTAATCATTTGCCTTTTGTATAAAAAAAATCCATATTTATGCCTGTTTGTACAGTATCTGACAACTCAATTAAAAGGATAATTGTTTATAATCAACGATTTCTGTCATACTTTTTTTCATGTTGGACATACCGTAGTAATTTTACTTTAATGAACCATAGTTTATCAATAACTTTACCTCCATTAACAAGAAACTAATAAAGATTTATAAAATATCACATTAAATACGTCTATTCTCCTCCACGCTGGGTTATAGGGTACAGTTATTGAACCCAGCATGTCAACATAGAATACATTGTTTAATTTTAACTGCTGCATAATCTTAATTAATGAAACCATTAACTATTACATGAATACAAGGAGTGATTCAGCTAACACAATTAACCAATACATAACTTTAATCCAATCATTTTTTTTCTTGGTGTGATATTAATATGAAATTAAATTTTTAACCACGATATTAAATTAATAAATGTATAAATGTTGTGGTTGTATTTAATTTTTAAAAGTACAAATATTTACACAATTTAGTCTGGAGACATACAATGTTTATTCTTGCTAACTAATCTGAATTAAATTTAAGGTTTAAACAAAGGTCATATCCTAGGCCTTATCATTTCTGTAATTGGTATAGATATTTATTTAATTCCAGAACAAAAACTTTGTCCAATTTACTCTTCATTATCTAAGGAGCTAGGTCTTTGTAGCCATCACTCATGCAATGTGTTAACTTATATGGTCCTAACATGCCATGTAATACTTTGTTATATGATTAAATGAAAGGAGTATAAAGAGAAACTATATCAATATGATGAATCTCTGCTGAATCAAAGACAAAATATTTATAGAATAATGGCATTTTGTTTTTGATACTGACTTCATCAGCAAGAATATCACGCAGCCACTTCAGTAAAGGATATATTTTGAAGGACTAACCTTAACTAATTTTGTAGGACTAACCTTACTAATAGAACATATCTTGTTAGACTTACCTTACTAAATCAGATATAGTCTTTAAAGACTTACCTTACTACTTACTGAAGATGCATGAAATATTTGCCACTGAACGTTAAGCTAACAAATCAATCAATCAACCTTACAAAATGAGATGTATCTTGAGGGACTTACCTTACTAAATTAGACATATTTTTTGAACTAACTGTACTAATAAGACATATGTTGTGGGACTAACCTTACTATAAAAGGCAATAAAAGAACAGAGTTCCAATGTTCCCCACATTGCACATATTTTATCTCTCCAAGGGCAATAACCAAAGAATGGAGAATGTGTCCATGGGACACAGATAATGCCCCCACTTGCATATAACATTTTAAAGGGACATAACTCAAGAATGGTAAAAGTGACGCCACCCAAATTGATTTGAGTTTTGTGGTAAGAAGCATTGTGTTTAAGTTTCATAACATTTGGTTGAGGCAAACTTAAGTAAGAGAACGGTTATGAAAAATTCAGCACAATTTTTTCCATTTGCAAAGGGCATAACTCTAGAATGGTAAAAGTGACACCACCAAATACGAACTTGAATTGTCTTTTGTGGTAATAAGTATTGTATACAGAGGGGGCATAAAAAAACTTCTTTTTTTTTTTGTTCTTTAAAATTTCTATAATTATCTTAGAAAAATGAAAGCTTAAGACCAAATGCAATGAATTTCCGATATAATCACTATTTCCAAGGGGCATAACTCTTTTTCAAATATTTGATCCATACTGATTTTTCAAAATTGTCCAAGACATTGCTGATGTTAACCTATGATATAAATTTGATAAAAATCTGGCAAAAATTGAACATGTGAGAGCGCTAACAAGGCAATTTTCCATAAAATCAATATTTCCAAGGGGCATAACTCTTTCAAAAATAATTAATCAGCACTAATTTTTCGAAAATAGTCCGAGACATAGCTTATATAAACCTATGATACAAGTTTTATAAAAATCTGTCAAGATTTGTTCACGTGAGAGCACTAACGAGACCGGATGGACAGATGCACAGATGGACAGACTTTTGGTATTTCTATGTTCCCCAAACGTGTCACGCTTGGGACAAAAAGGCATACTCTTGTGGTTCTTACCTTACTAAATGAGACATATCTTGTTGGATTATCCACTGTGATCATCTTAGTTGTTACTTCTTGCTGAAATTATTAGTTAATATTATTATCATCCTTGCTTGGTGATATAATGGTAATATACAGAAACTTGCAATATCAAATAAAATCTAAGAAAAAGACTCATTCAAAATCTGATGAGTTAAGCCCTTTTCAACTGATTTTTATAGTCTGTTCTTATGTTGTACTGTAACACAACTGTCCCAGGTTAGGGGGAGGGTTTGGCACCAACATACTAGTTTATCCTCATCACATTCCGTATGTGCATGTCCCAAGTTAGGAGCCTGTTATTCAGTGCTTGTCGTTTGTAGCTGTATATCATATTTGTTATTCATTCATTGTTTTGTACATTAATCAGGCCGCTCTCGTTTGATTTGTTTAACATTTGTCAGATCAGGCCTTTTAAAGATGACTATGCGGTGTGGGTTTTGCTCATTGTTGAAGACTATACAGTGACCTATAGTTGTAAACTTTTATGTCATTTGGTCTCTGGTGTAGAGTTGTCTCATTGGCAATCATACCACACCTTCTTATTCTTATATCATTCAAAAGCATACATTTATCACTTTTAAAAAATGACTATCCATCTCATAAGCAGTCATTTTCTGTACAAGAAATGATCTCGACCCATCTAATACCAACAATTTATGGCAAACATTTAACTTGGACTATCTGTTAGTTAAAAATACTTAGCCAGGAGAGATGTAGTTCAATAGACGTGTTGGTTGCCATCTATTATTAGTGCTTTTGTTTAATGTTTTTAGCTTAATTTTCTCTTTTGAATTGTTTCACATTTTGTGATCCAGAAGCCTTGCAGTTGTGAAAGTTATGATGAAACAGAAAATGACTGTGGCTGGAATATAAGTATTTTGGGTTTGTAATGTGTTATATTTTCCATGCCACTAGGTTGAGCTCTATTGATGAGTAAATTAAAGTATTTTTTCACCAAAAAATCATATGAAGAAAGTTAACTTGAAACTTGTATTGGAATCCTGTTTTTGTTTTGCTATAAAAGTTCTTTCTAGAATTACAAATTATTGTTCTATAATTAGATCTGATCTGACTAAAAAAACTTAGTTTAACTGCACAAGAACATTGCCTGTGTGAAACAATGAATACAACAATCCTTACCTATTTGTTTTATATGTCAATATGGTAAGTGTTGTCTTTTTCTTCAGATCTAATTCTTTTTTTAGCCAATGAATTTGATGTCTAATTTTCAAAATTACCTATCAGTTTTGTTAATTAGTTATGTCCTAATTTTGCACACGTTACATATAAAATGCATTTCGTTGCACCAAATTAAAGTTTATTCTATTCAGCTTAGAGTGAAATTAACTTTCTACCCAGGAACTATTATAATACTGCATATAAATAGAAACTTATTATACAATTAAATACTAAAATTATGTACTTAGATGTTTTTCACTGTCAAAAGTATTATCAATTTTTTTCCAATCATTTTTAAACGCCAGCTTATCATTCACAGCGATTATGCAACCAATTTTTGTATATTACATTTACTGGATATTTAAATTGACAATGGGCTTGATGTTAACACATCAGCAGGTAGCATACTATGCAAGCAATTTAAAGTTTAACAATGAACTTTGATCAAAACAGTATACTTTGTGGATAACAATGGGACTGTAGCTTTTTTATTTCTCTGTTGTGTTTCTATTAAATGCATGCTGACAAATCGGGAATTCACTTTTAAGAGCAAAAGAACTAAGGTTATTCTAAGAGAAACATTTTGTAGTTTAAACACACATCATTGTGAATGACATGTGAAATTTTGACTCACTTTATTATGAATGACATGTGTATTTTTGACTCAAACTATAGTGAATAACAAGTGCATTTTTGACTCAACTTATTGTGAATGACATGTGTAATTTTGACTCACCCTATTGTGAATGACATGTGTAATATTGACTCACCCTATTGTGAGAGACATGTAATATTGACTCACTCTATTGTGAATGACATGTGTAATATTGACTTGCCCTGTTGTGAAAGACATATGTAATTTTGACTAAACCTATTGTGAGAGACGTGTAATATTGACTCACCCTATTGTTAGACATGTGTTATATTGACTCACCCTATTGTGAATGACGTGTAATTTTGACTCACCCTATTGTGAGAGACATGTGTAATATTGACTCACCCTATTGTGAGACATGTGTAATATTGACTTACCCTATTGTGAACGACATGTGTAATATTGACTCAACCTTTTGTGAGAGACATGTGTAATATTGACTCACCATATTGTGAGAGACAGGTGTAATTTTGACTCATCCTATTGTGGGAGACATGTGTAATATTGACTCAACCTTTTGTGAGAGACATGTGTAATATTGACTCACCCTATTGTGAATGACATTTGTAATACTGACTGACCCTATTGTGAATGACATGTGTAATATTGACTAACCCTATTGTAAGAGACATGTGTAATACTAACTGACCCTATCGTGAATGACATTTGTAATATTGACTGACCCTATTGTGAGAGACGTGTAATATTGACTCAACCTTTTGTGAATGACGTGTAATTTTGACTCACCCTATTGTGAATGGCATGTGTAATTTTGACTCACCCTATTTTGAATGACATATGTAATTTTGACTCACCTTACTGTGAGAGACGTGTTTTATTGACACCCTATTGATAGAGACATGTGTAATATTGACTAAACCTATTGTGAGAGACATGTGTAATATTTACTTACCCTATTTTGAATGACGTGTTATTTTGACTTACCCTATTGTGAATGACATGTGTAATTTTAGCCTCAGCCAGGAATGGAATCTCTCTTTTTGTGCTCATGTAATCATTTTCTCTGTACAACAACAGTAGGTATGTACAGAATTCATTCCAGTCTACATACCCATCACATGTAGAATCAAGCTGCAAATAAATTGTAAGTCTTGTTTTGATTCAGTTTCTTATAAATAAACTATGGACACAGAAATATATCACTCATATAAGCTCATTCCAAATAATCGTTATAACTAAAAAGTACTAAATACAATGCAGATATTGAAATATACAAAAAATAAGTTGTGATGGTCTAGATATATGAGTAAAACCTTCTGCCTAAATTGGCATAAAAGGTTTGATTTGATTGGTTATTCAAAAACTTACTTAAATTATTTTTATTACATGAAAGTCTTTTACTACAAAGTCTGGAAGTGTTGTCTTGGTTTGGCTGAAAGATGTGAACTCATTCTTTCATTGATGATGACATTTCCCAATCTAGATGTCTTACCCTAACAATGTAGATCTTGCTACAAGATATGAACATGAAAGTAAGGACTGGCAATTACTGTTTCATTTTTTTTTAAAACTCTACTTTACAATTCTGTAATATAGCTATAAGGAGCAGCATATCATAGCAACTTGACTATGAATATCTAATGTGCAAGATTATTTTTATCCCCAGATTATACCTTCAAAAATAATTTCTCCAAATATTCATCATATTCATTTGTTTTTAAAACTCTGGACACAGTTGTTTTGAATTCCTCGAGGTTCATCATGCCCGGCGCCCGTTCCTTCACCTTTGGTGGGAAATAAGTTGATGCTTCCTGAATAACTACACCCTCTGGCTTATGGTTTACAAACTCTTTCATCAACTGTTGAAGGTGGTGAAGCTTCATCTGTTCCTCAAGTCTAGCATTTTTATCTTTGTCACTGAAACTAATAAAACAAAGACACTTACACAAATTAAGTTATGTCAGTCTTAATAACTTCTTAATATAACACCATCTAGAACTGGTAACTGCAAGACATACTTATATTTGGTGGATTATAAACCAAAATGTTTCAAATTCAGACAAACATGTCAAAATGTGTTTTCAGAAAAATCAGGTACATATTACATTTGATGAAAAGACATCTTTACAAATAAAACAACTCGTCATCAATGATAGGGTCTTAAACCAAAAAAGTGAAAAAAAATATCTAATTTTAAACACATTAATAATTCATTTTATCCTGCAATCAACCCTCTATTGTACAAATAACAGGTACACAAATAAATTTTTGCTTTATTTGTACAAATAAAGTCTCCTGTTACCCGCTTCCTTGTTGAGCAAGCGGTAATATGAATATTTCTTCCTGGATAACAGTTCATTTTGGGGTCCTCTTCGCGGTCCGCGTTTAAACTATGTTGATTTCTTTGAAAAATCAGAGACAACGATTGGGAATTAAACAACTAAAGCTCAAGTGCCGGATGTTGGTTGCAGGATAAAAACAATATATGTACATTGTCGGAAATATAAAATGTATTTGTACTCGCTAAAGCTCGTACAAATAAATTTTATATTTTCCGACGATGTACATATATTGTATATTTATCAAACTAAATTGGTTGTAAAACTAGAACGGAATCCTGAAGCTGTTTTACAATTTTAGGCTTAAAGAGAGATAAAAAACCCCTGACATTCTCATCTAAAGTCATATGTGACAAAGGAGCTGCTGCTTGCTTAGGCTCCATAATGTAATAAGTCTGGGAAGACACCATGACAGGAACTAATTCTTGCAGCTAACGAATATTCACGTTTTATCATTTAATTCCAAACCAAAGAATAACAATGCACAATGTCAGCATTACATTATGACTCTAACTGTATCTTTATGTCTGTATGTTCTTAATTCACAAAGTTTAAAACCAATATGTATACTAAATTTGAAAACAGACAATACTCAATTAACAGACAAAATTGTAGCAATACTCTAATTAAAATGACATTTCATAACCTGTAGCCATAAGTGACAGCTTTCACATTGATTACTATAAAAGATAACTATAATTACTCTTACATTTTCCCTTTACATTATTTTTCACACCTTTACTTATAGTATGAATTACGCATTAAAGTCTCTCATTTTAATTTCTGTAACTTCAAATTCACAAATGAATAAATCTGTCACAACTTTTTTAACATCCAATGTCACTAATTAAGATAACACATAGTTTGTCTTGACATGTAAATTTCTTTCTAAGTTTTTCTAAAAATTCAATTTCTAAATAATATGATAAAATAAAAATACAAGTCCAAATTAGCCGGGTGACACATATAATACATAATAAATAAAATTTCTTTAATTAGGTTCATATAAAATAGGAAAATGACCAATATAGAATATATCATTTATGTATCTCACCTTTTATATTGTTTTAACATTTCAACGTTTTAAGATAAATCCCCAAAACTAACTACAAATCTTTATGATGAACCATGTTTGTTCTGTTCATATTTGTTTTGTAATGTGACAATATATAATTGTTTTTTCTTTCCGTTGTTCGACATTTGTACTATTGATTCCCTATACAGTAAATATTGGATTCTAAGAGGTTCCATTGTGTAAAATCAATCCAACTTAACCATAGAACTTATCAAATGGCCGTTAACATATTTTTATTGCACATCTAACCAATTATGAAATAGTTAAATTACAAAACCATACCGGTACCATGCCTTTTATGTCTTGTAAAATATCAAACTTTATACAATATTGCTTTATTTTTGGCATAAACTTGAAAGAAAAGGGAACTGTGAAATAAATGAAGTTTATATATGAAACAGTGTTCAGTGTTCAGGAAAAAAAAAGATGAAAAAGGCTCTCAAGATTAAGACACTTTACATAATATCAAAAATTGATCAAAGACTCAAAGGCCCAGGTTGGGCCAGGTGAGCTAATAATAAGTGAATAAAAGGAAATGTGGGGTATATGTCAATGAGACAGCAATTCCAGAACAAAAGTAACCAAAAGCTAATCTAAAAGGAAACAAACAGACTTAAATATTAGATACTGTATATGTACTCTTTTTTGCATGTTCTTATTTTCGCAAATTTAGTATTGCAGATACATTCATGTGTATTTAAATTTGCAGTATTTCTGAAAATATCAAAACATAAATAATGGACTTAATATATTAATGTAACATATGATTAATTTAGTATTTCTTTGTTTAACAATTAACTGAAACAAGCTGCATTTCTTTCCAAGTCTATTTTGTGAAAATAAACCTGATGCAAAATTTGTGAAAATTAATACACCATGAAAAAAAGTAAAAATTCAGTAGGTGTCTTTACAATACGTTAATTTCTAAATTGTCTTCAGTCTATAAAGACTCATTAAAATGGGATTTCAAATTATCAAAACAGTTATGCAACTGGCTTCTTTTGAATAATTCATATATCTTGTAAAACATAAATTCTATACATCAATATATGGATGTTGGTTTTCTCTTTGAAATGTTTTACATTTTATCATGTCAGGGCCTTTTATAGCTTACTATATGGTCAGGGTTGTGCTCAGGTTGAAGGCCTTGAAGTGCCTTATAGTTGTCCTTTTGCCATTGGCTGATAGTTGTCTCATTGGCAATTATACTACATCTCCAGAGTCCTTAATTTTATAGAAACACCTCTTTGAAATCTTTTAGTCTTTTGTTATAAACATGTGGGTTTAATATCTCAAATAACAATCTGGCCTTAATTTAACTGCTTAGACAAGTTTCGGTAATATTTCTAAAGGATCAATTACTAGAATAAAATTTATCATGAAAAACTGTAATAAGTACAAACAACAAACAAATATCATAATTTAAATTATCTTCCTTAGTGCTGTTACATGACTTCTAAATAATAAAACTTGTCAATCCATCTAAAAAGCATCCTTATGCATTGGGTTGACAGTTGACCTTACTTTAGTTTTCAATCATTTCAGTGCATTATTTCCAGAATTTTATTGCCTTTAATCTTGCACAGATGATGTTAATTTTCTTAAGTGTTTACATTAGTTTAGTTTTAAAATACTGATGTAGACTGATAATTCAGTTATTAGGCCTACTTTTTTAAGAAATGCAAATACACCCACCTATCAATTATACTTTGAAGAATTGCCTTTTTATGCATGCAAAAACACCAAGTTCTACAAATACTAAACAAATTTTCTGTTTACCTAAGTCTTGTCAAAATGTGTTCGAACAATTTTATAATTACACTGTACCAATTCATCATTTTTACATTAGCGATTGCATTACAATCTATCACCATATTTACCAAAGTATAATAAGCCATAGAAAAGAGAAGACAAGACTATATGCCTATTATTTTGATATTAGATTTAATTTATGACGCTCGCTATTTAATATTTACATAAATATCTCTCAAGCATAAAACAAATATTGGCACAAAAGATCATTGCAATATTAATCTCTATATATCTGAAAATATGAAGTTTATTTTTTAAATATAATTCTATATGAAAAATTATAAACATTGCCCTGATTAATGTTGAAAATGAAGTAAAATAAACAAAAAAGTTCTTCATACTCGAAATATACACCTATATACAACATTTGGCACATGGCTTTATCAAGTTTTCACATTTGAATACTTGGAACAGTCTCTTGACAGGTTTTTTTTCTGGTATACAAGGTCATAACATATCATACTTGTCACAAGTTCTAATTTTGCAATGCAAACATCCACTGAATGTTATGGGATTAAACTTGAAATGTCTTGCTAAGATAACATGGAAAAAGCAGTTAAGAAGAAGCACTTTAATCAACCATATTGTTATAGCAGATGACAAAAACACAGGTACAAACTAGAGGTATTGCAAGCAAAGCCAAAAAATGATACCATCCTCCACATCAGAAAGTAATGCAAAGTCTGATTTTCTTAAGGAAACCACAAAAAAAGATTAGAAAAAAACAAAATATGAGATGCACAATGCATTATATGGTAAAAAATCTGAGTAAGTTTCAATAAATTCTAATAAGGGATGGATTAAGGAGGAGATGCTGATACAAAATGGGTAACTCTCCATATAAAGAAATGGCCAAAGTCCATTATTTGCTAAGAGGAAACCATAAAATAAAACAGATCAAAAAACAAAATAGAAGGTGCAAAATGGCACTAATGAACTTATATGTGTGCAATTCATTGATGAAGTTTCAAAAATCTGGTTTGAAAACTGTAATAGTTGATTTCATAAAAGAAGTACCCACTCTTCCCAATTTTCCCAATATCCCTATACTATAAGGTGGTTTTGCACTTCCTGCAACCTGGCTAAAAAGCTCTATACTATCATTATTACAGATGAAAAACAAAAGCACAAGTACATGTACAAGTAAAACCATACTAAATAATACCCTATCAATGAATGCTCAGTAACTTCTGTAAAACAATTTCAAAGTACCAATCTACTGATATACAATACTCAAATATCAGGGATTGTACTTCTACATGTTATAAGAAGACTTTATCAAATAGCTGAATTGCAAATAATAACAGCTCATTGTTATTTCAAAACTGTTCTATCACTTGTTGACAGCAATGTCAGATTTTATTGTAGGAACCATCTCCTTTTCACTTTCAATTGGTACAAATGTAGCAGCAACACAATACTATCATTTAACTAATTGACAAAACCCTAATCCTTTTCCCCTGAAAAACTGGCATTTTAAAAAACAATCTGGTATGCAATTTTGTATGCTGAATTGGAGTGTTTGGCAGGAAAAAAGTGTTATGGTAATATTTTATCCCTTATACCACTACTTTTTCCATGTTATGATAACATAAAAGTTTTCAATCTAAAGCACAACAAATGTTAATAGGGGTTGGTCAGAGTAACCTTTGTGTATAGCATATAAATATTTGATTTTGACTTTTATTTATATTGGA